TTTGACAAACGGTAATGTGTCCTGGGCAGATGGTAATGTGTCTTCGACAGGTTGTAATGTAAAAAAAAAGTAGTAAACAAAGTAATAAAAAAGATCAAAGGGTGCCACCTTATATCATAATAATTTCCCACTCAATAATTTCCCGCTCTAATAATTTCCCGCTCAAGGTCACTCTTGTTTTTTCGCTTTACTTTTCTCGCTTCTTTAAAAGTATAATGCGCATGCATATTTAATTTATTACATTTTGACCATTCTTTTATTACCCTCTTTTCCCTTTTGTTTTAAACTAATTACCGTAATTTTTCTGATAAATTTTTATAACTACTTAAAATGTCACAAGAAGGGACCAAATATTTTGATATAGAGGTAGAAATAAAATTTATTAAATAACTGAAAATATAATTGTAGGGATTTTGTCAATACAAATCCTGTGTAAGACACAGTTATCTCACGGCTCTAAATTCATCTCTGAAGAATGGGGAAAAGCTTGATAAGGGTGTGTTGTGTCCGCACTTGCAGAAAGAACATAAATGAAAATAAATAACCCAACATCGGGTTGGATGGTGGCACAGTCGGTTGTGCTTCGGTTCGGGCCCTTTCCGTGATGGTTCAATTCCATCTCCCATCCACAATTTTTCCACAACACCTTCAAATGCTGTGATGATCTGAAATTCTGTCACTGTGGAGAGAAAAAGGAGAAGACCCTGTGAGAAATTAAATGCCTGAGTTGTGATAGGCTAGCCGGTGTTGCGAGGCTAATATATAAGTATAAATAAATAAAATGCGTAAGGCGCATGAAGCGCAGCATATGCCACAAAATGGGTTTCTGTGTGTGCTCTCCAAAAATCGAAACAGATGATAGTTATAGAAGACAAGCAACAAGCGAGGACGCTTGGTTTCGCAAGGCGGAAGGAGTGTTGTGTCCGCACTTGCAGAAAGAACATAAATGAAAATAAATAACCCAACATCGGGTTGGATGGTGGCACAGTCGGTTGTGCTTCGGTTCGGGCCCTTTCCGTGATGGTTCAATTCCATCTCCCATCCACAATTTTTCCACAACATGAACATCGGACACTTCAGGGTGCCCGTTGCAGTTTTATTTATCACTACTTTTTTGGTTGGCATTGGTGTGAGGAATGCTTAAAGTTCAACCTTTTGAAGAAACAAAGAAAGACATTGATACCTATAACCGAAAATTTATTCTTTTATTCATTTTGGCTTTGCACTGATTGTGCACTTTTTGCAACAACACCTGTTTAATAAAAACAATAATTCATTGTAAAAGTTTATTCACTAATTTAACTACAAATAAATCTGGATTTTGTTTTGTGTCTAATAATTTTAAATATTCTTCAAAAGATAGGCCTTGAGATAGGAAATAAGATAGAGAGATACAATGATGAGCGCAAGTTTTAGCTAAGGGGGATTGATAGAGTTTAACATTACGTTTAATATTAGAAAAATTTCTAAGAAATGAGTTAAAAATACAAGTACTTATTGGAAGGGCTAGGCTATCGAAATAGTATATTTTATTAAAATTTATATAAATTGCTATCCAATGAGATCCTTTCATTCCTCTTGGATCTAAATTGACAATGTATATTGATTTTTTAAAATCATTCTTTGGAATTAAATCACACGGGAAGCATCCCCGAAAAATTTGTCTTGTCTTTGGATTTGAGTTCAATATCTGGGTTATTTTGTATCCGTTCATCGATTACTTAATTTAAAAATAATTTTAAAATTTAATTCAATTTACCTTCAAACTCTTTTGCCTTTTTTCTCGGTAATACTACTTTGAACCAAAGTATTGAGCGAAATTGAAAAATGATAAGACTAATTATGAACAAAATGTATAAGAGTATCATTCCCCAAAAAAATATATGTCCATATATATTATTTTCACCGGGGCTTTCTTTGCAAAGTTGAATAGTGGGGAAGTTTGGGAAATCCATTTTAATAGGAAAGGATGTAGATGTTGTCTTAATCTTACAAGAAAAATAATAATTGAAATTTTATTCATTTTAAAATGTTAATACAACTTGAAATCTGAATCTATTTATATAGTAGTGTCACTGGCAATAGTACGATTTTTATCTAAAATAATCAATGAATCTGCTTCGCCCATAGCTACAAGCATAATTCCCCCTTCGGGTACGGGTTGATTGAATTTAATATTCACTGCGGTTGTCCCATTCTTTATTAAATCAAATAGTCCTCCTTGGTCATCCCCACTATTTGTCAGGTTAAAGATGTATATACAATGGGTACTACCGTACTGCTGATAGGTAATTCCATTACTTTCTGACGAAGTTGCTAACCCAATGGCGTCATTCATATCATTGAATGCTCTAACATATTTTCCATTCATATAATCAAAGTCATAGGGAGCTTGAGGATAGCTTCGCCCGTTTGCCATTATTGTAATTTCGCGAACGTTAAAAGGTTGGAAATTGAAAGGACTGCGTCCATAATTTCCAACATAATCAGAGTTAGAGACAAGTCCAAGTGTTATTCTTCTAGGTATTTGATCCATAAAGAGGTTGGCGTTAAATTCATATCTCCCTTGACTAATAAAGAGGGGTTTCATCATAGTCTTTCTTATAGCATAACGGGCTGGTTTAATTTCAAGTTTTCGGGCTATGTCCAAAGCTAAACCATCCATAAGATCCATCTTTTTTACATAAAGTTTGCAATTTACAACTTCAAAATAGTAACGCGTAGGTTGGGCAAGACCGAGAACAGGAGGGGCAATTAGAACGAATTTTGCATCATTTGGTAAAATTTCTATATCTACCTCACATTGATTTATTAAATAAAGAGGCTGATTAAAAATATCAGCATCAAGTTTTGAAATAAACTGAGCTGTGTTGCTCGATGAAAATAATCTTCTCCTAGCTTCATATCCAACTCCGCTTTCTAAATTTGTATCTGAACCAAAATAATACCCTGCTGCATTAAGATGGGAGCTTTTTGCTCCTTGGGAATACGATAGCTCGTAAGAAAAATATGTTTTGTAAGCGTACAAAGAATTTGAATTGAAGATTTCGCGCCCATTAATATTAATTTTCATATTGTTAATAAACGTTTGCCCTATAAGTTGAATTGGTGCAACATTGTCTGTTGCAGCAAGATTTACCAGGTAACCGTTTTCATTCTCTTTTCTTATTCTAAGTTCAGTAAAAAGATAGCATTTTGACAAGTCAATATAATTTTGACTTGAATGAATTTTAAAGTGGTAAGGAGTGTCGGTAAGAGGGTTGCTTGGGAGAATTTCAAAGACTTTAGAGGACGTTACTGTAACATTTGTAGGAGGAATTTGAAAGAAATCAAGTGCACTAGTTATAGAATTTATGCTTTCATTATCAATTTTTTGAAAAGCCATTTTAATATAATCCAAAGGCGTCTGATCTTAATCGTTTTTTAACTTTTTTGCCAATAATTGTTTGATATGAAGGGATGGCATGCCTTTTTATACTCTTTTTACGCCCAGTACCAAATTGTTTTGGTAATCCCCCTTTCTCTAGTACTGTATCTATACCTCTTCTTCCTTCTTCCCTAAGTGCCGCTTTGAGCGGTTCTCCTTGATTAACTCTCTCTAACACTCGCTGCCCTGTATTTAATGCTTCTCCAGCTACAGTTGTGCCCGCTTGTTTAATAATTGGTAGGAAAAAACGCCAAAGCCCTCTCATTACATCTCCTATTCCTGCACCTCTTTGAGAATTACCGTAACCTCTTTGAAAGGGTGATGAACCTTTAAAGTAACTGTATTCATCAGATATTCCACCACCTTTCATAGGAAGAAATTCTTCATAACCGACCGATCTTGTATCAAAAATTACATGAACCATTTTTTAAAAATATTTTATTTAAAATAATAAATGAATCTACAATTTTGAGGGTATTTATATAGACACGAAAAGTGAAAATTAAAAATTAATGACTTTTTTAAAGATTAAAACTATCATCACTGTCCCAAATGCAAAAGGGACAAGTCTTCCTCCATCCATTGTTCTTAATTCTATTTCAATCTCATTAATTTCCTTAGGAAGCACACGAATATAGATTGGTGAGTCATAGATTTTTTCATGATATTCTCCAGGTGTTGCTCCTGAGACAGAAACAACTCTTAGTAGAGAACTTAGAGAATTTCCGACTATCATATTCTCGGTTAGACCCTTTGAGTAAACAGCAAAACTTGAGAATCCTCCTCTCAAGTCACTTCCATATTTTGCAATCTCATTATTCATAACCATATTCGAGTTTTCAAAGCCCAGCACATATCCAAGCTGAGGAGAAAACGATAGATATTTAATATTTGGGTGAGAATATTCCATTTTAAAACGTTTAAAATCTTTGTGAAAGGACAGAGAAATGGAATCTATAATCTGTTTCTGGACAGTAGTGTCAATTTTATCTTTTCTTAAACTACTGTATTTTTTCAGAAGTCCTTCCATCATAGGCAAATAACTTTCTCTTTGAAAATTAGTAGGGGTTTTTCCTAGTACGTAGACAAGAACTCTTTCCATATCGTCTGTCCATTTTATTCTCTCTTGAACGTATGTTTGATTTTGTTTTAATGGAAGAGCTTCGGGGAGCGAAGGAAGAGTTTGGGTAGGTGGAGGTAGTGATTCCTGAGTTTTTTGAGGGGTAGTAGGTTTTGGGAGAGGAATTAATTTTTGAGGTGTTGACTTTTGTTGAGGCAAAATTCGAGGAGGTGAAGATGGAGGTTTTTGAGCAGGGGGAGGTACTTGTGGAGTAGAATGTTTTTGAGGCTGGGGAAGTTGTGGTTTTTGCGGAGTTGGAGGTTTTTGAGAAGAAGGCGGTTGTGTAATAGGAGGTTTTTGAGTAGAAGATAGAGATGGTTGTGTAGTAGGAAATTTTTGAGTAGAAGGTAGAGGTGGATGAGGTTGTGTAGTAGGAAATTTTTGAGTAGAAGGTAGAGGTGGAGAAGGTTGTGTAGTAGGAGGTGTTTGAGTAGAAGGTAGAGGTGGAGGAGGTTGTGTAGTAGGAGGTTTTTGAGTAGGAGGAGGTGGAGGAAATTGTGTAGTAGATGGTTTTTGAGCAGGAGGAGGTGGAAGTGGTAGTTGAGGAGTAGGTTTTTTATTAGTTTGAGGTATAGGTTTTTGGGGAGTAGGGGGTTTTTGAGCAGGAGGAGGTAGAGGTGGTAGTTGAGGAGTAGGTTTTTGATTAGTTTGAGGTATAGGTTTTTGTGGAGTAGAGGGTTTTTGAGGTTGAACTGTTGGTTTAGGGGGTGAAGCAGGATTTTGAACAGGCGTAGGTGGTTGTATAGTGGGTTTTTGAGCGGGAGCTGGTGGAGGTGGTAATTGGGGAGTAGAAGGTTTTAGAACAGGAGCAGGTGGTGGTGGTTGTGATTGAGTTTTTTGAATAGGTTGAGGAAGAGGTTTTTGTGGAGTGGAAGGTTTTTGGGCAGGAGGAGGTTGAGGGGGTAGTTGAGGACTAGGAGGTTTAGTTTGAGTTAGTGGTTTCTGTGGAGTAGCAGGTTTTTGAGTACTAGGAGGTTTAGGGGGTGAAGAAGGTTTTTGAATAGGTTGAGGTTGGGGAATTGATTGAGGTTGTTGTAGTCTAGGAGGCGATGGTAATAGAGTAGTTGAAGGGTTGTGAATTTCTTGAGGCGTAGGTTTCTTAGCTGGAGGTGTAGGTGAAGATGGCTTCGCAGGATTTACCAATCGCGGGGGAGATGGTGGATCTATTCTTGGAGGAGATGGAAGAGTCTCCTCCAAACTTCGTTTTGGGCGACCAGATCGTGGTGGTGACATTAATGTTGGTCTATTTAAAAACCCTACATTATCTAGAGGAGATGCTTCGAGCACTTCGCTTTGATGTTGCAAAGTGGAGATTAAAAAATTAAGTAAATCTTCAGGTTTATTGTGAGAACCTCTTGGGACAGGGACCCTTATGACCTTAGCCTTTCCTTGAAAGTCAGTACAGTGAATATCAATCCACTGCTCTTCAAGTGTACCAATAGTTGAGGGCCATGAATAAGGATATGAAATACTGTGTAATCCACAAACCCAGTCTCCCGAAAAATAAATTGGTTTCGGGAGATGAACTCGAAACTTATTTGGCTGATTATCTGGATAATCAGTTGTATTACTTAGCAAACACACGTAAAAACTGTTAGACATTTTTATAGCAAATAAAAATATACAATATGAAAAATGACTTTTATACTAATTGATTCTCGTGTATCCATTCCCTCTCCGGGTATCCAATAAATTTTACAAGTACTTCATAGGCACCATCTGGTCGTTTCCTTTTACGGTAAACCTTCTCAATCCTATACTCTGTCCCTGCATCTTTTTTGACTTTGGTAAGTTCTTCGTTGTAATAAGATCCCTTGTACTTATTACCATTGTCATCCTTTAACTTATAACGAGTTGGTCTAGATTGATCTTTGACTTTGTCTACTTCCACTATTACATCACTCCAATTTGGGATATAGCCCTTTTCAAATGTTCCTTTATTAACACTCGTACGTACAAAATCTCCTTTTTGAAATTTAGGTTTTGTCTTTCTAATTTTTGTAGATAATTCATCTCCATAAATCCTCTCCCACAACTCTTGAGCATTCTTAAAGTTAACATCAATAGGTCTCATTCCATGAACCCGACTCTTTGCTTTATTTATTCCTTTCAGAATCTCAGGTAAAATCTCAATCCAGTTAAGTGTTTTGTAATGGGCAAAATATCTATATAATCGTTGTTTGACATTTCTAATTGCCCGCTCCGCAAGCGAAGCTTTAACTATTGAATGGGTAGCTTCAAACTTTTCAATTTCTTCTTTTTCAAAAAAATCTTTTAATTGCTTATTTTTAAATTCTAGTCCTTTATCAGAAAATATTCTATGTGGCTTCATGGGCATTTGGTCGATTAAATGTTTAAAGGCTTCTAACATATCATCAATCTTTTTAGACTTGACAGGAACCCCAAAAACTCTTTTTGAAAGAACATCAATCCCCAGTAATAAATACTTATTTCCTTTATTGTGTCTTGACAATGTTTGTAAATCCGCCAAGTCAACCTGAACATCTGTCATAAATCCAGCAGCCACAGTTTTACTTCTGGAAAAATGTATTCTCTTGGGACGCATAAGGGAATAAGTTCGGTGTCCCTCAAGAAAATCTTGTACAACTTTTCTTGGTAAATGTTTAAGAATTTTTCTTGCCTCATACCATAATCTGTCAACTCCAGAAAATGCTGCAGGGGAATCGGGGTCATTATAGAGATGTTTCAAAAGTTTTGTATAATCCGCCATTTTTACCAAAGTTAGGGTTTAAATCTATTTATATCTTCCTGTGTAGGCTTTTTTGACGCCCATTTTTTACTGATTGTACGACCTTTTACTTTACGTAAACTTATATCCTCTTGAGTTGGTTTTCTCAATGCCCATTTTTTAGTCCCTTCTTTGCGTCCTCTTAAAATATTTAATTTTTCTGACCAAGCTTTTGATAATTGTTCCGATTTTTTCTTCGAGACTGGTTTTATTCTTTTGAGATGAACCGCACTAGTGTCATCAGGGGTTACATATTTCCTTTTAGAACGCTCTCGCGGCAATGGTGGAGACGGGGATCTACCTTCTCTCAATATTCCATGACGGCGACGAGATCTTTTAGCTCTATCTAACACCTCTCCCTCCTCATCTCGACGTATTTGTTGAATTACACTATGATCAAGAGGGACTTTGACATTTTGGGATGTTTTTCTTCTCCTTAATAGCTCTTTCTTCTTTTGAATCTGTGCAATTTGTTCTCTTAACCTAAGTTCTCTATTTTCATATGTATTTTTACTCCTCTTATTCCCTTCAAAATCTTCGGATACCTGGTCCCTTTTTAAAGCTTGGAGCGATACAGGAGGAGAATCGCTTAAAGGAGCATTTTGTGCATCGTGTATGGGATCTTGTGTAATATTAGACTCTACAGCCGATGTTGAGGGTAAAGGACGGTTCATTGTTACTTTTTTCTTTTGTTTCTTTTTAACCGGAATTTTTGATTTTTTAATTTTCCTAATTATTTTTATTCTTTTTGGTTCATCACCATTATCTTGTTCTTTCCTTTTTGTAATTTGGCGTTGACTTTGTACAGTGCTACTTCTAGGTAGAGAAGGAGGTATCGATGGATGGTAGGAAGATTCAGAAAGAGGAGGTACAAAATTATAAGCGAGACTAGGAGGTTCTTTAGGATAATTAGAAAATGAAACGTCATCGCTCATCCATAAATCATCATCATTTTCGGCTATATTTGTTGAGGGATGAGTTTGGTCTCTATTCATAATAGCACCCTTAGGCGAAGCAACCATCTCAACTCTAACAGGACGATTCTGGCTTTCATTTCGTAGATGAAGATAACGTCTTAATTCTTGATTGTAGTGAATATTTTTTGCACTTGGGTGTTCCTTTACTCTTCGAGTTTTATCAAGTGTTCGTCGGACATCATCTAGATTTGGTTCTCCTGTATCAAAAGTAGTAAGACCACGATAAATTTCTTGAGGAACAAGAATAAATTTGTTAGCCATAATTTATTAATAATAAGAATTTTGATTAATTTGCGCTTTTTATAGAGCGCGCCAGTTCAATGAGTATTGGGGTCAGAAGGGCGGCAAAAGCTCCAATACCATTTCCTTTCTGCAAAGCATGTTTTGCTCCCCTCTTGCTTCGAGCCCTACTTACGCCACGGACAAAGCAGGCATAAGGCATTAAGCGTTTCTTTTGACGAGTCGTCAAAATAAATCTGGACTTTACAATATTAAGGCAAATCTCCACTAATGTTAAAAGTTGCGAAGTACTAGCAAGTCGTAAAAGTCGACGTATTTTTCTTTGAGATTTTGTATGACATAGAGTATTTAGAAAACTTGAATTCTCTCGTATTAAATGACTAACCATTTTAAATTCCACTTTTTGGAGTAAAGACAATTTTTTCCTCGTCGTCCTTAAATATCCCTGTCCTCAGCCTTAGTGTTGCATCAGATGCAGCGTGCATATCGATTAATAAATAGCCGTAAGGTTGATTAGTTGACTGACGATAGGCATCGAGAAAATAGTCTAATTTACTCGGGAAGAGTTGTACTCCTATATTCCTTACTGCAAGTGCAGAATTTGGTGAGCGCATTAAGATAATGTATTGCGCATTTTGTCGGGCAACTTTGATTTTACGATCAAATAAATTTTGTGTTACAAATACGACTGCAAAATTTTGATGGTGGGATTTTTTAGTAAATAGTTCAGACAAATATTTCTCATCAATCGACAAAAGGAGATCATCAAGAATTAAAAGAAGTGGTTTTGGAAATGTTTTCAATAGTTCCTCAGAGGGAACGCCGACAAAAACGGCAACTCCAGATTTTTGAAGTATTGGCACTATACTACTCATTTCTCCGAAACAATACAGTATACTACTTGGTTTGGGGTCAATTAAGTCTACCGCTTCGGAAATAAATTTTAATAAGAAGGTACTCTTCCCACTTGAACTAGGACCTGAGACAATCATACCGAAAGGCAGTTTAAATTTCAAATCTTTATTAGAAAATGTTAACGATTCCATTTTAAATAATTAAATAAATGAGAATTTTAGTTTAGAAATTAACTTAAATACTAAGTGAGGCTGAAAAAATCAAAGGGGTGGTTGTAAATTTGTATCGCTTGGATTGTTTACTACTTCATTCTTAACATTACTTTCTGCTGTCATTCCCATTGTAACAGCCTGCATAGAGTCGAAGAACTCTAAGAGGACTGCCTCCTCATTCTCTTTTGTTTCTTTAATTGGAGATAATCCTGCGAGGGGTAGTGGTGGTATTTCTTGTTGCGGGGATGCAGGTGGTGATGATAATATTTCCGGTTGTGGTGCAGGCGGAGGTGATAATATAGGTGGCGGTGCTAATAATTGTGGAGGAAGTGGGGGTGGAGGAGGTGGGGGTAACAGTTGTGCTTCAGCTTCTCTCTTACGGGAATTTGTGACAGAACAAACATTTTGAGAACCGTATGGAATGTTCAACACACGACCCTTGTTTTTAATCTTAATGAAAATTATTTATTCCTTAATTATATAATAAATTACCTTGAAAAAACAATGACCCGGTAAATCGTAGATACAATCGAAGGGTACAAATCGGGGAGCTGAGAAGCGAGTACAATAGATAGTTACTCCTTCCTTTGTGACAATAAAATCCAGCTCGACCTCTGTACTCCTACATTCACGACATCGACCACCATTCTCAAAAGGGATGAAGCGAGGAGTAGAAATTCTCTCGCTAGTTAAGGTGATACCATTTGTTGTAAAATTGAAATCCACTTCTGGAATTATTTGTGTTAATAGAGACATCTTATCATTCATGTTAATTGCCATTTAAAAATTTTAAATGATTCAAGTATCAGATTATCGGTTTATATACCCTTCCCTTGTCCAAGGCAAAACTTGTTCATACAAAATTTCACACTCCAAGAATATAGAAGCCAAGCCGTTTTTAAAAACGAAGCCAAGCCAAAAATTTAAAAAAGTAATATAAAGCCACGCCCACTATTACACAAAAAGTCCATAAATTTAAGTTCCTAGTCATTATACAAATTTATAATTAATTATTTACAAATTAGCTACAAAATTTTTTCATCTTAAAATGTCTCAAGATATACCATCAGGTAAATATTTCTATAATTTCTTTCTAATAATATATTTAAGAAAGTGTTAATGCAAAGGTTGTGGATTCAGAACAGGAGAAAAAAGATTCTATTACTAAACCTTTGACACTGGTCCAAGAGAAAGAATTAGTTGTTAACAACTCTTCAGGTTCTATCAGTTAATTATTCTCAATAAAAATTTTTAAAGATAATAGTCCGGTGGCATTAAATGAAATAAAAATTGTTAAAAAACAACTTGTTAAAAATCAACTTTGGAAATTAATTCGTGGCAAATTCTTAATTACTTTCTATCTGTGCCAAGGTGAGAACAATTAATATTCTATTCAAAATTTAATTTTAGAATGTCAAAACAACTTATTCTATTCGCAAGATAAATTTTACGAGAATTCTTCTGGAGTTACAGTTAAAATAGGATTATGCCATAAATGTGTCGAAGCTAACAGCAAAGCTACAGATTTTCTAGCACCATACAAAAAGATTGGCAGCAAAAGAAAGGCAGATTGAATGGGATAAAATGACAGTAATTTAAGAAAAATCGTTTTAAAATTAAAATAATTAAAAAATTTCGTTGTAAAATTTAAACATTGAATTGATAAAAAAATTTAAAAAATCTAAAAGAGTTAATCTATTATTAATATATTAATATTACTACTCATCTAATATTATACTTTTAAAAAGAAAGAGTATATTATAAAATTTATTTATTTAAAAAATGATTAAAGAAATATATTTTTAAGGCCAGTTAAATCATTAAAATATAAATTTTTAAAATAATCAATTTGATTATAGCCTATAAAATTTTTAAACTTCCGTTATATTATTTTCGTTTTTTCTTATCATTCATTATTTATAATGAAGTTCTTTTTGCTTCTTTACAAATGAATTTTGACATTTTGTCCATTTTTCCAGTTTTAAATGGTTGAAGTTTCTAAAGGGAAAAATATTTATAAGAGAAAATTTCTTATTTAAAATTTTTTCGAATTTAATTATAAAATTAAGAAAGTTTTTTATTTAAAATTTTTTATTAAAAAATTTTTTGACATTTATTTAAAAATTTATAAGTTACAATTTTTTCAAAATTAATTTCCAATGGTGGGCATACACATGATTGTTCAATTGTTTGCAACTTAATTGAACAAATAGAAAAATTTTTTAGAAATATTTTACTTCAATTTGTTCTCCTTTATTTTTATGAACGGTTCTTTGCCTTGTTTTATTATATACTTGTCGATTACATAAGCAATTTGTACATATTGAAACCAACTGAAAAAAAATTTAATAACCCACATAAAAATAAATTTATTTTTTAATTACTTTAAACCCCAGCAATAAGATAATACAACTAAGATAAATAAGGTAAGTTTGAAATTGAAAATAATCATAATTTTTCAGAAAAAGAAAAGGATTAGTTAAAATTTCTTCAAAATATAAAATTTAAATATTAAATTTATTATAAAAAAATAAAATGTATATTAATATAATAAAACTTTTGTATTATCTTATTGCAACACCAGCTTTAAACTTTAAATTAACATATTATTTTTTATTTTATTAAAAACATACAAAAGAAAAAACATCCAAAATTTATTTTTCACGCAGTCCTTTGTTCTCTATGCAACCCTTTAAATTATTAAGAAAGGCGCATAGAGAGAGATAACCCAAAAGATCAACTCTAGAAATTCAGTAGGTGACCTTTAGGGTTAGCCCACCTAGTGTGAATCATTAATAGTAAAAAATTAAAAAACAAATTAAAATTTTATACAAGAAAAAATTAGTCAATGTCTCGTTTCACTTATTAGATTTGATGCTCTAAAGAGAGCATTTTGGATTCTGTAAAGCATTCGCCATTTGTCCATCGTCCACCAATTTTTTTTGTCCATCGTCCACCAGTTTTCGCGCGCTCAAACACTATTTTAAAATTCCCCTTGTCCCCATCCCCCAACCAATTAGTTACATATTCTACTCCCCATCAATTAGTAAAAACAAATTAGCTCAGACCCCTCCAACAATTAATAATTAATTAGGTACTAATTACTTCGGACCCCTCCCCCAAAATAATTAATTAGGTACTAATTAGTTCAGACCCCTCCACCCATTAATAATTAATTAGATACTAATTACTTCGGACCCCTCCCCCATTAATAATTTATTACCCCGGCGACAGGATCAAAAGAAAACGCCGACAAAATCCCCCCATATCCACAGGATTTCTCGGACCCCTCCCCCAGACCCCTCCCATAGGTTGGCGGCATCCCTTTGATCATCAATCAAAAGGATGGCGGCATCCCTTTGTGCGAAAATACGGGGGCTAACTACTAACGTTAATAGAAGTATGAAAAAAATTAAAAAGTCTCTGGATATTTTTGAAAGGAAAAAGAACGAGTTGAAATAACATTCAACGATCTCAATCGAGTTCGGTTTCTAAATATAAACCTCCAAACCAAGCATGGAACCAGGAGTGTCCGCAATTGCGGATTGCGTGGTTTTTTGACTTGCGGATTTTAAAATAAAAATTGCGGACTGCGGAAAATTTTTTTCATTTGCAGACACCCCTGCATGTAACCCGAAACGGGTAAAGGAAAAAATTAGAACTCAGAGAGGTAAATTTTTAACAGTTCCCTTCGTAAAATATAAAAAAAAGTTGAAAAGAGATCGGATCAACTACTTTTAAAAAATCAAGGCTCTATACCCACGTCCAGCATTCAAATCTTACAATTAACAGACAAGTGTTTTTAAAATCCTCACAAAATTTCTCCTTCCAACAAAGTTTCGTTTTCATTTAATTGACTCAATTCATCATCTTCACGTGTAGTAGTAGACGAAATTGAATCATCTGCTACAAAATTTGATTGTCTTTGTTGAGTATTTCTTTGAAACTCCACATGATTTTTTTGATACCCAGTCTGATATAATTCAAATTTTCTTACTGAAAAATTAAAAAAATCGAATTATTTTATCGACGATAAAATTCACCATTCTCCTCAGCTTTGCTTCCATTTTCTTCTTCTGCTTTCAATTCAATCCAATTTTTTGTACTTGTACACGGATCCTCAGGAATTAAAGAATTTAAACATTCTCCAGCTTCTTCAACTTTTTCTTCTTCCTCCTCCTCTTCATCATCAAAAATAAAATTTGGATTGGTATTGTATGAAGCAAAACCTTTACGTTTATTTCGAAGCATTTGATCCAAAATATAACTCTTTAAATAAAAATATGTATTCCTATCTTAAATCAAGGCCAGGGGATCGATTTCAGGGGCGATTTATGATAATATTTTTTCCTTTTCCCCATTTCAGGGGGAGGGCTATAGCTCCAGAGGCCTCCCTGGCTACGTCTCATTTTTTTAAAATTTTTCTTCAGGGAAAATTTTTTCAAAGTTCAAAACATTTCAGAATGTATTTTCAAAACACCTCCAGTTTTCGGTTCAGGTTACCAATTTGTATCCAACTCAAATTTTAAAACAATTCCTCAACTAGTCATGAAGGGCGTAGCCATAAGGTCGGTTTCGGACGGAGTGAGGGGGGGCTTTAGCCCTAGAAGCTCCCCTGGCTACGCCCTTGCTAGTCATTCACTTGTTGTTTTTCTAGACATTATTTTCCCTTGCCTATTTCTTAAACGTTATTTTCCTTTATTTAAACCTGATGTTAATCACAAACGGTTAAACGAGCCGGAACCGAAAACCGGGGGATTCAAAGACAATTGAAACAGATATTTCTGAAAAAAACAAAAAAAAACCTGTTCTTTCGCACTCTGAACAGAAGTTTCCCCAGCTGTTAATTTAGTAATATCAACTTCTGGTAAATCATCTACTAGCCCTTCCAAATAAGAATTACGAGAAATTTCACAAAAAGAGCCATCTAAAAAATTAATTTTAAACCAAAAATTCCCCAAAATTAAAAAAAAACTTGTAGATATTTTAGCAGCACTTTCCCGTCTTTTTCTGTGTATATTCATTGCAATCGAATTATTATTTAAATTAATTCCTTTAAATATTGGAGAATCACTTATTGTTGATTGAACTGGAGACATTGTCCCGTCTATTGGGGATGAAATTAGAGGTACAGCAATTGGTGTATCTTCTATTCGAAAAACATAGGGAGGCTAAAAAGGTGAAGAGAATTAAAAAAAGTTTATAATTCAACTTTAGAATTTTTTTCTTGATCAATTCTCCCAGACAGAGGCCGTTTACAACCTCAAAACAACTATGGAGCGGCAATCCTATAAGAGGGTTAATTTTAAAGGAACCTAGAAAGGATGTTTTTGAGGAGATATAAATAAGTCCTAATCGAAATTAAATACTAAAAAGATCTCAAGCAATGAATAGATTTTTCTATGAATTATGAGAGCTTAACTCTCAAGAAAAAATTTTATTTTAATAATCTAAATAATTTTTTGAAAGAAATTTTTTGGAAATCGAAAACCATTTGAGAAAACCATCCAAATACTTAAAAAAGCAAAAAAAATAAAAACCTCAATACAAAATTCAAATTCAGCAATATCATCCAAATATAAACAAACACGTTTAAGCAAAATTAAATTTCGTAAACAAGAATTTCTTTCATAATGTAATTTTTTGAGTGAATCATTACAGGCAATAAAACCAAACATTTGGAATTGTAAAGTACGTCTAAAAGAAAAAAATCAACTGAATTGACTAGGTTGAAGATGGAGCAATGGCCTTTGCCGAATCATGGGCCCTAGTCAAGTCAAAGCATAGGAAACCAAAAAAGTTGTGGGATTTGGGTAAAGGAAAAGGACTAGGCAAACTAGGAAACATTTAACTAGGAAACTAAAAAATGCCGAGGTGTGGGTTTTGAGTGGGCAAAAAGTCAAAGGCTTGGCCCAACCCTTAATCGATCTCTCTAGTTCACAGGCACGTAGTTTTTTGACAATAAAGGCGGCAAAAAATACAACCTAACATTTTCGATTCCCAAAACACTCCCGAAAATTTTTTCTGGCTACGTACTAGGGCTGGGCTAATTTCGCAGTTTATTTTTAGATTTCGGCCAGCCTGCTACGAACCGGTTACTTAAGACGTAATTACTTGATCAAGTTACTTAATTATAGTGAGACGCTCAATGGTTACTTAATTCTCAACTAAAAATTTATTTTTCAAAACTCCAACCTATTCAACGAATCCTTCAGCCACGCTAACGACAATTCCCTTCTATTAGAACAATTCCATTTTTGTTTCAAATCAATTCTTTCTTCACTCGGAATTAATTCTCTAACAAAAGACCAATAACATTTATCCATTTTAATTAAACTAAGAAAATTTAAAAAATTTTTTCAAAAAAATTTAAAAAATACCCGTGAGCAAAAAATCCATCCAAAGATTTCACAAGACCTAAAATATCAGAATTTGACATATTTAAAATTATTTTTTGATCCAAAGAATTTTTTGTTGTTTGGACAATTTCATTTATTGAAGAAAGAATGGCACTTTCGATTTTATTTTGTTGTTCATATTTGTCTTTGGAAGTTGGTAATGAAGGCATGGCAATTGGGGCAATATTGTGGAACATATTTTTAATTTAATTCTGAAAATATTCTGAAAAATTAAAAAAAACACAAATTTTAGTCTATTAAAAATACAAAAGAAAACACATAAATTCTGATAAAAAATACAAAAGAAAAACACATTAATTCTGATAGAAAATATAAAAAAAAATACACAAATTCTGATAGATATAAAAAAACACAAATTTTAGTCTATAAAAATACAAAAGAAAAATACATTTATTCTGATAAAAAATACAAAAAAAAACACAAAAAAACACATTCTGATTTTAAGAAATACATTTAAAAATAAAACACTTCGAAAACACACAAATTCTGATTTTTAAAAATACAAAAGAAAAATACAAAACACGAATTATTTAAATAAATCAGAATAGATAAATTCTGATAAAAACACAAAATAGAAAATACAGAAAAATACATTAATTCTGATTTTAAGAAAATACATTTAAAAATAAAACACATAAAAACACATTAATTCTGATTTTTTAAAATACAAAAGAAAACACAGATTAAAAACACAAAACATTTCCGGAAAACACAAAATTCAGGGACCAGAAATTAAAGATTACTCAACAAAAATACAAAAAAAACACAAAACCTGTCTGCTCATCGATTTTTAAACGAGAAAATATTCAAATTAACGCCTCTAAACAAAACGCCAAAAATAAAATAAAAAAACAGAACGCCAAAATGCGCAGAAATGTTTATTTTCAATATCATTTTGTGTCACCACTTTATATAATCGCCCATAACTTTATCCAAAATGGTCCAATCTTTTTAATTTTGGTGTCATTCGATTCAGCTTGACGAGGCGCATTTAATTTATAATAAAATATAAATATTTAAAGGTTGCGTTTTCCTCGATTTTTATTTGTTCTTTCTCCCTTCTTTCTTCATTATATTTCTGTTTGTTCAAATATTTAAATTTAAGACTGTTAAAAGTTAAATTCATTTTCTATTTTATGTACTCTATAATGTAGTTTGTGTTTATTTGATCAGCACATATTAAAAAGCATAGCATAGACAAAAAATTATTTTACCCACTCCAAGACACAAAAAAGAAACAAAAAAAATTTTTTCAATAAGGAACAAAAATTATTTTTTTCAACAAATTCAAAGAATTTTAAATTTATTTTTAATTAATTTTTTTTTTATTTTTAAAATTTGGTCATTTAATTGAATACCTATTTCCATTTTTCCACTTTCATTTTTCTTGTTTTATGTCCAATCTTCGGTTGCTATGGTCCGTTTTTTTCTTCTTTTCTCATTTTTTTATTTTTGCTCTCCCCTCAAGAGCACGTCAACACAGAGTCGAGAACGAAAAAAAAATAATTTTTGGACAAAGCTAGAATGAATGGGAGGGGAGGGGAGGGGAGGGGGGAATGCATCGCGCTAGTACACTAAATAATTTTAGCGGACGTTTCCCCCAATATATTTTTTTCAGTCTTTCTCCTTTTCACACATTTTCATTTCTTTTTTTCATTCATTCGTTGCGTTTAGGTTTTTAAATTTTTGTGTGTTTATTCTTTTAACTATTCGAGAAAAAAAAGAAAAAAAATTTTTTTGTTTACTTATTAAGAAATTTTTGCCCTTTTAAAATATTAAATTTTCTGACTCTTATAATTTTTAAATTAAGTCAGACTGTCAAAAAAAATTTTTTTTATTTGATATGTCCTCAAAGGTTTATCATAGTTGTTCGAGGTTTACCAAAGTTTAGACTAACCGGGCTAAATTATATCAGGGCTTTTAGCTCAAATTTTAAAAATCCACAATTCTGAGCTAAAAAAATCCGCAAAGAATTATCAAAAAACTACCCGAAAAAAAAGCTAGCCGCAAAAAACAACCCGAATCAGAGAGAACTCGTTTTTAGAATAATCCACTTGATGATTTAAAAATTTATTTAAAAAATAAAGTCTTTGAATTTTTAAAAATTAATTTTTCTATTAATTTTTAATTTTTTTCCGTTCATTTAAATAAATGTCGTGTCTCTCCGTCTTTTTCCAACCCAAACATTAAATATTCTAAAATTTTATGTTTGTGTTGGGTTATAAAAAAATTTTATGTTTGGGTTATTCTAAAACGGAAAAATTTTTTTTTAAATTTTAAAATTGATTTTTCAAAATTAAAAAGAGGAAATTTTAAAATTTTCACTTAGTCACCAACTTTTGACAAAAAATTTATTTTTAAAGCTTTGTTTGCGAAATATTCTCTTATATTTATTTTTCTCTAAAAACAATAAATTAGAGAATATATCCATCCATTTCGCAAGTTTTATATATTCTATTTTCAATTTATATTACTCTCTAACCTACACAATAATCCATCAAAACTTGAAAACAAAAAGCAGCATTTTTGCTTTTTATTATTTAATAGAAACTTATTTTCCAACTTATTTCACCTCTTTTCAAACCTTTTTTTCAACCTTTTGTTTATAACTTTTCCCTCCAACTTTTTTTCCAACTTTTTTTTTCCAGCATATTTTTAAAAACTTTTTCTTGCAACCTTTTTCCCAACCCCTTTCCAACGTGTTTTTCAAACTTTTTTTCCAACTTATTTTCCTCAACTTTTTTATAATCTTTTCCAACCTATTTTTCCAAGTTTATTTTTCCAACTTGTCTCCAACCTTAATATTTTCCCAACTTTTTCTTTCAACCTTTTTTTTCAACCTTTTTTTCCAACCTATTTTTTCGAACTTTTTCCTGCAACCTTTTTCCAACCTTTTCATCCAACTTGTTTGTCCAACTTGTTTTTATTGTCTAACCTATTTAAGCTGCTAATAAATAAATCAAATAAAGTTTGTATTTCGCTATAAAAATACAAAACAAATCTATGTATTTTCTGTATTTTTCCAACAGAAATAAATAAATTAATTAGACTTTTGCTCTTTTCCCCTTCCTAATTGTTTATTTGCTCCAAATAAATTTTTTTATTATTATTTATTTTTGTTTAATCTGGATAAAATAAATACTTGTTTAGCTTATTGCGAAACTTTTTTTCTTTTAATTTTTATTTTTTTTTGTTTAAAAGACTAATGATCCCCCCTTTCAAAAAATATTTTTAGCATTCTTTTTTCATTTTACTTTTGTTAAATATTTATTCTTTACTTTTCCCTTTTTTGACTCATAAAATTAAATAAAAACACAATTCCATTTAAAAATAAAAATTAAAAAAAATTATTTTAAGAATATTGCTGAAGAAAACATTAAATTTTATGACATCACTAATTTTAGAGAACAACCTTCTCTCTACATAATTTTTGATCTTCCTTATATTTTGTTGATTTTTGGTCATTTTAACGAAAAAAATTTTTTTCTGAATTTTTAAAATATTTTAAATATTAATTTAAATAATTTTCTCATCTATGAGAATATACCTGATAATTTAAAAAATATTTTTCACATAATTTCAAAAATAAATTTTTTCTTCTAAAAATAAATTTAGAATTTTAATTATTAATGGGAAAATCAAAAAATCAAAAAAATTTGATAATTAATTTAAAAAAAGATTTATTTTAATAATTTATCACTATAAATAATGTAGCCTACAATGTATTTTGTTGTATTTTTCAAAACTTTTTATTAAACTGAATTTAATTAATGTTTGAGATTCTTTCGTAATGTTTGTCTTTCCTTATACGCATTTTATAATTTTTAAATTATGAAACACATTAATTATGAAATAGTACACAATTCGGAGAGATAAAATCTATATAACAATTTTCAGAAATTTTAAATTTTTGTATTTTTATTTGTTCTGATTTTTGTATTTTTATTTGTTCTGTTTTTTGTGTTTTTATTTGTTCTGATTTCTGTGTTTTTATTTGTTCTGATTTTTGTATTTTTATTTGTTCTGATTTGTGTGTTTTTGTTTGTTCTGATTTTCGTATTTTTATTTGTTCTGATTTGTGTGTTTTTATTTGTTCTGATTTCTGTGTCTTTATTTGTTCTGATTTTTGTATTTTTACAATATCTGACATTCTGATTTTTGTCTTCCTTCTTTTCTTTTATTTATTCTGATTTTCCGATAAATTTTGTATTTTTTGTATTTTTTTGTATTTTCCGGAATATTCTCCATTTTATTTGCTATTTCTGATTTTTTGCAATTTTATTTTATTTTTGTATTTTCTAATAATTCTGATTTTTGTATTTTCCCACTTTTTGTATTTTATTAAATTCTGTTTGCAATACATAATTTTTGTACAAAACACGGTCTAATGATAAACATGGGGGGTTTTTTAAAAATAATAATAATTATTTTATCTTTAAAAAATAATTTAATAAAAAAATTACTTTTTTTCTTCATTTTCTTCCCCAAAACAAAGTCATTAAATAAATTAATTTAATAATAAAATTATTTTTTGTGTATCCATTAATCATAAAATTTTAAATTGGGGTAAATTTGTCATCATTTTTTATTTGTTTTTAAACAAATTTTATTTAAAAATAATTTTTTTTGTATTTTTCTGTGTTTAAAAAACAATAAACACACAATAAACACATGTTAAACTGCCAACAAAAATAAAATTACAACAAGAAAAATATTTTTAATTTTAACAAAAAAATTTTTTACAGAAAAATTATTTATTTTTATTTATTAAAATTGTTTATTTTTATTTTAAATTTTTAAACGAAAAATAAATTTATTTGATATATTTTTAACTATATTAGGCTTTGTGTTTTTATAAATTCTGATTTTTGTATTTTCGATTTATTATGTATTTTTTGTATTTTTTTAAATTCTGATTTAGTGTGTTTCAAATAGGTTCTCTGTAGTTCTGATTTTTGTATTTTTGTTAATTCTGATTTCTGTATTTTCCGTAATATCTTTGATGTTCTGATTTTTATTCTTTGGTTATTATGATTTTTTGTTTTCCTATCGTCGATGTTCTGATTTTGTGTATTTTTAAATTCTGATTTTTGTATTTTATTTGTTCTGATTTTTTGTATTTTTAATTCTGATTTGTATTTTATTTGTTCTGATTTTTTGTATTTTATTTAATTCTGATCTTTGTATTTTTATTTGTTCTGATTTTTTGTATTTATTTAATTCTGATCTTTGTATTTTTATTTGTTCTGATTTTTTGTATTTTATTTATTCTGATTTTTGTATTTTTAAATTCTGATTTTTTGTATTTTATTTAATTCTGATTTTTATTCTTTATTACTATTTTATTCAGAATTTCTTCTTGTTTTATGTCTTTCATTTGTGTTTTCCTTTTATGTATTTTCTCATTTTATATTAAATTTTAAATACATTTTTCTAAATTTGTATTTTTTCTCTTTTAATTTTCAGAATTAATAAATTAAGCAACCTTATGATTTTTAATTTCAACAATATTCCCACCATTAAAATTGAGGCAATTATTTGTGGTTGTCCCTGCTGTTCTTGTCTTTGTCCTTGATTAATCAGAATTTTATCTTTAAAAAAGACAAGATGCACTTTCCATTTTATGATTCAAGCGATCTTTGCGAAATTAGTTCAAATGAGAAAATTGAAGAAAAGGATGATGAGGTAATTAATTATTTAATTTTTTAAAAATTATTTTTTTAATGGGGGATTTAATTTAAAAAAAAATTTTTTTAATTAATTTTTTTTCCAAAAAAATTTTTTTTAAATTAATTTTTTTTCAAAAAAAATTTTTTTTAATTTTAAAAATTTTTAAAATTTAAAAAATTTTTTTTAATAATTTCTCGATTATTTTTAAATAAAATTCTATTATTTTAGCAAAAATCGAATCCTATTAATTTTGATGTGGAAATTGATACAGATACGGTTATTGTAGGTGGGTAAAATTTTTTTAAATTATTTGAGCTAAATTTAAAAAATTTTTCGTCGAATTTTCATTCCAAAATTCAAAAAATTATTTTTAAAAAATTAAAAAAAAATCTTCCAGGAAATGGCCCAGCAGGAATTTCCCTTTCTGCAATGCTTGCAGGATGGCATCCATTCTATAACAATTCCAACCCCCATCCAAATCCTCAAATCCACGCACAATTTACTTCAACTGAAAATCAATCTCTTCTTTTTCAAGTAGAAAATTTTAGAAATTTTCTAAAAAATTTTCGTTAAAAAATGTTTTTTTTTTCAAAATATTTCCTAAAAATTTTTTCAAAAAATTCTTTAATTTTTGAGAAAAAAAATTTTTTTATTCCAAAAAATTAGAGAAAAATTTTTAAAAATTTTTAGAAATTAAAAAAAAAATTTTTTTTAATTTTCAAAAAATTTTCGAAAAATTAAAAAATTTCTGAAAATTTTAGAGAAAATTTTATAAAATTTTAGAAATTTTTAAAAAATTTTCTAGCCCGTTTTTTTTAGTTAAAAATCCCTTTTTACCTCATTTCTTCTTTAATTTTTAAATTTTAAAGGATTTAACTTCCGCCGCCACCCTTTTAACTTCTTCAGAACACTCAACTTCCAATTTAACCCCTTTTGGTTGTCTTTATGATTCCCTCGTTCGACCCTCATTTTTTAATGATTTACAAACTGAAAATGAAAATAATCCAAATAAATCTTCAATTATATGGAGGCAAATTCCAAATAATTCTGTTCCACACATTGTATTGGGGGATACACAAATTGGTGGGTCTTGGACTGGATTTGAAGATGAGGTGTGTGGATTTGATTTGAAAAAATTTAAAGAAAAAAATTTTTTATTTTTAAAAATAGGGGGAAAGGAGGGTGAGAGAGGAAGAGAATTTATTTATGGAATTTTAATTTTAAATACCTAGAAAATTGCAGAGGGAAGAAAATTTCTAAGAATATAGCTTGTAATAGCTCCTTGTTCCGAAGCCTTTAGAGGATTAAACAAAAAATATTTTTGACTCACAAAATTTAAAAATATACATATTACTTTATAATTCTCATTTCGGATACTGGTTCCGGATCCAAATGATCTCCCAGGATCTGCCTTGATTGGAGTTTTGGACGGGATCTGTCCAATCCTTCACGTGAATACAGAACCTATTTTTGGAGAAATATGTACATATTGAAAGCATCGAAGCACATTTTCGGGAAAATTCGGGGGGAGATTAATTAATCTTTGTAAATTTCGAAACCAAAAAATTCAAAATTCTTCCAAGAAAAACGAAGGGTCCATGGGAGGGAAACTGCATTAATTACTATAATTTATCAAAAAAATTTTTTTTTAATTTCCAAATTTTAATTTTAAGGAAAATTTGGAGGAAGATTAATTAATTTTTTTCGAATTTTCGGAACCAAAAATTTTAAAATTTTTTAAGGAAAACTGATAGGTCTATGGGAGGGAAACTGCATTAATTACTATAATTTATTTAAAAAAAATTTTTAATTTCTAAATTTTAAATTTAAAGATAAAAGCTGTAAGTATAAGCAATTGGATGGATTTGCCGGGGTATTCACTTGCTGAAGACTTTTTGGGTGATCCAAGTTTAAATAATCAACGTCCAACAGCTAAAACATTCCGAAATTATTTAACTGCTTATTGCAATGTTATGGGTATTTTGAAGAATTTTAGGCCGAATACAAAAGTTTTGCAGATTAAGGTAAGGAAATTAATTTTTGGAAATCTTTGAAAAATTTTGAAATTTTCGAAAAAATTTTTTAAGAAATTTAAAAATATTAAAAAAATTATTTTTGAAATTTTTTAAAAATTTTTCAAAAAAATTTTTCAAAAATTTTTAAAAAATTTTTTGAAAATTTTCCCAAAAATTTTTTCCTTCCAGAAATTATACAATAAAATTACTGGTAGTTATTGGAAAGTGAATGGTGTTGATACACCTACAAATAAAATTTTTATTATTCGATGTAGAAATGTGGTTTTAGCTTGTGGAAAAAATAAACAGAGAAGGCTTGAGGTATTTAGAAATTATTTTGTCGTAGGGGGGGGGGCAGGGCATTGGGGCACTCTTGGTCCCGCGTGAGGATCCCCTGTTTTCTGTACCAGCAGCTCGAATTCCCCTCAATCTCCGTTCTCCTTATAATCGGCCCTCGCCTCGTAAGGTCCCTAACCTACTCAAACACAAACAAAAAATACAAAAAATATTTTCCCTCAATTTTCAGTTTGACTCCAACTCAACTTCAATTGTTTACGATCTAAATTCCCTCAAAAACTGTATTTCAACCACAAAAAATTCATCAAAAAATCATCCAGTAATTATTGTTGGTGATGGTATTTCCGCTGCCGACGCAGTTATTTGTGCTTTGGAGAGAAATTGTCAAGTTTTACATTTAATTAGAAGGAATGATAGACAATTAAAAAGTTGGGAAAAAATTTAGAAAAAAAATTTAAAAAAATTCTTTTTAAAGATGTAATGATTTCGCGTCTGTCACCTCTCGTCTATCCTGAATATGTACGGGTCTATCAACTTATGAGTGGGCAGAGAATAGAGGAAAATTATTTAAAACTTATTGAAACTACTATACGCAGTGTTTCCGGAAACGTAATTGAACTGAATACACCAGGCGGAATTATAAAAGTTAGAAAATGTTGATTAATTTTTATTAAAACTTTCCGGAAAAATTGTTAAAATTATCAAACTTTCCGGAAATGTAATATAAAAAGGTTTGGAAAGATTATTAAAAACTTTACGGAATAGAATACTTACAACTTTCCGGAATTTTAAACAAAGAACTTTCCGTAACACCTGACGGAAATATATAAAACTTTCCGGAAAAAATATACTTACAACCTTCCGGAATTTAATAGTTAACGGAAATAGAATATATCAAACTTTCCGGAATATATAAATCAGTCTATAAAATTATGCAACTTTCCGGAATTTATATACAAATATATTATACTAATATAAAACTTTCCTGAAATATTTATATTTTTAGGAACAATTTCTATGCCTATCCATTTGTATCGGAAGGCAGACAGAATTTCCATTACTGAAAGGAGTAGCTATAGACAACTTAGACCAATTCTCCTCAAATTATTGTTCTTCTAACGACTCTTCTCTTTTCGCTATAGGAGCGATGATTGGGGATCATTTTGTCCGTTATCTCGTTGGAGGGGCTTTGTGTACAGCACAAGCATTAATTTTAAGGAATAATTTTACAAAATCTTTGAGACAACCTTTCAAAGTTTTGTTTGACAAAAATGAAAGATTTGCCTGTTGTTGTTATAGTAAAAAGAAGAAAGGGAAAGAAGAAAAATTAAAATTTTTAAGAACAAATTCAGCAACTACCCCATTAACTCAACTTGTTAAAGAAATTGTGATGTAAAATAAAATTTTTTTTTGAGATGAATTAATTCCAAAAAATTTAAATTTTAATTTAATGCTCTAATGATATAAAAATAATTTTTTTAGTATTCCCAAATATTTTTTAAATTTTGTTTTTAAATTTTATAAAATTTTAAGATTTAAATTATATGTGTATAAAGGTTCTTTATTAAAAATTTGATATAAAATATGTCGGGACAATTTAATTTTATTATACAGTCATGCCGGCCATTTCACTTGGAATAAACAAATTTTACCCAAAATTTTAGGCAAAGTATAGTAACAACCAAGACTCACAAAAATATTTGATAGAGGGCCTAAAGCAGGGCAGCCCTTTCCAAATGACTAAAAAGGGGCATGGTTTCTCAAAAAAGGGGGAAAAAGTGGCATTGTAGAAAATGGGGCGAAGAGGTCGAAAAAGGGCAAAAACCCCCTAAAAAGTAGGCAAAAGGACAACTCTGGCCTAAAGATATTATGACAACATAAAATCTTCAAAAATCGAATTTATTATCTGTAACCGGTGTTTTCTCTAATGTTCGTACGGTGTTTTGTCCCTACCCACAAAATATATTTTTCAATATCTTTTATAGAAAGGTTATATCGTGAATAAGAAAACTTATGCTGTGCTTAGCACAAAAGGTTACAAAGCATTATTTTTACCAATTGATGGGAGAATAGGTCAAACGCGATTCATTTTTGCTTTATTTCTGTGGTATATAGAAAATTGGCCTTTTACTAAAAAAAACATTCATTCTCATTCTATTCTCATTCTGAGCAAAAAATTAGTTGAATTATTTGAAATGCGAGGCTTAATTCTATTTGTTTTATTATGTTGGTACACCGTGAATGGAAAGGTATTTTAAAATATTATTAGTAGTCATTTGCTTAACGGTTCTTCCCAAAATGAGTATTGAAATTAAAAAAACGATTCTGGGGTAAAAAATTGAATTTTAGTTAAGTTGCTGAAATAAAGATTCATCGAAGCCGAAAATTCGTGTATTACCTTTCCGGAAATGTAGGACATTTTCGAAGATGTGGACATTTGGGAGGCCAATTAGTAGTAGTCCTCTTTGCAGTGTCGCAGGCACTGCAAAGCCTAAGTGATTGTTAAGGCTCAGACTTAAAAATAAAAATATTTTTAAAACAAAATTAAAAGTAAATCATTTATTTTTGGAAGGAGACGCAACATGATTTATGTCTTAGGCCTATAATTCGAACCTCTCTAAGTCAATTGTGGCCCGAGTAACGCCTCACCTATTCACAAAATCAAAAGAAAATATAGATATACCTTTCTTTAAAAATGGACTAAACTGTTTCCGGTCGGGGTCACCTGTTGAAAGTTTTGAATACCAATATTTTTACATTTTAAGGTTTACAATGCAGATTACAAGCCCGCAATGCCTTTAAAACTAAATCTTACAGGTTCTTAATTAAAAAAAATTTCTGGTAATACCTAAAGTAAACAAGCCATATTTTTAGAAGAGCAATTTGCAAAATTAAAAAAAGATTTTGACCGGGATATTGAAGAGAATTTAATTATGGACACATACTTGAAAGGTGATTTTAACAGAAAATTCGCTAGGAACGTTAAAACGAGGCTTATAATCTTTCATAATTTATAGGTCTAAAGACAAGGAATATAACTGACGTTAGAGTGATGGGTGGCACAGACGCGGTGTTATCGGAGGCCTTATATTTCTGCCAAATATTCAACTTTAATAAGTATGGTTCATACACTGTAGGTTATTCTATTCCAAAGCAAGTAGCTATTTAATCCTTAAGGCTGTCCAGTAGGCGGGTGTTGTAATCAGTGATGTCAAAGTTCCAAAATTTCTCTGGAACTAGTTCCAGTTACAGAACTAGGATTTTAATTTTTGTAGTTCCAGCACAGATGAGGTGTTATCGGAGGCTAATTAGTTCCGGAACTGAAACTGGAAATTTGACATCACTGGTTGTAATGGATAACACATCAGTCCGGTCTACTAAGGGTGCTGGTTCCCTCCCAGCCGCCGAATAACCTTTTACTCTAGCTAAAGGAGAGAAATAGCTATAGCCCAGCTGCTTTCCTACATATATGTTACAAAAAATCAATCCTATTCTCAGTTTTGTGGTGGCGCAGCAATTGCCGAACGTTTTATTGTTTCTTCCTCACATTGTTTTAACAAGAAAGACTCACTACAAAAAATTAAAGTTAGAATCGGGTCAACGAAGCTAGGAAAAGGCGGCCACATTGGAATCAAGAAAATAATCACACATAATTCAGAAGATTTGGCACTGCTTTTAACGGAAGATGAGATTGAAAGTGGAAACAGAATTGGTCTGTCGTCTATAGCAGAGAGACTCGGGGAGATGGGAACCTTCTTTGGTAATACATATTTTATAATATATAGTAGGGTTTGACCCCGAACGCTCGGGGGCGGGTATGTCAGGGTACGGGGTTTTAATGTCAAAATATGTCCTGGGTTTAGTTCTGGGTACGGGGTCGGGGTCAAACTCTAATATAATATATAGAGTCTATAGCACATTTAAACAATTTTTAGGCTTCGGTATCAATGGTTTCCTAAACTCTGTACAACTACCAACAACGCTTCAAAAAACAACAATCGTCGTGAAGGGAGCAATTGGACACTGGCCCAATTTGTTTGCTACTTCAGGAAACATTAAAGGAGACTCCGGGGGAGCTGTTATTTGGAAGGAATACCGAAAAAGTGTGATAGGAGGAATTTATTGTGTGCATGTCCAGAAAAACAACACTTGTATCTTTCTACGTGCTAAGGATTTCAAGATGTGGATAAATGATCAAATGGCTATGGCCTTGTGAGTATTAGTAGAAGATGAGAATACATTTAGTGTAAAGCATGTAGCTATTTAATTCCCAAGGCTGTGCAGTAGGCGGCGTGGTGTAATAAAATTAAAAAAAGACACATCAATCCGGTCTACTGAAGATGCTGGTTCGCTCCCAGCCACCGAATAACCTTTTGCACTAGCTAAAGGAGAGAAATAGCTATAGCCAAACTGCTTTACTTTAGTTATTTTTGGCTAATTAAAAAATTGTAGATAAACAATAATAAATATTTTTAAAAATGATGTAAACATAAAACTTCAAAAACTTTGGAGCTTTAACTATATCATTTTATTCTGAATTACTAGAACCAAAAATTATACAGACACTATATTTACTATAACAATAGGCATACAAAAAATAACACCACCCTATTTTACTTAACACAATTCAATTTAAATTATAATCATCAAGAAGCGATTTAATCTCCTGCCCTTTCATTCTTTCAATCAAAATACAAGGATGAAGACGCCCATCAAAGTTGTCTACATGTAACCATTGAACAAGAAACTTCACATTTGGATTGTGAATATTTGAAAGTTCATATTTAGTAAAACCATATCCATCAAATCTTTTCTTTTCAACATTCTCCGCTCTCTCGCTCACAGTAAAAGGACGCCAATGGAGGTAATGAAACTTGAATTTATCCACCATAAGATGAAAATCGGTTGAAGTTTCAATATGCTAAAATTTTAATATATTTTGGATCTACAGAAGATGCACAAAATTTCGTTTTCGTACACGTAAAAATGAGGAACACAGGTACTATACTGCCTGAATCTTCAGGATTAGGGTTGGAGTTTTCGCGTCGGGCCGACGTTCAAGTCATTCTTTTCGGGCCTCATTTTTTCGGGCCGGCCCGACCGAGTCTTTTTCGGGCCAAAATTCAATGCCCGACTAGATCTTTCGGACCGGGCCGGATCGGGCCCCAACCCTATTCAGGATGCCTGTGTTATTGACCTCTCTCTCTCAATGGAAGAGAATCTGTGTCCATGTGCAAGTCTTTTTAAACGATAAAGGGGAATGCACGAAAACGAGATTTCCGTGCAACTTTTAGTTCCTGTATTTTTTTAAATCCCTCCTTGGTCTCAGAATGTATTTTCAGTCGAATTAAATAAAAAGTTAAACTCACATTCATAATTAATTTGTACACAGTATCATGCATAGGATGACGGAGAAAAACATAGGGAATTCCAACATTCAAAAATAGATGAAATAAAGCATCGTGTGTCTGTTGCTCAAAATGTCCACCAGTACGTATCTCAAGGCTTTCAAGAATAATTAAATTGTCTTTAAAAATATCCGGTACTAAAGCAAAGAAATCACGTGTCATTGCCCGTTCAGTTTGAAATTTGGTAAAAATTGTTTTGTCGTCTTCAAAAAGCAATTTAATCATTTGAGGATGGAAAATAGCAGATGTAAACTGAACTTGCTCGAAAAAACATTTAAACAGTTGGAGTAACCAGAAACGAATAATTTGCAATTCTTCAATATTCTTCGGTTTCGGAGGCAATTGCAAGAGTAAATGTCGAGATTCTAAAAAGAAGTGAAGATTAACCATAATAATTTCTAGAGAGCGAGGTCTGCAAAAAACAGAAAGAGTTTGCAAAAGTTTAGCCACCAGACAGGATTCGAACCTACGACCACCTGCTAGTTGTTGCTAGGCGCTTTCGCTCACTATATGCAGGAGCTCTACCTCTGAGCTACCGGGGCATCGACTAATAATTTCTCTTTTTCCTTTTTAGATCGTTTAACCCCCGCCTAAGCGTTTTGAATGCTGCTAGGTGAATCATCCTTACAAAACCTTGACCTAAATTCTTGATTTTAGTCGGGTACCCTGACCAGATTCTTGAGCTTGAGTCAAGGAAAAATTAAGGAACGCTGAAAAATGCCTTGATCTGGACTCTGAATCCAGGAAAAATCAAGGTCTGGATCCAGATCCTGCCCGCTCTCTAATAATTTCAAAGTTAATTACCATCCGTTAAACGTAGAACATGATACATTTTCGGACGAATCATAGTGCCTACATATCCAAACAGACGAATTTGTTTATCAAGTGCGGATTTCCACTGAAAAAATATTTAAGGTTTGAGCGAAATTTAGGCAAAAAAAAAATTTCTACCTTCTCCAAAAGTTCATTATCCACCGGGGAATGAACAACATAACGTCCAAGCTCTTTAAGGTCCAATACTTTGTAATCAAGCTGTCCATTCTCTCTTTTGTGTTGATAATAAAAACCTTTAAGTTCGGTCTAAAGAAAGGGAAGTGTGTTTAAAAATGATTTTAAAAAGAAAATTACCAGTTCCATATGCTTAAAAAACTTTCGAGCCAATTCCCCCTCATATTTGCCAATAAACGAAGAAAAGTAGCGATTGACTTGTTTAACAATAAACAACTGATTAAAGTTGAGATATCTAAAAATATCCAAATGAACTTCAATCGGAAGATGATGATACATTTTTGAAAGGCTGAAACTAGACAATATAGAAATGAATAAAAAGAGAACAGAAAAAAGTAAAGTCTGCAGCTTTTATACTACAACTATTTTTAAAAATTATTGGAATAATGTTCAAATTTTATTCAAAAGTCTTATCAATTCAAAGACAAAATATGTATCCTAACTCCATTCTGAAGCAGGGATGTCTCGAGTTGAGAAAAAAAGCCGTGTCGGATCTTCAAAATTTTCCTCGGAAAAGGTTTCAGGTTGAAAGACAAAGTTCTGGGTATCGTGTAACTGGTGACATCCCTGGTCTGGATATAACTATACTTATTATAACAATTCTAACATATTATCAAGAAATTCAATTTAATTATACTCATCAAGAAGCGACTTAATCTCCTGTCCCTTCATTCGTTCAATTAAAATAGAAGGCTGAACACGCACATCAAAGTTGTCTTTGTGTAACCATTGAACAAGAAACTTCACATTTGGATTGTGAATATTTGAAAGTTCATATTTAGTGAAGCCATATCCATTAAATACTTTCTTTTCAACATTTTCCGCTCTCTCGCTAACAGTAATTGGACGCCAATTGAGGTAATGAAACTTGAATTTATCCACCATAAGATGAAAATCGGTTGAAGTTTCAATATGCTAAAATTTTAAAGATTTTTTGAATCTGCAAAGAGATTTTCGTTTCAAAATTTCGTTTTCGTACACGTAAATAAAAAAGAAAAAAGAAATCCCTTACATCCCTTAAGGCATCGAAAAAATATTTTTTAAATCAGACTTGACCATGGATACGTAAAAATAATAGAGATAACAGTCAGATCCCTGCCGCTATCTGCCAGATATGTCCGGATAGCAATTCCGTGCCATTGTGTTCGACGAGCTCTTCCTAATGAGCTATCATATAAAAAATCAAATTTTTCACCCCAAAATTGTGCTTACTCCCCCCTATGGTTTTTCGAGTTTCGGGGACCTATATCTCGGTCCACAGGTCTTCATAAACGAGGGGAATGCACGAAAACGAAGTTTTCGTGCTCTCCGTTATATTTTAAAATCCTCTTGTTTTAAAATGTATTTTCCAAACAAATTTGTACTAAAAAGTTAAACTTACATTCATAATTAACTTGTACAGAGTATTATTCACAAGATGATCGAGAAAAACGTAGGGAATTCTAAGATTCAGAAATAGATGAAATAAAACATCGTGTTGCTGTTGCTCATAATGTCCACCAAGACTTATCTTAAGGCTTTCAAGAATTACAATAATGTTTTTGAAAATAATTGTTGATAAAGGAAAGGCATCAGTTGTCATTAAATGTTTAGTTTGAAATTTGGTAGAAATTGTTTTGTCGTTGTCGAAAAGTAATTTAATCAAAAAAGGATTGATTGAAGCATGTGCAAGGTTAATTTCTCCAAAACCACACTTAAACAGTTGAATTAACCAAAAACGGATAATTTGAAGTTCTTCGATATTCTTTGGATACGGAGGCAATTGCAAGAGTAAATGTCGAGATTCTAAAAATAATTGAAGATTAACTATACTAATCTCGAAGTTATTACCCTCCGTTAAACGCAAAACATGATAATATTTCAAACGATCCCAACGGCCTGAAGACGCATACAAACGAATTTGTTTATCAAGTGCGGATTGCCACTGAAAAAATATTTAAGTGTTAAGCGAGAATTGAGGTCATGCGGACATATCGGAATGGACATATCCGAACATTTCAAGGTACGGACAGTTACCTTGATTTCGGGACCTACGACCAATGAGTCTTGGATAGTACATTTCCCTTGTTTTTATTGTCCCACAATCCCGTATGTTCGCCACCCAAATTCATTCAAAAAAATTCTTTTTACCTTCTCCAAAAGCTCATTATCCACAGGTGAATGAACAACATAACGTCCAAGCTCATTAAGGTCCAATACTTTGTAATCAAACTGTTCACGCTCTATCCATTTTAGATGCATATAAAAACCTTCGAGTTCGACCTAAAGAAAAGAATGTGTTTAAAATAATTTAAAAAAATTACCGGTCTCATATAACCAAAAAATTTGCGAGCCAATCCCCCCTCATAACGTTCAATGAACGAAAGAAAGTAGCGATTGACTTGTTTAACAGAAAATAATTGATTAAAGTTGAGATATTTGAAAACATCAAAATGGACAACACTCGTAAGATGATAAAACATTTTTAAAAGGCTGAAACTAATAAAAAATTAAAGCTTGAATAAAAACAGTATAAAATATGCAGCCTTTATATACTATTTTAAAAATTCTTGGCATACGTTTAAATTTTATTCGTAAGCCTTATTTAAATATTTTGTAACCATACAATTTCAAAAATAAACTTTGTATTCTAGCTCCAGTCCGAAGCAGGGATGTCATAGATAGAGAAAAAAGTCAGTTTGGGTTTTCAAAATTTTCTCCGGGCCGGGTTCCGGGTCGAAAAAAGTATCGGGTTTCAGGTAAAAAAAACTAGAGACATCCCTGTTCTGAACTACTCATTAATTATATTTACTATAACAATTCTATGACAAACAAATTAACACACTATCAAAAAAATCCTAATTTAATTATACTCATCCAGAAGCGATTTAATCTCCTGTCCCTTCATTCTTTCAACCAAAATACACGGAGGAACACGCACATCAAAGTTGTCTTTATGTATCCATTGAACAAGAAACTTCACATTTGGATTGTGAATATTAGAAAGTTCATATTTAACGAAATTGAATCCGTTAACTCTCTTCTTTTCAATGTTCTCTGCCCTTTCGCTCATAGTAAAATCACGCCAAGTGAGGTAATGAAACTTGAATTTATCCACCATAAGAAGAAAATCGGTTGAAGTTTCAATATACTAAATTTATAAAATTATTTGGATCTTCAGAAGTACACAAAATTTCGGAAAAAGGAACTTTTCTTTACGTTCCATAAGGAATCGAGAAAAAATATATATTTTAAATCAGACTTATACATGGATGGATACATAAAGATAACAGTCAAATGTCAACCGATAACTGACAGATATAACTAGAGATCGGCCAAATTCTATCTGTCAAATATTCAGGATGCCTATGTTATTGACCTCTCAATGCAAGAGAATCCCTTCCATGTGCAAGTCTTTTTAACCGATAAAAGGGAATGGTCGAAAAAGAAGTTTTCGCCATCTTTATTTTTTTAAAAAAATCCTCTTGGGCTTAAAATGTATTTTGCAAAAAATCGTACCTTCATAATTGACTTGTAAAGAGATACGTCGGCAATTGTAAAATCCATAGCATGATTGAGAAAAACACAGGGAATTCTAACAGTCGTAAATAGATGAAATAAAACATCGTATTGCGCAAATGAATGATGATCACACTGTACCTCAAGGCTTCCAAGAATTGTCATATTGTTTTTAAAAATATCCGTTAATAAAGGAATGTCCGAAGTTGTCATTGCCCTTTCAGTTTGAAATTTGGTAGAAATTGTTTTGTCGTTGTGGAAAAGTAATTTAATCAAAAAAGGATGGAATATAGCAGATGTAAACTGAACTTCCTCAAAAAAACATTTAAACAGTTGAATTAACCAAAAACGAATAATTTGCATTTCCTCAATATTCTTTGGAAACAGAGGCAATTGTAAAAGTAAATGACGAGATTCTAGAAAATATTGGGAATCAAAATATTGAGTATAAAGTTAATACCATCCGTTAAACGCAAAGCATGGTAATATTTCGAACGGCCCCAACAAGTTGAATAGGCATACAAACGGATACGTTTATCAATTGCAGATTGCCACTGAAAAATATTTAAGGTTTGGATGAAATTCATTCAAAAATTTTTTTTACCTTCTCCAAAAGTTCATTATCCAACGGAAAACGAACAACATAACGTCCAAGCTCTTTAAGGTCCAATACTTTGTAATCAAGCTGTCCATTCTCTCTTTTGTGTTGATAATAAAAACCTTCAAGTTCGATCTAAAGAAAGGGAAGTGTGTTTAAAAAATGATTTCAAAAATTACCGGTTCCATATATTTGAAAAACTTGCGAGCCAATACCTCTTCATATTTGCCAATAAACCAAAGAAAGTAGCGATTGATTTGTTTAACAAAAAATAACTGATTAAAGTTGAGGCATTTTAAAACATCAAAATGGATCTCACTCGGCAGATGATGAAACATTTTTTAAAAGGCTGAAACTAACAAAAAATAAATAACATTAACTAGCTTGAATAGAAACAGTATAAAGTATGCAGCTTTTATATACTAAAAATATTTGTAAAAATTATTGGCATACTGTTTAAATTTTATTCGAAAGCCTTATTTAAACATTTTGTAATCAGAAAACAATAAGCTTTGTATCCTAGCTCACTTCTGAAGCAGGGATGTCACGGGTTGAAAAAAAGTATGATCAGGCCTTCTAAATTTTCATCGGGTCGGATTCTGGGTCAAAAAAGTCAGATTTCTAGTATCAGGAAATTAGTGACATCCCTCAATAACTATACTCATTATGACAATGCTAACAATAAGACAAACAAATTAACACACTAACAAAAATCCTACTTTAATTATACTCATCAAGAAGCGATTTAATCTCCTGTCCCTTCATTCTTTCAATCAAAATACAAGGTTGGACCTCTACATTTAAATTATTTATGTGTATCCATTGAACTAGAAACTTCACATTTGGATTGTGAATATTTGAAAGTTCATATTTAGTGAAGCCATATCCATTAAATCTTTTCTTTTCAACATTCTCCGCTCTTTCGCTCACAGTAAAACGACGCCAATTGAGGTAATGAAACTTGAATTTATCCACCATAAGATGAAAATCGGTTGAAGTTTCAATATGCTAAAATTTTAAGAGGTTTTCCGTGAATTTTTGTAAAAGGTCCTCGTTTTCTTAGGACTCTCCATTCAATAAAAAATGCATGGGAATAAGGCGAACCTATTAAAAATTTCGGGTAACCCGTGATGTTGGTTGAAGCTGATAATTCACTTCAGATTTTCCCTTTACCCTTGCCTTTAAGGAAGCAGAAAAAATGAAAATGGGGTAAGGCGAGTCTTTTTCGGGCCAAATATCTTAAGCTCAACTCGATCTTTCGGGCCGAGTCGGTTCATTTTGGCAACCCTAAATCGAAAAGTACCAATATATGGTACTTTATTAATATCCCGCCCCCCACCCCTATTTGAGTCTCAGATTATTTTTTCCTTTTTTGCTGTCAATCATTTATTCCCCTCCTTTTTTAATACCAATCATTTTCTTCCCTCGAATATTATAAGTAAAAGGCAAGTTAGAAACTTAAGATATTTGAGGAGTACAGCCCAAAAAGGCGCGTAGCCATAACGGTGCAAAGCCATAACCTTTTGTAATATTTTTGACCCTTGTCATTTTTGTTATCAATCTCTTTAGCTCGATGAAAGGAATAGTTTAATATTAAGTTTTGTAAGGCTCGAAAACCTTGAAGCAAGTTATGGCTTTGCGCCTTTGTGGCCGCGCGCCCTTTTGGGTGTCTTATATGAGGGAAGAAAATGATTGACATTAAAAAAAGGAGGAAAAATAAATGAATGGCAGGTAAAAAGGAAAATTAATCTGAGACTCAAATAGGGGTGGGGGGCGGGATATTAATAAAGAACCCAATATATTGCCCAAATCAGAAAGTTGAAAACTTACCTTCATGATTAAATTGTAAAGAATATTATGCTCAGGATGATCGAGATAAACATATGGAATTCTAACAGTCAAAAATAGTTCCAATAAATCATCGTATTTCAGTGCACCGGCCCCAAAATCAACCGTAAGGCTTTCACTAATTGTCATATTGTTTTTGAAAAGATTTTTAAATATAGGGATGTTCTCAGTTATAATTACACGTTCAGTTTGAAATTTGGTAAAAATTGTTTTGTCGTCTTCAAAAAGTAAGTTAATCAATATAGGAGTAAATGTAGCCCATGTAAAATTAATTTCTTCAAAACCACACTTAAACAGTTGAATTAAACAGAAACGAATTATTTTCATTTCCTCAATATTCTTCGGATAAACAGGCAATTTAAGAATTAAATTTTGAGATTCTTCTAGAAAAAGATAAAAAATAACAATAAATTATAAGGTTAATACCGTCCACTAAACGCAAAACAAAATTAGCTTCAAAACGACTGCGTAAAAATGCGAATAAACGCACTTGTTTATCTATTGCAGACTGCCACTGAAAAAATATTTAAGGGTTAACCGAAAATTCAGGGCATGCGGACATATCGGGAATTTCAAGGTACGAACGTTCACCCTACTTATTACGGGACTTACGGCCAATGTCTTGGATGGTACATTGCCCTTGTTTTAGTTCTCACAAAGTCCGGCATGTCCGCCATCCAAATTCATTTAAGAAAAATTTTTTACCTTCTCCGAGAGTTCATTATCCACTGGAAAATTAACAACATCAAGTCCAGGTTCCAAAACTTTATATTCAAAATCACAATGGGAAAGTCTGATCTAAAGAAAGGGAAACTTATTAACAAATAATTAGGAAAGAATTACCGGTTCCATATGTTTAAAAAATTTCCGAGCCAATTCCCCCTCATATTTGCCAATAAACGAAAGAAAGTAGCGATTGGTTTGTTTAACAGAAAATAACTGATTAAAGTTGAGATATTTGAAAGTGTCCAAATGAACTTCAATCGGAAGATAATACATTTTTGACTGAAACTAACAAAAAATTTAAATAAACAATAAATACACAGATATTTAAAAATGATAATAAACATAAAACTTGCAAAACAAAAATTTTTAATTTTATCATTTTATTCAGGATTAAAAACCAAAAATTATACAGATACTACCTAACTATAACAATATACTACAAGACAAACAAATAATATCCTAATGGAAGTACTTACTCAAATCACAATCAAGAAGCGATTCAATATTCTGTCCTTTCATTCTTTCAATCGCAAGATAAGCTTGTAGACCTATATGTTGTGCGTGAACATTCATTGCTGCTTCTGTATATATCCATTGAACAAGGAACTTAATATTCGGATTGTGAAGATTGGCAAGTTCGTATTTGACATAATTGAATCTATCAACCACCCTCCTTTCAACATTTATTGCCCTTTCACTCACAGTAAAAAGAGGCCAATTCATGTAATGAAACTCAGTCTTATCCACCATAATTTGACAATCAGTTGAATTTTCAATATGCTAAAATTTTGAAGTTTTTTTTAAAGATTTTTAGAGGAATTGTGAATTTTGTATAATGACCCCTTTCTATTTTCTCCCAGTGGACCATAGGTTCTAACACAGAGCTGGGTATTTACAACCACAGATTTTGGGAGAAATTTGTGAGAAATAGAGGTCAAAATTCACAATTCGCATTTTAGGATTCTCCGAGTATTTTTTAGACAATATTTGGAGCATCTAAGCAAAAGTTAAACTTACATCCAAAATCAAGCTGCAAAGTGTAGGATATGCATCGTGATCGGAAAAGACATATGGAATTTTATTGAAAAATAGTGGCAACAAAACACGATAATTCTCCACAGCCAAACTAGGAAGTATCTCAAGACTTTCCAAAATTGTCAGATAGTTTTTGAAAATATTTCTTAATCGAGGAACGGAGTCATCTATCGTTGCCCGTTTAGTAAGAAATTTGGTAGAAATAGTTTTGTCGTTGTCAAAAAGTAATTCAATCATTGAAGGATTGAATGTGGCACGTGTGAAGTTGACTTCTTCAAAAGAACAATTAAACAGCTGGAGTAACCAAAAACGAATAACTTGCAGTTCTTCAATATTCTCTGGAAACGGAGGCAATTGTAAGATTAAATGTCGAGATTCTGAAAAAGAATTGAAGATTAACAGTGTTAATTGTAAAGATAATACCATCCGTTAAACGCAAATAATGGTAATATTTCGGACGGTCCCAACGACCTGTATATGAATACATTGGAATTTCCATATCAATTGCGGTTTCCCACTAAAAAAGAAAATTTCTAAGCGAAATTTAGCCAAAAATTTACCTCCTCCTTAAGCCACTTATCCAATGGAAAACGAACAGCATAACGTCGAAGCTCTTGAAGAGATACAATTTTGTAATCAAGCTGTCCATTCTCTCTTTTGTGTTGATAATAAAAACCTTTAAGTTCAGTCTAAAGAAAAGGAATGTGTTAAAAAATTTTGAAAAAGATTACCGGTCCCATATGCTTAAAAAATTTGCGAGCTAATTCCCCCTCATATTTACCAATAAACGAAAGAAAGTAGCGATTGACTTGCTTAACAGAAAATAATTGATTAAAGTTGAGATATTTGACCACGTCACAAAGGATATATTGCCGAATAAAGGAAAGAGTAAAACTAAAGTTATCAGCTTTTATACTAAAAAATTCTTAAAATTCTTGGGATACTGTTGAAAATTTATTCAAAAAAATTTATGCCAAATAATTTTAGATATTTTATATTTTCGAAAAAAAATATTACAAAATATAAAATTTCAAAATGTCAACTTAAAATTCGGTAAATTGTCTTAATCCGATTTAGAGACCGGCGCGGGACGGGATCCCGCGCGGGATTTTGCGGGATCCCGCTCCCGCAATCCCGCACTTTTTTTCGATTTGCGGGATTTTGCGGGATGCGGGATTTTTGCGGGATTATCCCGCGGGATCCCGTCCCGCAAAGCTTTTTAAAAAAAATCCCGCATGCGGGATCCCGCAAAATATTTTGCATTTTGCGGGATTTTTGGAAAATAGAGGATTTTGGCTCATGGCCTTCTAAATTAAAAAAATTTTCGCCTGCGGCGCTAGAAAAAGGAGAATTTTGGCTCGCTGGCCTTCCTAAAATCTCGAAATTTTCGCCTGCGGCGCTGAAAATGAAGGAATTTCGATACTTGGCCTTCTAAAATTTTCGCCTGCCGCCCATGGAATCATCTTTATTTCATAAAAACAAGATTGTCCAAATTGTTAAATCACGATGGTTGATCCCATTTGTTTCAGCTCAAGCCATTTAATGTGTACACCTCGTTTCAGTCTGGGCTCAGTTCAGTCGCGCGCCTTATAACTTTTGAAAAGGCCGATAATTTTTATGTTCTTGGTACCATTTGATAGAGCATTAAATAAGCTACCATATACTAGAAAATCAAAAATCTTGACTAACTGGTAAAAAAGTTATGTTCGAAAAAGTGCCAAAAAATCACTTTTTTTGAAAAAGTTGTTTTTTATATCATAACTTTTTATCAACCGGTCAAAAATTCTGATTTTTTGAAAATTTGTAGAGCTTTTGATTCTCTATCCAATTGTATCAAGAACATGAAAAAGTGACCGTTCCTTTATGAGTTATAAGGTCCAAACTAATTGAGCCAGATTGAACTGAGGTATGCTCCATATTCTAATCTGTATACTCGAACTTTCCGACGAATATTTATTAGCTCGTTAATGATTTAAGAACCCGTTAATGATTAGGAAATTGATTTTTTAAATAGATATTGATAATTTTAACGATTTCTGGAAAATCCCGCAATCCCGCGCGGGATCCCGCAAATTTAAATTGCGGGATTTTGCGGGATGCGGGATTTTGCGGGATTTATCCCGCGGGATCCCGTCCCGCAAAGATTTTGAAAAAAAATCCCGCATGCGGGATCCCGCAAACACGATTTTGCCGGTCTCTAATCCGATTAGCCAAAATTATTTGTCTATTTTTCCTTCGTGTTTCATTAAATGTTCTCAAACAATATCACAGAATATGTGTCAGGAGAGGTTTGGCCAGAATTGAAATGCATTCTTAAACGACTTTACAGTGATTTTGTTGTAATCGAAATTCCAAAAGATGGAAACATTTTAAAACCAAATTATAACAATAATGAAGAGGAGAATGAGGATAAAGAAGAAGATAATGGAGAAAACAAAAAAGATTCTGCAGAATTACCAAAAGAGTTGGATTGCATATCTGAACAAATTTCTAAATTTTCACAAATTGTAGAAGGCGAAATTGAAGAATGCGTTATTGATTTGAAGGTTTATTTGGATGATTTTTTGTGTTATTTTACTAATTTTGTAGGAATTCTCCAAGGATGTCCGTAAACAACTTTATGATTTTATCAGAAACAATTTTAAAGATCAATTACAAACGAACTGTAAAGATGGAATTTTGACTGTTGAAAAGGCTAGCTGGTTTGTTTTTTAATATTTTGTACCTCAAAGAGTTCTTGACAAGTCTTTTTGATTATAATTTCCATTGGAGATAGGAAATTAAAAAAAACGTTGACCTTGAATTTGGTTGAGGATGTTGACCGGATTTTTGACCTCAAGTCGGGGGGAAATCAACGAACACTAAAAAATGCCAACGAACACTAAAAAATGCCTTGATCTTGACTTTTGTTAAGGGGGGTTCTTTTTTCCGGCCATTCTCTGATTTCCAGACACTTTAAATGGATCAAACTTCAAATTTTTATATGATTATTTGGTAATAGTGTCGTTTCCAGGCCCCATTTTTTCTTCCCAATTTTTTACCCTATGTTTGCACGGAATGGTCAAATTTTCCACTTTCTTTCATCAAATTTGCCTTTCCATATTTTGCCTAAAAACAATCAAAAAGATTAATTTGTGATATTTAAAAAAGTATTAGAGTAATGAGAATAATCATTTTCCCAATAAATAAAAATGGAAGACTGTTGTTGTGAGAAGAAAATATGAAAGAGGCAGACAGACAACCATCAAAGAAAGATGTATGGATGATTGGGGGCGTTGAGAGAAACACCAAGAGAAACACCAAGCTTTTTGATTGTTTTTAGGCAAAATATGGAAAGGCAAATTTGATGAAAGAAAGGGGAAAATTTGACCATTCCGTGCAAACATAGGGTAAAAAATTGGGAAGAAAAAATGGGGCCTGGAAACGACACTATTACCGATTATTTTTTAGGAATGAAAATAGAAAACGCAAATTTTGGCCAAATGATAGAGGAGACTATCTACATTTTACAATAACAAAAGAGAATATGGACACAAATACTTGTATTGATCTAATTGCTAATAGATTAAAGTTTGTTATTATTTTTTACTAGGTCTTGAATGTTTTTAATGAGCAGATTTTTGGATTACAATTAGACCTCTTTAGAATTCATTGGTCTTAATTTTAATAGAGATTTTGATTCTAAGGTTTGGATTTGACATGAGCACATTTTTTGGTCCAAATCCACTTTCTACCTCAATTTCTAATTTATTCCATTTCCAGTTTGAAACCCTCACTCTTTTCTGTTTCCGGAACAAAAGATCGCCGTGCTATTACAGTCCAGCGAGTTTCTGCCTATCGAATTGAGAAGCGTCGTCTTTGCAGACAAAATTTTCGTGGTCTATGGCTCTCTGATTTTGGCTATTTTAAAACAAAATTGGAATTAGGAGATGCAACGGGAAATTATTTTTCGATAATTTTGAGGTTTTCTTTTCCTTAAATTTTAAGAAAAATTTTTTTTGTTAAATTTAGAGATGTTGACAACAATTTAAACCTTGAAGAATTCGATAAAAGGGTACAACAATGGAAGACAAATGGTTTTCTCAATTATTTCGGTTCTCAACGTTTTGGTGCTTGTGGTGTGCAAACTGCTGAGATTGGACGTTTAATTTTAAACCAAAAATGGGAGGAGGCAGTAAAGGCTTTGCTTAAACCTAGGAGTGATTCTTCTTCGACTAAAAGTTTGTTGGTAGTTTGAATTTTTGGGGTTTTTTTTGGTTCTAGTCTTATAGCATAAAGTTCGCATTTTTTGTCCGCAACTTCTTTGCGGACTTTCATTTTTGTCCGCAATATCAACTTTTGACCTGAATTTTGTTCAAATTCTCTGTTCAGGCTGCTTTAATGTTTCCTTTAATTTCAGTAAACGAATGTTTAAAACACTATACCGATTCTGGCAATGCAAAAGAAGCACTTCAACTACTTAGATATCCTGACAGATTCAGCAGTATCGAAATCTCATTACTTCGTTTTTTGTCAAACTATCCAAATGGTTATAAAGGAGCATTGTTAGCGTTGCCAAGGAATGTACGAACAATGTAAGAATTTTATAGAATTATCTTAAGTCCTCCGCTAATTTCCCACCCCCTGACTACGGGCCTGGAAAGGAAAGTGTTGAAAAACCCTGTAACGCAAAATTTTGGAAGTGGAAAAATTAGCCTCTTTATTAACCTCATCTTACGATTTTTTCTATTTTCCCCCATTTGTGAAGAGTTCCCCCATTCCAGCTCCTTGTCCGTATTCTCTCTTGTAATTTACTCATGCTTTTTCGGCACACATTCTAAAATTAAATAAAATTTTCAGGTATGTCCACGCCTATCAAAGTGCTGTTTTCAATCATATTCTTTCAAGGTTTTTTTGTTGAATTTAATCTTAAAAAAAACAATTTTTAGGCGCAAAAAATCGTTTGGACTTGCATGTTTACCTGGTGATTTGGATGTACTAGGAAATATATTAACTGATGAAACTTCTAAAATTGAAAATGTTTGCTTTCCTCTTCCATCTTTTGGAAATAAATTGCCTGAAAATGAAGGTTTTTTAATAATATTTTTGAAAAAATTATTTTTTTGTAATTTCAGTTGGAGAATGGTATAAACAAATTGCACAGGATGACGAGATTGATTATGAATCCTTCAAGAAAATTGAAAGGTTTAATTTTTTTTAGTGTAATGAGGAATGTCTCGGGATGAGAAAAAAGGGTTAGGGTCAGGTCGGAAAAAGGTCATGATATCAGGTCAAATCATTACCGAAGGATTTACGAGATTAAGAGTGGTATTATGTAAAAGTCCGAGTTCCAGTCGAAAAAGGTCCGAGTGAGGTCAGTACATGGCTTTTTGTTTGAGGATTCCATTAGATTTTTGGTCAGTACCGGGTGATTTTGGGATGTATAAGGAGAAAAAGTTCGGTTATCGGATTTCTGGACATCCGTGAAATCCTTGGGAAAAGTCTAAAAATTTAAAGAAAAAATATTTTTTAAGCCATTTTGGTCTCGGCAATGTTTATCGCCCATTTATTTCAAAACCTCAAGATGTTTCTTGGCAATTACTTGAATATTCCTTTCGTGATGAACAGCTTCAAACCTGTGAATTTATTCCAAAAAATGAATTAAAAGAAGAGCAAAATGAACAAATTAAAAAGGAAGAAAAAGTCTTTAAAGCATTAAAACTTTTATTTACTCTTCCTTCTGGAACTTATGCAACAATTGCTTTGAGGGAATTGATGAGAATAGATTTTAGTAAAGAATCACAAAAGGAAATGGAATTGGCTTGTTTAGGCAAAAAAGAAGAAATTTAATATTTTTTGATGATTTTGTTGAATTTTTAAAAATCATTGAAGTTAAATGTATGCCGAGGTTTGGGAACAATATAGAAAAGAATCGTGCATTGGTTAATTTGTAAAAATTGTTTGAGGTATCATTTTAATTTTTATTTTCCTTTAAGTTACCTAGGTGTTAATTTAAAATTATTTTAGGGTTTGTCTGCGATTTTTTGAAGGTGATGATTAAATGAAGGTGATGATTCTCAATTAGGTAGACGACTAAAAATCAAAAACCAGAAGACATCTTCTTACGAGAAGTGCCCTTTGCCGTAACGGGAGGCGTGGAAGGAGACCTTCGTTGGCGGTGTAGTAGCCTTGTCTGGTGGTGTAGTTGCCTTTTTTGGAGATGGAGAAGTTTTGTTTGGAGATTGAGAAACTTTCATCTTCTTAGCCGGAAGGATATATTGAGCTGTGGCATTTTGGAAGAAAACTTGAATATGATAAGATTGCTGACTATATTTATGGAAAAATAGATGTTGTCGTTTTGCTTAATTAGTAATTTTGCATATTTAGGAAAAAAATGAACTTGTGGCTTTTCGTCAAATGTTGGTCGTTCCGCTGAATATGGATGCTATTAGAACAAATGTGAAAGAAAGGTTTGTTTGACTACGGGACTAATGGATTTTACTAAGGGATTTAAACCAGGGCTCCGATTCGTACTTTTTTAAAAGTATTGTACTTTTTTATCGACCTCCGTACTTCCGAAATTGAATTTGTACTTTTTTGAAAGCATGTACTTTTTTATCAACTAATTTTTTATCAACTAATTAGTCAATTACTAAGTTTGTAAGTTGACTTATTAGTCAATTACTAACTATTAGTCAATTACTAACGTGTTACTAAATAGTTAGTATAAATCCCTTAGTAAAATCCATTAGTCCCGTAGTCAAACAAACCTTTCTTTCACATTTGTTCTAATAGCATCCATATTCAGCGGAACGACCAACACTAGACGAAAAGCCACAAGTTCATTTTTTTCCTAAATATGCAAAATTACTAATTAAGCAAAACGACAACATCTATTTTTCCATAAATATAGTCAGCAATCTTATCATATTCAAGTTTTCTTCCAAAATGCCACAGCTCAATATATCCTTCCGGCTAAGAAGATGAAAGTTTCTCAATCTCCAAACAAAACTTCTCCATCTCCAAAAAAGGCAACTACACCACCAGACAAGGCTACTACACCGCCAACGAAGGCAACTACACCACCAAAGTCTCCTTCCACGCCTCCCGTTACGGCAAAGGGCACTTCTCGTAAGAAGATGTCTTCTGGTTTTTGATTTTTAGTCGTCTACCTAATTGAGAATCATCACCTTCATTTTCGCAATGACAAAAAATCGCAGACAAAACTTAAAATAATTTTAAATTAACACCTAGGTAACTTAAAGGAAAATAAAAATTAAATTGATACTTCAAACAAATTTTACAAACTAACCAATGCACGATTCTTTTCCATGTCTTTCCCTTACTTTGCCATGTATTGAATGTCAATGATTTGTAACATATTTTTGTTATTTTTTTGCTTTTAATTTTCATAAATTTATTTAAAAAAATAAAATTTTTGGTTTTTCTATTTTAATGGTATTTAGCCATATAAAATCTCTTTTTATCTTATCAACACATTTTTTAAATTGACACTTTTTTCTAGATTTGTTACTCCAAAAAATGAAAAGTAAATTTAATATTCTTCAGGATTTGGAACCAGAAGAAGAAGATGAAGTAATGGAAGGAGGAAGCAATATATCAAATAATTTGTTAAATATAGAAGAAATTGAACAGTTGGTAGAACAACATTTGAGAAGTGATGATTGTCATACTGCTGCGTTTTGGGCAGAAAAGTTGTTGGCAATAAGTAGAAGACAAGGTGAACGTTCTTTAAGTGAACGGCTGCCACAGATTGCCAACTATTTAATTGTGAGTTTTTATTTATGAAATTTGGGGAACTAACGAGGTTTTAATTTTTACCGTCCTTGGGGTTTTTTCAATGTAAGGTCCTTGGGGTTGGATTTAGTGTTTTGGGCCCCTTATTTTAAATTTTTTGATTATTTTTCAGAAAAGGGACTTAAAATGACGTTAAAAACCCTTCAGAATACGGCTGGATGCATTGAAAAAATTCTAGACACCCTCAATTTTAATTCTAAAATCCGCAGTTCGAAAGTCAAAAAATTCCACGCAATTGCGTTTACGTCCAGCCCTGCTTCAAAACCTTTCTAAAAAAATTTTTTCAGGTTTTAACAGCAGCAAGAGCATGGCAAACAATTGTTACTCTAGTCGAACGTCATGACCTCTTTTCGAAACATTTGGTTTTTGCATTTTTCAATGTAAATGCTTTGTTCAATAAAGAAATGTTTTCTGAAATAATTGCTCTTCCTATTGGACATTTGGTTTTTTTTAATTTTTTTAAATCAAAATTTTAAAATTTTAGTGTCATTGGGAGGGAGTCCCTTTTATAACCCACGATACAGCAACATATATATTCGCTCACAATGATATATCACGAAATCCTGAGATTTGTGCAAAACTTGATGATCTGGTCAAAACACATAAATATGATGCCCGCCTTTTGTTTTTACTTGCTAAAACTTATTTAATGGTTCAAAACCGTCCGGCAGCTTCAAGCTGTTTAAGGTTTTTTTTATTTTTCTAATTTCTCATAACTTGGAAATTCAAAGGCATTGCCTTTTGGCTAATCCTTACTGTAGTGAAGCTCTTCATCTAGCCATTGATTCACGCCTTTTGAAAGCTTGCGAACTTCAAGAAATTGTAGGCTCTTCTTCTGCAGCGGTTAATTCGTCTGGGAGTAAAATTATTTGTCATTTGCTTGAAATTTATGATATTAACGTTTGTTGATTTTACAAGTTTTTTGTCAATAATTTAAACATTTTTCTTTATTTCAGAGAGAAACGAGTTCATTCTCTGCAAATTCTTTACGTCTTGGTTCATTACTCTCCGATGATCTCTCTTTCCAATCAGCAAATTCTTTTCGCCTTTACAGTCAGGGAAATGTTCGGGAGGCTTACAACATAACTTCTACAATTATGCACGAATTTGGTTATTATAGCGTGAGTAAATTTTAAGTGGCAAACTTTAAAAAAAAATTTTTAAGAAATGTTTCCTCGTCCATATTGGCTGTTTGGTTCATTTAAGCAAAACTAGTGAACTTTACCAACTTGGTCATTCAATGGTTAAATTACAACCTGAACGAGAAATTACTTGGTACACTGTTGGTTGTTATTATTATGCAACAGGACAATACACAACTGCGAAGAAATTTTTGAGTGAGTTGTCACTTTTAGATTATTCTTTAGACAAATGCACAACAATGAATTCAGGTTTTGGAGAGGGATGGATAGCATACGGACATTGTTCTGAAAAAAATTTTTAGTTTATTATGAGGGATTTTAAATAGTTTCTTTTATTTTGGGCTAATTTTAAAAAAACCTAATTTAAAGAAAAACGCACCAACCCAGAGCTGTTTCATAATTTCTAGTTTATTTCTCTTTCAAGTTATAGAGGTTTTAACCTTTTCCGATTTTCGAAAAAATTCTTTTGTTTCGAAAAAGCTGTGGGTTAATTTTTATTTTTTATTAAGAAATTTCTTCAATCATATATTTTTCTAGACAAATGCACAACAATGAATTCAGGTTTTGGAGAGGGATGGATAGCCTACGGACACACTTTGTTTTATATTGACGAGCATGAACAGGCTATGAATTGCTATCTTCGTGTAATTCTTTTTGAGATATTTTTATTTAATTTTTCCTAAATTTTGAGGCTTCACGAATTCTTGAAGGACATTTTGAACCACTTTTATATATTGCTGTAGAATATTGTTTTGGAAACAATTTTAAATTGGCCAACGATTTTTTACATGATGCAGAAATGGTTGCTGGTTCAAATGCTATTGTTTTACATGAACAGGGTACAGCAGCATTTGTGGAACACAATTTTAAAAGTATTTTTTTTATTTTTTTAAAACAAATTTTTCTTTTTTTCTAGAAGCTGAACAAATTTTTATGGAAGCATTAAGACTAATAACAAATAAAAATAATGTTGATTCTTTACAAGATTTATTGGATTCTGAAATCAGCGATTTTTGGGAGCCTCTATTTAACAATCTTGGACATACTTTACGAAAGCTGGGAAAATATTCTCAAGCTATTTCTGTTCACAGGTTTTTGATTTTTTTAAACTAGTTGTTGGAGACCGGGTAATATTTGCCTTTGACTGCTCAAATGTCCTTTGACTGCTCAAATGTCTTTTTGAGCCGCCATAGGCGAAAATTAACGGGTTGTCAACAACTCTCTAATTTTGGGTGAGGGATAACTCATCGTCTGACCAAAATACCGTCGGAACGCTAGAGTAAATATCACCATCCACTTTTATTGATAACAAGTTCGATTTATGTCGATATTATGTTATCTTAATATCTTTGGATTATACGGCTATTGGGCTTGATTAGCCCTATAACTTGTATGCCTGAAAGTTTTCAAAAATTTTTGTTCGGACGGTATTTGATACTCTAGTGGGTGGACGGTATTTTGGTCGGACGGTGAGCAGTCCTGACACGCTAATTCTATAACTATAATATTCTTTTTGCCAATTTTTGTGTTTATAGAAAGTCACTTGTTCTCGGAACTTCCAAAGTCGATGCTTGGGCTTGTATTGGTATCTGTTATGCCTCAATGGTTTCAAAATTGAATGAAACTGGCGGTGCTACTCCCTCATATATTTTAAGCACCAGTTTTTCCAAATATATTGACAACAGTATTGAAGCATTAAATAAAGCATTAGCATTAAAACCTGGCGATGATTTATTAAAGACAGCATTAGAAAAAGTTATGCAATTTGCTGCAGATCAAACACTTCAAGAGCCTTTCTTTTTGGACACTAGAGATGAAAATTTGGACACAATGTTTGAATCTAGTATATCAAAACAACAAAGTGGTTGTCATAAACGTACAAGAAGATTGCCTGCAAAAGGATTAGACAAATTAGATCCAAATACAACATGTAGTAATAGAATGATGGAAGAAGATGAAGATGATTGTAATGACAATGCTAAAATTATTGGTTTACCTAAAGGTTAGTAAGTTATGTGGGTTAAAATTAAGTCATTAGGCAGGAACTGCTGGTTGGAACTACCTGGCGACTTAGCATCTCATGGTTAGCGGCTTTTGGTAAATAGCCAGAGTGTTGTTGATCCAGTTATCCTTAAAGTATTTACCAGGAGCCGCTAACTACTCCTTGCAGTTATTGCTAGGAGAACTATAATTTGGTCTTCTCTTTTTGTTATCCATCTACTAGGAAAATTTTTTATAATACACAACCTCTCTGTATTGGGAAAATCAGAGGTCCCATTTATAGAGGTTCCAAAGAAAAATTCCATTTGTGTGCTAATGGGCGTCGCTTTCCCCTCCTCCATTAATAGATTTTAAACTCCTGCCTAGCAAGCGTTTATAATTCCAACAAGCTAACAATAAGTCCCCCTTTAAAAGGTTGTTCGTCTCCAATGGCCATAACTTCACAACAACCGGGTCAACAACAACGTGTTATAGTTACAACAGCAACATCAGCTACAAGTATTGCTACATCCCCAATATTTTCAATAACGAATCCGACATCCTAAAAAAAAATTTTTTTCTATTAATTTTATTTTTCTAATTTTCAATTTTTTTTAATTGTTTAGTAAATATTGTTGTATATTTTAATAATAAACAATTTTTATTCGGATTTTTTGAAAAATTTTTTGAGCCTTTTTTTGCTGTTTTAACGGCTATTTTATTTGTTGTAAAAATTCAAATATTTTTTAACTTTTAGAAATTAAAAAAAAATTTTTTTGAAGTTATGGCTCTTCGCGGTGAAACCAATTTATTTACACCTTGTCAAGCTATTGGTCTCTTCTGTTCTAAAGGTTTTTATTTTTTAGATTTTAAATTTTCTTTCAAATTTTTTTTACTAAAGTTCCCCCAGCCTTCACCTATTCAACTCCTAATGCAGAAGATACTGATGGAAATATTGCCTGTGCCATAGAAAATCAATGTGTTTTTTATTCAAGCAAGAATCTTCATTTTACTTCAGTATGCCCTCCTGTTGATACAGAAATTACGGCGGTTGCGGCTGATATGGAAAGGACATATGTTGCTTTTGGATTTTGTGTGGCTATTATTAGTAATCATTTTTCAAAGGTATTTTGGAGATTTTTTATGATTTTATAAAGTCCAAAGACCTAACCTATTTTTAGGGTTGGCGTCTAATGATTTTTTTGACTTAATTTTTGATTCCTCGGAAAAAAATATTTTTTACCTTATACTATATCTTATAATGAGGATAATTGACAGTCGTTTAGTCAGCTTCTTCACCCAGTAGCTAACCAAATTTATGAAAAATTTGGCTAATATTGAACCGGCCTTTTTTCCTCCACAATTTTCCCTACCTTTTTGCAAAATGGTCAGACCTTTTTCTTTCACCCATCCAAAATTTGTTTTAAATCGAGTTTGGACCGAAACAATATCTCTAGCAAACTTATTTATCGGTTATTGAGATGAAGATTTTTCGAGATATCGATTCCTATTCTCTTACTTCACTCCTAATCCGGTTTTTAGGTTTAAATTGGAGGAGTATCTTAATTTTACGTTTACCTAAAAATTAGTTTAGGCTACAATTGCAAATTTATCTTTCAAAATAATTTTTTCCCTTTTCAAAGATTGAACGTCGCCTAATTATCGGAAATTGTGGCCCAAAAATGCTTCTATCACTTACCGATATTTTGGTTGTTGTTGACAAGGGCAACACAATAAACGTTTTTAACACAGAAGATGGCCATTTAATTGTTCAACTTGAAAGTTCCTCATCTTTTAATATTACTTCAATTTTACATCCAGACAATTACTTAAACAAGGTTTTTCTTTAAAAAAATTTTTCCAAAAATTAAAAAAAATTTTTTAAGATTTTGGTAGGCTCTTCCGATGGACGTATGCGTATTTGGAATTTAAGAAGTGGAAAATTAATTTATGAATTCGATTCTTTGGGGGATGATACAACAGCAATTAATGTATTACAACAATCTCCAGTAATTGATGTTGTTGGAATTGGAATGTCTAATGGGAAAATTATTTTAAAAAATATTAAATTTGATACTTTAATATGTTCATTCCGTCAGACTGGAGAAATTACTGCATTGGCTTTTAGGTTACAAATTTTTTTTATTTTTTTATTATGACAACGATCAACACATTTATTATCATATTTATTAAGAATTCGCTAATATGTATTTAATAAAAGTCAGACTTCAATTTTACGTACACCCGCACATTAGGGGTACACCCCCACGAAAGACAAATTTTGACTTTTGTCTTTCGCCTTTGCTGATTTTTTTGGTATTTCGTGTCTTTCGCTTTTAAGAACTTTCAATACAAAAACTACTTTAGGCACCACTCTCGGCACTATACATTTTAATTTAGAGTCCATTTTTCATATTTGGTTGGTCACTGGAAGGATGCCTAAACGATATCTACAATTACATATTAAAATTTTCGCAACCCTAAAGAAATACGTAAAATTGAATCCGTCCATACTTACACGGAGAGATTGCGACCTAAAAACGGTCGAGACCGGGCTCATTCGATAGAGAATGTGCCCTTTCTAGCGAGGATTTTTAGCCGGACTAGCAAGGATTTTGATTTTGAGCTCATACTTTTCATTTTCAGATCAGATGGTGTTGATACACTTGCCAGTGCCAATTCAGAGGGTTCTATAGCTATTTGGGATTTAAATGAGCGTATTTTAATCGGTCAATTAGCACAAGCACATCAATCTTCAATTACTTGGCTAAATTTCCTTTTGGGTCAAGCTTATTTGTTGAGTGCTGGAGAAGACAATAAACTTGTTAAATGGGTTTTTCGTAATGAAAATTCTCTTCCAGAAGTACAAAATTGTCTTCAAGGACATTCTGAACCTGTAAATGAATTTTTAAAAAATTTTTAAAAATTTTTTTCAAAATTTAGGCGACAACTCTAAAATTTTTTGATGACGATTTAATTGTTTCTGCTAGCAAAGATGGACATGTTCGACAATTCGACAGTGTAAGAACTGCATTATGTAAGGATTTTGGTCTTGCTAGAGAAGTTAGAAAGTTGGTATTTTTGTTAGAAATATTTTGAAAATTTTTTAATTTTAAAGAGGAGATATTGGAAAGGATCGTTTTATTGATGTTACTTTGGAACCTATTTTGCAGATGGAGTTAAGTTTTGGTAGAGAAGCTGTTTGGGATAATGCTGTTTGCAGGTTTGTTTTTTAAAAGTATTTTGAAACGCTTTTTAGGGAATTTCTTTATGTTAGCTTGGTATTTTATTTTTTATAACGAGAAATAAGCCAAAAAATTTTTTTAATAATTTTGTTCTTTAAATTATCTCCTTTAAATTGGAGTTGGACTTTGGGCCCGGAACTGGAGTTCCCGGGTCTGGTAACCCTGAAATCGGATATTTTGATAAACGCCGGTTTTTGGTATTTTTATGTTTCACCCGGAAGCACCCGCACGGGTCACTTTGAAAGAAAAAACTAGAATACCGGGCCCAGTAATCCGAAAATATTGAACTCTACTTTAAATTAATAATAAATCAGCTCTTATGTAATTTTTAAAGAAAAATTTTTATTTAAGACATTCAAATTCTCCACTTGTCTCAACATGGAGTACAAGGCTAAAGAAGCGTGGACGTCACTTGGTTTTTTTACTTTTTCTAAAAATAATCTCATTTTTATTTTAAAGCTCTATCATGAACGTTTTAGCACCGATCCAAACCTCTTAAATTCTTTTGCTTCATCAATTTGTATAAGTAATTGTGGAAATTTTGTTTTAATTGGTTATTCTTCTGGACATGTAGATGTTTTTAATATGCAAAGTGGAAAATATAAATTTTCTTTGGAATCGAAAAAATTTTTGGAAGATGAAAAGTCAACAAAAACAACACCAAAAAATGATAACAGCAAAAATACAAGAGCACACGATTCTTTAGTTGCTGGAATAGCTTTAGATATATTAAATCGTAATGTTGTTACTGGCTCTGCAGATGGAAAAATTTATTTTTGGAAATTTGGGAATCCTTCTATTTTACGTTCTATAATGAAAGTTGCTTCTGGTGTTCAATTATTTCGTTTGGATTTGTTAAATTCTTTGTTAGCTGTTGGGTTGGCGAATGGGGAAGTTGGAATAGTTGATATTCTTTGCAGGTTTTTTATTTTTTTTTAGTTTTTTTGTTTTTGTAAGTTGCATAGGATTTCTCTCTGCTTTATTTTTTAATTTCGACGGACCTAACTAAGATATTTTTCTCTTGATGGGTGGATCGGAAATTTTTTTCAAGTTTATATTTTTCTTGATGGGCGGGTCCGAACTTTTTCCAGGTTTTGGCGTCTCTATTTTTTATTATTCGAGTTCGAGCATTCGTATCGGAATGTTTCGATTTCCGACACATTCTGTCGTTCCGACCAGATGTGAGTCAGGTTTCCCGATCCATTTCCTGTTCCAACCCTGCCCTTTCCCCGGGAGAAAATGATTATCAAAAAACTTAATGACAAGTAAAATTATAAAAAAATTTTTTTAAAGAAAGTTGGCTCGACGCTTTAGTCATTCATCATGTACTGACTGGCCTGAAGGAAGTACATTAACTGCTTTAGAATTTTCAAGTGATGGAAAGTGGCTGTTGTCTGCAGACAGTCAAGGCTTTGTCAAGGTTTAATTTTTTTTAAGTAATTTCCACTAAATTTTTTTAAAATTTAAAGGTTTGGGATTTATCTTCTGGTCTTTTAATTGATGTTGTTTACCACTCAAATCCTTGTATAGCTATGGCTTTTAATCCAAGAGGTAATTTACTTGCTACTTGTCATGAAGGTCAACGTGGAATTTATTTATGGGCTAATAAATTGTTGTATTCTTCAGCTACTAGAATTTGTGTAGAAGAGCGTAATAACAAGGTTTTCTGTTTTTATAAAAATATTCAGGGTTAGTTTATAAGTCTAATAAGTCTGTGTTTATTGTTAGAGGATTACTTCCTTGGGAATCAGTTGCTGCTTGGGAATCGCAAACATGATTGCTTCCTTGTGGGGGGGGGGGGGTGCCGTTTGTTTAAGTGTTATTTAGGGACTACACTAGAGCAGGTGGCACCAACTGCCGCAAAGCATCGAACCTGAGTATCTCATTAAATAGAAATCGGGTGTGTTAACCACTACCATCACGGCATATACCAACGCCAAATATTTTTTTCTGACAATTTTTTTAAATTAAAAAAAAATTTTTTCCTAGCTATTAGAAGAAGATATTCCAGTAACTTCTCAATCATTACCTTCAATCCAACAAAAAGGAAAATTTCTGGATGAAGTTATTGAAGAAGAAAGAGAAATTTCTTCAATATATTCATCACAAGAAGAACGTGTAGTTATGATTGATGAAGAGGATGAGGATGAAGAAGTTGGAGAAGAAGGAACTAGTGGAGATTGGGCAACGTGTTCAGGTGGTGGTGGAGGTTCTAGTCATTTACAACAACCAAAATTTTTGTCTATACTTGAACATAGAAGAGCTAAACAATTAGATCCAAAATTATTTACTCTTTCGGGACAGCCTACAAGGTTATTTTTTATTTTGGAAAAAAAATTTTTTTTGAAAAAAAGTTTCGAAAAGTTTTAAAAAAATTTTTAAAAAATTAAAAAAATTTCTTTTGAAAATTTTCAAAAAAAAATTTTTAAAAATTTTTCATAAAATTTTTCATAAAAATTTTTTAAAAATTTTTCAAAAAATTTTTGAAAAATTTCCAAAAATTTCAAAAAAAATTTTTATGAAATTTTCAACAAGAATTTTAAAAATTTTCAAAAAAACTTTTTTTTGAATTTCTAAAAATTTTTTTTTGAAAAAATTCCAAAAAAATTTTTTTTTTAATTTTTAAGTAGCTGGGCCAGTTTGCCAATTTATGAATTAATTAAAGAAAGAAATAAACCAAAAGAACCACCAAAGAAGGCAAAAGAATTACCATTCTTTTTACCAACAATTGAAACTGAAAAAGGTGTGGTATTTAGTGAAGAATTATTTGATAAGAGGGAAGAAGAAGAGAATGAAGAAAAACAAAATGGAAAGAGGACAATGTTAATTGCAAAAAGACAATTGGAAGAATTTCAGACAGAATGGGGAGCAAAATTGTTGAGGTTTGTAGAGAAAAATTTTTTGTGGTGGTGTTGTGTTTGGGAGAAGCATTTATAAATTACCGGATTTATTCTAATAGAACCACAGTCTCTAATATAACCACATCAAATTGAGAGGTTGAAAAATAGAACCACATGTGGTACCATTAGAATAAATCCGGTAAATGGGTTATCCTATGGAAGGGTTTAGTCTAAAGCGTAACTTTATGAGGCAGAATCGAACCTGCAATTGCAGTTATTGCTTGGGAGCCTTGCTCACCTTGTACAGGTTAGTGATCTAGCTGGCCTAAAAGAAATAAATTCCCGTTTTTCGGAAGTCGAGTAGCTAGCTAGATGCGTGCCGCACTTGTTGTGCTGACTGGCACGAGCTTTTAAACCCCTCGCCTACGGGTTTTAAATGCTAACAAGCTGGATCTTCATTTCCTTACATCCTCAATGATGTTCTAGCTTCGGAATAGCTTCGATAAAAAATTTCTTTGATATTTCTCATAAATTTGGGGCATTTTTGGGTCCAAAAAAGGGTTCAAGCCTACACCCCTTTTTGACTTTTATTAAAATTTTTTATTATTTTTTCAGAGCAGGAACCAACAACGATCTTCTCCATGTATTTGATCAATTAAAAACACAAAGTTTAGCCTCAATAGATTTCCAAATTCGAGCTTTAAATGGCGCAAAGCTTGGACAATTTGTAGCAATGTTAATTGCTGTTTTAGAAATTAGAAGAGATTTTGATTTAATTCAAAGTTATATGGCAGCATTTTTAAATATACATAGAGAAAATTTGTGGAAGGGAAGGAAGGGAGGAGGAAGAAGAAAAAAAGATGAAGAAGAAGAAAATTTATCTGTGGATGAAAAATTGGAAAAAGATGAAGAACAAAGTGTTTTATTAAAGGTTTTTTTAATTTTTTTGGGAGGGCGCTGAAATGCCAAACGCCGAAATACCAAACTCTCTCAAAAACTGCCAAAATACCAAACTGTGGAAATATACAAACTAGAGCCCGGACCGATTCGATTTTTTATCGATATTTATCGATATTTTTCGATATTTTTTTTCGATATTTATCGAAAAAATATCGACCGAGAAAATTTTGACTTTTTCGATATTTTTCGATATTCGATATTTTTTCGATATTTATCGAAAAATATCGACCGACAAAATTTAAAAATCGAAACAATCGACCGACCAAATTACAAAAAATCGAAAAAAATATCGAACGTCATTTTTGACAAAAATATGAATTTTTGGCACAAAAAGGATGCATTTTTGCTTCTTGCCCATCGGAAATTCAAAAAATTTTCGCCGCGGCGCAAAAAATTTTGCAACTTGACCTTCCGAGATTCTCATAAGATTGTTAGAATATCCTATCTTGTCCCATTAAGTCATCATATTCCCTCGATACCCCTACAAAACACTGATATGAATTTAAAAAATTTCGGTAGATTAAGGGAGATTTCAGTGGGTTATGAGAAGATTTGGTGGGATATTTGAGATATCCAGGATCATGAGGATATTGTGGATATCCGGGATATTCGACTATTTGTATAACTAATAGAGGATTAAGTGGATAAAATGGATCTCAAGGATCAAGACGGACTTTGGGAGAGATGGATATCAAAACGGATATCAAATGCCAAGATTTTTTATCCTCTGATATCTCTTTATCCGCCGATATCTCTCTTAATCCACAAATCACTTGATATCCCTCATGATCTCATAAATCCACAATACAGTCTTAATACCTCTAAATCCATCGATACACACTCGTCCTTCAATATCCCCCTTAATTCCTTAAAATCCATTATCCCTAGTTAAAATCCACTTATATCCCACTTGATCCTTCGATATCAAATACAAGTCCATTGATATTACATTTAATCCGTCCAAATCCACCAATATCCCATTTAATCAATCTTAATCTTATTAAACTATTAGTTCTATCCTGTTATTCAGTGGTTATAGAAAAATTTTTGAAAAATCGAAAAATATCGAGACTTTTTTTTCGATATTTTTCGATTTCGATATTTTTCGATATTTATCGAAAAAATATCGACCGAGAAAATTTTGGTTTTTTCGATATTTTTCGATATTCGGTATTTTTCGATATTTATCGAAAAAATATCGACCGAGCCCTCCGTCCGGGCTCTAATACAAACATACTTAGGGATCAGGGGCGGGCGCATGAGACAATCTCCAAAAACGCAACGCAAGGCCAAAATTTAACGCAATGCGCCCACCCCTGGCCGGAATGTGATTTCTTCCACCGATTTCTGTCATTTTTTTCTCCGCTTCTGCCTTCTTTCTTACGCTTTTTATTTTCTTACGCTTTCTGTCCCCCGCTTTTTAAAATTCGGGAAGGGCCTATCCCTGTTTCAATCACTGTGGAGATTGTTTCATAAAAAGTGAAGAAGGTTGCTCCATCAACACGCATTTTTTGGTATTTCGGCATGTCTTTTAGAGGTTTGGTAATTCGGCATCATACAATTTTTTAAAATTAAAAAAATTTTTTTAAAGAATTTACAAAGGCTTCTGGAACTCCAAAAAAATGTTGTAAAAGAAATTCAACCAATTTTTGATCAAAATATCTCAATTACGTCGTTTACAAAAAGCGCATTAATTTAAAAATTGATTTTGTTAATCTTGTTAATTTTTTTAAAAAATCTTATTGTTGATATTTAAAGAGTTTAAAAATCTTTAAGAAAAAAAAATTTTTTTTTAATTGTGTTATGTTAAAAAGTTATTGTGACGTGTAACTACCTATATTTTATTTTTCTTTTTTTTTTCAATTTTTGTATATTTTTTCTTCATTATTTTTTAACCCAACATGAAAATAGATGTTTGGATCTAATTCCTGCGAGTAGAAAAAAGAGGGAGGGGCTGGAATTTTCGGTCCGCATGTTTTTAAAAAATTCTTGAAATTTTTTCGAGCTTAAGAGAAACTCTAGGACACGCCCAAAACGGCGCGCGGTCATAACGGCGCAAAGCCACAACCTGCTTCAAAATTTCCTAATCCTCGAAATTTAGTATTTTAAACGATTCTTCTCAACGAGATGGGAAGATTGGTACAAAAAATGACAAGGGCCAAGTCTTTTTCAGCAAGTTATGCCTTTGCGCCGTTATAGTTGGGCGCCGTTTTGGGCCTTTTTTTGTTAATATTTAAATCTCCGCTCCTTTTTTGGCATTACTTTTTCCTTTTTTTGGCGTTCTGTTAATTTTTTCCATTTTTGTCTTGCCATGTTGGATTTTACAAAAAAAGTTATCAATCATTCTTTAAACATTTTTAGAAAACAAAATTTTTGTTAAAAAAATCTAAAAAAGAAGAAAATGGGTCTTACACTTTCTGGTCTCTTCAGTCGTTTATTTGGCAAAAGACAAGTCAGAATTCTTATGGTTGGTTTGGATGCTGCTGGAAAAACGACAATTCTTTATAAGCTCAAATTGGGAGAAATTGTTACTACAATCCCGACAATTGGTTTTTTCATAAAGAAATTATTTAATTTTATTTAAAATTCTTTTCAGGATTCAATGTTGAGACCGTTGAGTACAGAAACATTGTAAGTAAATTGTTAAGCATTTAAGGGTTATCGTGTTTACCGTTTTGCGTCTAGCGACCAAAAATAGCAATTAGAGTTGGAGGTGTTTGTGTCTCCCCTTTTAAATTTTATTTTTTAGTCGCAAGACGCTATTGAGTAAACGAGTGTTTAAGCTCTTCCTTTCTTTATGTTAGGTATTTGCGGTCATTTTTTGTTAGATTTGCGGACTTCCAAATTTGGGCCTTTAAATCTTTATGATGAAAGGGGATTTTTTTGTTTTTCTATGGAATTGAATATTCAAAAAAGTAAATTTTTAAACTTTCAGGGATAGAGTAAAATACTCTATTTTAAGTAAATATAAATTTTATGAGTCATCAAAATACGATTTAATATTAATTTATGTTGAAGACCGGGACGAGATCTCGAACAAAATTTTTTTAATTTTTCAAGATATCTCGTATTATTCTCGTAGACACTTTTGTGTTTTGGCTCTAATTTAAATCCTCCTAATTTTCTTTTCATTTCAGTCCTTCACTGTTTGGGATGTCGGTGGTCAAGACAAAATCCGTCCTCTATGGCGTTACTATTTCCAGAATACTCAAGGTTATCCACACTTTTATTCTAATTTTAGTTATTAATTTTATAAATTTGGAGGTCTTATATTCGTTGTGGACAGTAACGACAAGGAGCGTATTGTTGAAGCTCGTGAGGAATTGATGCGTATGTTGTCTGAAGACGAACTTCGCGATTCTGTACTCCTCGTATTTGCTAACAAACAGGTTTTTTGATAAGATTTTTTGAGATTAAAAAAATTTTTAGGACTTGCCGAATGCTATGAACGCTGCTGAACTTACAGACAAACTTGGACTTCACACGGTATTTAATTTTTTTGTCGTTTTTAGGTTGTTTTTCTTAGTGTTTTTCCCATTAAAATAAATCGGAGCCATTTTAAGATTTTGTTTTCTTGACGGTCACAAAGTTTTGGTTTCTTCTTGACCCGATCCCCGTAGACGGTGTAACAGCAATTTTAGTCATTTTTTGGATTAAAATATTTTTTGCAATATTTTTTCAAAGATTTTTGGTTAATTTTTTCTTGAAATTTTAAATGTAAGATAAAGATAAACGCCATAATTTTGGCTCGCTCCCTATTTTAGCCCTCCTCCCCTTGCCCTTGAAATCTGGTTCCTGGATACGCCCTTGTTTCAGATTCGTTAACACAAAAAACAAAATTCTACTAAAAAATTTTTCTTATTTTTAAAGCTGAGAAATCGTAACTGGTATATCCAGGCGACTTGTGCCACTTCAGGAGATGGTTTGTATGAAGGTTTGGACTGGTTGAGTAACCAATTGAAGAATCAAGGTTGAGTCTAATAATTAAAATGGAGAGGGAAAAAAAGGAGAGGTTAATTTTTTAAGGAAAATAAGAAAAAATAAGAGACGTTTTTTGTGTTTGTGCCTCTTGACTTTGTCTCGTTAATATAAAAAAAATTAATTTAAAAAGATGTGATTTGTGTGTGTTTTTATATATCAAAATTAATTAATATATCAATTAAATTTATCCTTTTTGACCCCTTTTTGATTTAACAATTTTGGATTTTTATTTTTGGTAGGGAATTTGAAAAATTGGAGTAAATTTGTCCGCAAAAAACTTGCGGATTGTCCGCAAAAAATTTGCGGACAAATTTTATTTTTAAAAATCTAAAATTGTTAAATTAAAAAATATTTTTTATTGCTTCACATAAAAATATTATGTGTTATCAATTTTAATCTTAAATAATTGCTCCTAAATACATATAACCAAAACTTTTCTTTTTTTAATTAAAATGTTTCGACTTTTTTGGTGTGTGTTAAAAAATATATTTTGTTTTTTTAACTGATTTTTATTGTGTAAATTTATTTAAAATTAATTATAAATATTTAATTTAAGCTTATTAAATCTGTAAATAAGTCCGCAACTTTTATCCGTAAAAAAAATTTTGTCCGCAAAAAATTTGCGGACAAAATTTTTTGTCCGCAAAAAAGATGCGGACAAAAATTTTTTGATAAAAATTTCTTTAAATTTTTTAACAAAAGTTTTTTTGAATGAATACAGCATTAGAACAAATCAAAACTTCAATTTCTAAAGTAAAAGAATTGCGACATTTAAATTTTCTTATAACTGAAACTTTTGATTTGGCTGAAAAACAATGTGAAGAAGCTGTTAAAAATGGAAAACAACCTTTTGAATTTGTTGTAAAGGATAATTATGCGTTTGTTTTAATTTTATTTTACTATTTTTATTGGTTTGGGAACTAGGTTGGGGCTCCAAAATTTTATAAAAAATTTTTAGGAGTGGTGTTCATGTACCTCAAGGGGCCCCATTCCCGGGATGTGCCCACTGGATGGTGTATTCTTTTTTTCATTTCGCCGGGAAGTGGGTTGGGTCCCAAAATGTATAAAATTTCTAAGGGGGCGGGATATTGTTTGTGTTGCTGTACCTCAAGGGGCCCCCACCACCGGGATGTGCCCATCGGTGGTATACTCCTTTTTCCTATTTCGCCGGGGAAGGGCCAGTTTAAAAGTTTTTTTGGTTATTTATTAATTTTAAAAATTTTTAAAATCTTCCAGTGTTAAAGATGTAAGGATGACTTGTGCTTCTAAAATGCTCAAAGACTTTATTGCTCCATATACAGCAACTTGTGTACAGCGACTTGTGGATGGAGGTTTTTTATTCGATTTAGGTTCGAAAACATTTTTTTTAATTTTTCAAGGTGGATGTTTAATTGGAAAATCAAATATGGATGAATTTGGTAATTTTTTAAAAATTTTATTTAATTTTCTCTCTTAAAAAGCAATGGGTTCAACATGTACAAGTGGATATTTTGGACCTGTTAAACATTCAATTTATGCAACTAATCAATCTTTTGAAGACGAAAAGGAAGGAGATGATGATTTTTTAATCGCTGGGGGTTCTTCTGGTGGTTGTGCTGTTGCTGTGGCTACGGGGGTTGCTAAAGTATTTTTTTAAAGATTTAAATTAAAAATTTATGTGAGGGATTTTTAAATTATTTTGGGAGGGGTTTAAGCCATTTTTACGTCTTCCTTTTTAATCTAATTTTGTGGGGATTTTTGTCAATTCGATCTCGTTCAGGGAAGAGTTGGGAGAGGAAGATGAATTTAAAAAGTGAAACTTGGGCTCTCCACTGGTGCTAATCAGGGATGAGACGGGTTACCTAACACTCGGTTCGACATTTTTCCCAACCCGTCCCACATTCCTCCCTCCTTTATCATTTTTAAGGATTCTTAGGTCAATTCTTTAAATTTTAAAAAATTCAAAAATTTTTTCAAATTCTCAAGTGTGGCTTAGCGAGTGATACAGGCGGTTCTGCACGTTATCCAGCTGTTTTAAATGGTGTTTATGGTTTTAAACCTTCCTATGGACATTTATCAAGGCATGGTTTAGTTCCTTTAGCCAATGCTTTGGATACACCCTCAATAATGACAAAATCGATTTCTGACTGTAAACGATATTTTGGTTAGTTTAAAATTTGTAAAAATTTTTTTTATCCTTAGAATCGGCAAAATTAGAGATTATTTTCTAATTTTAAATAATTAAATAACAAAAACAAGTCAATTTACCCCTATAGGGTTCGAACCTGGGACCCTTTTTTGTCGAAATAGCAAGCATTAACCCACTACACCAACAATGTCTATTTTAACTGGCTTCAGGAATGGGAGGCTCTCTTCCGTCTTCCGCAAAATTTTTTTCTTTGGTTTCCGCGTTCCATCTGTCGTTTTTTAAAACGCGGTAGGGCCCCTAACCCTGTAAAATGCGGTAGGGCCTCCATCCCGGTTGCGCAGGCAGACAATGTTTTCTTGAATATCTGCTTTAAATCTTTTTGAAAAATTTTAGAATTAAAATTATTTTTCAAAATTTATTTGTTGATTTTTGATATGTTCTGAGTCTTTCTAATTTTCTTTAAAAATTATTAAAAATTTATTTTTTTATTTCAGAATTATTAAAAGGCCAAGACCCAATGGATATTACTACATTACCAGACAATTTGCATTCTCAAAGGGTTCAACCGATGCCAAAAAATTTGAAGGAACTTACAATTGGAATACCTAAAGTTTGTTTTCTTTTTTTAAGAAAATTTTTTCTGTATTTTTCAAAAATTCAAAAAATAAAAAAAAATATTTTTAGCCATTAAAAAAATTTTTTCTTGCATTTTTTATTTTTTTTACTTGAAGAAAATTTTTTAATTTAAAGACTTAAAAAATTTTTTTACTTTTTTAATTAAATTTTTTTATTTAAAAAAATTTTTTTTACATAGGCCTTAAAAAATTTTTCCTGGATTTTTTAAAAATTATTTTTGGCCTTCTAACTTTTTTTTTAATTTTTTAGGCCAAAAATAGTTTTATTTTAAAGCTTTTTGACCTTTAAATAAAATTTAATTTTTTTTCCTAAAAAAAATTTTTTTTAAGTATGAAAGAACGGATTTACTTTCAAAAGATGCAGAAGAAATATATCAAAAAATAATTAATTTATTAATTTCTAATGGTGTTGTAATTAAACAAGTTTTACTTCCAAATTTAGAATATGCTGTTAATTGTTATAGTGTTGTTGTGGATGTGGAAATTGCTTCGAATATGGCCAGGTTTTTTTTGAATTTTAACTTACTTTTTTTCGTTTCCAAATCTTTCGGATATTTTCCCAACTACAGGTTTGGGTTGAAATTTTTCTTTTCAAAAAAAAATTTTTTTCGAAAAATTTTTTTTAATTTTGGAATTTTTAAATAAAATTCAGTCTCTTTTTAGTATTTTCAAGATTTTTAAAAATACTTGGTTTGATCTTTATTTTAAATTATTTTAGGAAATTTTTTTTTAAATTTTGGGAAAAATAATAAATTTGGAAAACCCCTAAAACATCCTAGATTAATTAAAAATTTTTTTTTGCCCTATTTTTGCCAAATTTTCTTCCCTAAATTTTTTCACTTTTTAATCGTTAAAAAAAATTTTTTTGAGATTTGATGGAATACGTTATGGATATTGTATAAATAAAGAACAATTAATTAATGACGATTCATTTATTGCTTATATAAAAAGAAATCGAAGTGAATCTTTGGGGACTGGTGTTAAAAGACGTATATTTGCTGGAAATTATTATTCTTTAAATGAGTGAGGTTTTTTTTAAAAAAAAATATTTTTTTTTAATTTTAATCTAATGGATTAGGATGAGAGGGAACTAACAATAAGTCCGCCTTGAGTCCGTTAGTGTTGTGTAACTCTGAGATTTTGAATCCCATATTTATTAGTGGAATTTCGATGGATATTGATGGGCTGAGTCGAGCCATGCTAACAAAGACATTTGTGATCCAAAATTTTTTCGGATCTGAAAAAATACAAATTATTTAGGCATTTTTAAAAATATTTCTAGTTATTTTTTCGATTAAAAAAATTTCTCGATTAAAAAAAATTTTTTTATTAAAAATTCATGGGGATAGGAGAAGGCCATTTTCTAAATAAATTTCTAAATAATTATTTTCTTGAAGTACTAATTCTATCCTCACAGTTTTTAATTTTTTCATTTTCATTTTTCTTTGGTTTCCAACCCCGAAAAAATTTTTTTAATAAACTTAAATTTCAGAAATTACAATAAATATGTCAACAAAGCCGCCAAAATTCAAAGATTAATTCAAAAAGATTTTTCAACAATTTTTAACCAAAATATTCACTGCATTTTAACTCCAGTCTCGAGACATTCAGCCCCCTTATTTTCACAAATTAAAAGGAGAAATAGAGAAGAACAAAGGTTGGAAGATTATTTTATGGCACCGGCTAATCTTTGCGGTTGGTTTTTGGAAAATATTTTTTTTTTGAATTTTTTTTTTGAAAATTTGAGAATTTTTTGAAAATTTTTTTGAAAAAAATTTCTAAATAATTTTCATTTATCTGAATAATTTTTTTAAAGTTTTTGAAAATTTTTGTTCTTAGAATTTTCAAAAAAATTTTTGAATTTTTTTGAAAATTTAAAAAATTTTTTTTTAATTTTTAAAATTATTTTTTAAATTTTGGCCCATTTACCTGAATAATTAATTTTTTTTTAATTTTTAAAATTATTTTTTGCGCTTCACCAAACCTATTATTAATTATTTCCGTTTAACTGTAAAAAAGGTTATCGTAAATATCTACCCGTGGTAACGGGAAGACTACACCTAATATTTATTTTTTTCTACCTATTTTTCCCTTATATTTTTATTTTCCTTTCTTATTTTTGAAAATTTTAAAATTAAAAAAAATTTTTTTGAATTTTTTTACCTATTTGAGTCTTTTTTTTATTATTTTGTTAGGTAACCTCCATTAAAAAATTATTTTTCCAATTTAAAGGTATACCATCAATTGCTATTCCCTATTCAAAATGTTCTAGAGGACTTCCCTTGGGTATACAATTAATTGCTCCCTATTTGGAAGATTTACGTTTACTTAAAATTAGTGAAATGATTGAAAAATTGTTTTAAAATCTTTAAATTATTTTTGTTGTTTTTAAATTTTAGGATTTTTTTGTTAAAAAATTTTTTTTAATTTAAAAGAATTTTTAAATCCAAATTGACCTTTCTTTTTTTTCTTCCGAACCATCTCCCACTACATAATTCCTTCGCAACCCCCGATTTTTTCTTTTCCCCCTCTTCCCAAGGGGTAAAAAAGGACCCTTCCTCCTTCCTCTCTTAAAAAAATTTTTTAAGGGAGGTTTTACTCCCTTTTTTCCCTGTTCCTCCCTTCCCTAATATTCCCCTCTCACCAACTACCCCACCCCCTCCCTGTTCCTTCCATTCCTCCCTAAAATTCCCCTCCCAATCCCCTTCTCCCTTACCCCCTTTTTCCCAACCCTCCCCCCTTAGCTCCCTCCTCTTTTTCCCTCAACTCCCTTCCTCTCTTAAAAAAATTTTTTTTCATGACGTGTTCTCCTGTTAAAATAATTTTTTCTCTTTTCTTTTAGAATATTTTCTCTAAGAAAATTTTTTAAAAAAGGAGAGAAGAATAGATTATAGGGGAAGAGCATATTTTTCTTTTATTAAAAGAAAGAAAAAAAACTGCTCTCTAATTGCGGACAACAGACTAGAAAAAAAAATAAAATATTATTTATATGCCATTCTTTTTCTACGTTTTTTCCCTCATTTTTAAAGCATTTTTAAACAAAATAAGAAGAAAAAGGAAGGGGGGAAGGAGGGGGGAAAGAGGTCCTCATCGAGAAGAAAGGTCCCCCTCTATCCCCTATTTTTTCGAGCTTTTTTCAGGGAAAATATGAGGACATTTTTTTATCATTTTCCCTTATTTTTATTTTTAAAAGGGAGAGAGGTCCTTCTTTCCCCCTCTTTCCAAAGAACGTGCCAAATACCTCTTAAAGGTTTTTTTCTCAAATAAATAATATTTTTTTGATAATATTAAATAAATAAATAAATTTTTATTTTGTTACATTTAAAGAGGCACGCTATATTTTTTCTGAGAATATTTTTTCTTTGAAATAAAGAAAAAATTATTGGCACTAAAGCCGGTTAATTTTTAATAGTTTTGAAGCTGGGGTCAGTTGCTTTTGAGAAGCGTTAAGGAGGAGCTCGAGGAGTCTTGGAAGCTCTCGCCTTGTGAGAGAGAGATTGATCAAGATCACTCTATTTGAGAAGGACCTCCTTCTCTTCCTCTTTCCTTTTCCTATACTTTCTAGCTGGTTTTTTTAATTTTATTAATGTGTACATCTAGGTAACAGAGCTGGATCCGCTTCCACCTTCCGTCTGACGCTTTTTTCTTCTATCCCGCTTTCTTCCACCTTCCGCTTTTTAAAATTCAAAATTCTCCAGCCCTGCTATATAACTCGCTAAATAAAATGACACCTTAAACAAGCTGGTTTTTATTTTTTTTTGGTCCTTCTAAAGAAAATTTTTTGGGGTTTTCATATCCAGCTTGATGAGGGGAATCGAATAAAATTTAAAAAAAATTTTTTCGGTGAAAGCCAAAATTTTTAAAAAATTGTCCTTAAAACATACGAACATTTACTTTATAAATCTTTACTTTCTTTTTATTTATTTTCTCTTTTTATTTTTCCTCATTTCCTCTTTATTTAAAAAGGATGAGGCTATCTCTGCTTAATAAAGCGAGAAATAAAAAAATAGAAAAAAATTCTTTGGGGGGTCAAGCGTGTGAATTCGCAAAAGAAAAAGGGAAAGAATTGTTTAAAAAAAAGTAAAGCAATGCTTTAAGTAAAATAAAAAATTTTTTTTTATTTTATAAGGCGCATAGTAAAGCAGAAAAATTAAGCAAAGCACGCACACATATGTTTATATTTTTTTTTACCTTTTTTTTTAAAATTTTGTTGGTTCAATACATTTTCTGTTTGATTGTCGCGTTTTAAAATTTTATTTTAAAAATTGGCTAGAATTTTTAAAAATTAAAAAAAAATTTTTTTTTAATTTTTTTTGGAATTTTAGTGTAAGAAAAAAATATTTTTTAGAACAAAAATTAAAATTAATTTGTCAGGGCGTAGTGACAGAAGACCCACAGACAGAAGACCCAAGGACAGAAGACCCACAGACAGGAGACCCACAGACAAAAGACCCGCAAGGAAAAATTTTTAGTAATCGTTTAGAATAACAAGATTTTACAAAGTTACAATACAAAAATCAAACAACATAAACCTATGGGAAGTCGGCAAGACGCTTGTGCAAAACACCGCGCTTCGCGCGGTGTTTTGCGGCACGCGTCTTGCAGGGAGTCAACGGTCGCTGGGTTCTGCACTAGTAACATAGACCTATTCCTATTATCACTGAAGTGGGCATGCCTGGCATCCTCCGCAACAGCAAAAACCCCAAAAATACCATAGGTAAGGAGCCTATATGGAAGCACAATAGAATAAAAATAAGAAAAAAGGTTGTGGGTCTTTTGTCTGTGGGTCTTTTGTCTGTGGGTCTTCTGTCCTTGGGTCTTCTGTCTGTGGGTCTTCTGCGTCGACACGATTTGTCAGTAAGCATTGTTGGTGTAGTGGGTTAATTCCTGGATTGGCTGAAAAAGTTTACTCAATGTAGTCTATTTTCTTCAAGTTTTATGGTCACAAAAAATATTTAAAAAAATTTACTAGAATTTTTTAAAAATTTTTAAATTTTTAAAAATTTTTTTGGAATTTTTAGTTCAAAAAATATTTTTAGAACAAAAATTAAAATTAATTTTAAGCTTAATTTTAATAACATTTGTAATTAAGTATTGTTAGTGTAGTGGGTTAGTGCTTGGATTGGTGGGGGGAAGTTTGTTGCTTATTCGAGTTTTTGAAGTTTTATGGTCTCAAAAAATGTTTTAAACATTCAAAAAATTTTTTTTTATTTTTAAAAAATCTTTTGAAATATTTTAAATTTTTTTTGAAAATTAAAAAAAATTTTCTTGAAGGATTTTAAAATTTTCCCAGGCATTTTCAAATTTTTAATTTTAATAAATTTTATTTTAGAAAAAATGAAGGATAAATTTATTATTTTTACTTTTATTTATTTTTCTCAAACAACAAATAAATAAATAAAATGAATTTTATGGAATTATTATAAGAAAATGAGGAGAAGAAAAATATTTTTCTTTTTCCCTTTATTAAATTTATTTCTGTTTTTGCCATTTTCAATTAATTCAATTATTTTTAATTCTGAAGAAGGTTGTTTTATTTTTTAAATTAATTTTCCAAATTTTTAGAAACAGCAGGAATTCGTTGTTTTTGTGATAAACAGGTGGAAAAATAATTTTTTTTAATTTTTAAAAATAAATTTTGGGTATTTTGTAACGGTGGTTAAGTGGGTTAATTACACATACATATTTAATTAATTTGCACTATTTAGTGGTTGTGGTGTAGTGGGTTAAGACTTGGTTTTACTGGACGAATTTTTCTTTTTGTTCATTTTCTAATTTTTTATTTTTAAAAATTTAAAAATTCTTAGGGTTGTAAAATTTTTTAGAAATAAAAAAAATAAAAAAAATTTTTTAATAGGATTTTAAAAAATTTTAAGAAATTTGAAAATTTTTAAAAAAATTTTCTATATATTTTTTAAAATTAATTTTTAATTATTTTTTCAGACCTGTGGAGGAGGTGCTCTAGTCTGTGCAGGCAAATACTGTCTTATTGGACTTCGAAATGACGATGTTTCTGGAGGTAATAAATTAGAACAGCACTGTGTAGATGAACAAATATATTCTAATAAAAAGGTTGGGTGTGAAAAGGAATGGCAGAAATGGGCTGAGGTGTTTTTTTGAAAATTTTTTATTAAATAAAAATGGCTTTGGCCCCCCCCCCCCCCCCCCCGTATCGCAGAGCTATAACTGCATTCAAAATGGCCAAGTCTGAGACGACCTGGTATGGTTTGATTTAGCTCGTCGAGGCGCATCGAACCTTATTAGGGCATCCCGGATTCGACCAGTTTGAACGAAGTTATAGCTCTGCGGTAAGTTGGGGTAAGTTGGCCTGCTCCCGGGTCAGGGAATGTTTTGGGGATCAGAGTCCAACCCTAACAAAGAGAATTTTTCGTTTTATTAAAATTTAAGTCAAAAAATTAATTCGAAAAATTTTAAAGGTATGTATCTGTGATGAAAGCCTATGCAATACTTTCGCCTTTTTACGCTCACAAATAGATGGAAATTCTGAAGAACAACAACAACAAAGATTAATTGCCTCAGATTATGTAAAAGACCCTATTTGATTTTTTAACATTTAAAACGCTTATTGGGCGGATATTTAAGATTTACTAGAGATCGAGCTGGGTCTGGACCAAGGCCTGGGTTTTTCCTGTACCCAGAGTCCAGCAATGCGCCCACCTAGGATCCGGCCCTGGTCAATAAATCAAACCCTGAACCCAGGACAGGTCCAGGCTTTTCAAAAATCTCGATCTCCAATAACCACTAAGAGGTCAGAGTTTTTCCTGTATCCAGAGACTACCTTGCTTGTTCGAGGTACCTTCCCGGGGTTAGAAATTTGTTAACCCTCTCTTACTACATTTATTGACTCTAAAAATAAATTAGAAATTAATTTTTCCAATTTTTTTAAAATTTTCCAGGCAGATTCAAGTGCCCTTACTCGTTGGAAAGAAACAGCAGCAATTCTTCGAAGAGATTCCAACAACAACAATATTAGAATTGGGGAAAATATTTTGGACAGTAATGAGGAAAATGAACCTAGCTCGAGGAGAAGATGGATGGAAAGACAACAAAATAAACAAGGAGGGGGAAGAGGGCGTGGGGCTAATTTGGTTCTTTTACTGGTTGTACTTCCTTTGGTTGTTGGGGCTTTTACGGTGAAATTTTTTAGAATTTTTTTAAAAAATTTTTTTGAAATTTTTGGGAGGGGAGCCCAAAAGGGCGCGAGGCCATAACGACGCAAAGCCATACCTAACAGGAATACCGTATCTTCTCTAATAGAGCGACATATCAATCTATTTTTCACCACTCTCCTGAATAGCCGATCTATTGGAGGCCGTCGTTCAAATGGAGGCTGTCGCTCTATTTAACGATCCCCTCTCAAAGGGTCGCGGAGGCCGTCGTTCAACTAGATCGCTCAATTAGAGAAAATACGGTATTTCTGGGTTCTTGTCCAGATTACTGAAAAGTTTACGCGTCCAATTACATTTTATGCGTCCATTATTTAAGTACCCGGTTCTTCATTTTAGTACCATAAAATCGAAGGGAATACCCAGAGATCTCAGCCAGGGTTATGTTATACCTGTATAATACCAGACCATTGGTCTAAAATGACTATATGAAACTGCATTAAATTTATATTTAAAAATTTTGACAGGTTTTTCTGGTTTTCCTCAATTATCACTGCAAAATGCTCTGAAAATTTTGTTTGAAAATTTTGCTGAAATTGCCAAAGAAAATTTTATTTTAAATAAATTTTTAAAAATTTATTTATATTTTTAGGTGTAATAGTATATTATTTGGGATCAACCCAGAAGGTCTTAAATCCAAATATTTGAGGGATAAAGAAGGATTTGTACAGATTAGACGGATTTGTGGTTGTCAAGAGGCCTCCCCGACTTTTAGGGACCTTTCACCGGAACCGATATTTGATAGTTGACTGGAACCATATCCAATCTAAGTTCCTGAATAGAAAAACGCCGGAACTTTCCGGAACCGAAACTTCCGGTGAAACTCTAGTAATTATCTTCTGCGCTTTGACCTTCTGGGGCGGACCCTATTGTTTCTTTAGTTGTCATTTAAATTTATATTTTATTATTTTATTTAAAATTAATTTTAAACCCTCAAGAATAGTTAAAGCAGGGACGGGTTTGGGTTCTACAAAAATCGTTTTATACACTTAAAAAACTTTTTTTTATTAAAAAATTTTAAATAGCTATAAAAATCCTCTAAAAAATTTTAAAAATCAATTACTGCCCTTCTCATGAGTGTAAATGCGTGTGATGTAGTCAATGAATAGCAATGTGGCTGTTTTATTTTTTTCGGAAATCCAATCAATTAAAATTTTATTTTAAATTACAAACTACAGTTTAATTCTTTGAAAATTAAAAGTGCAACCGCATGATAAGTGGACATGGCATCATGCGCCGGCATAGCTACCCTTATTTTAACCCCTCCTCATCCCTCCCCTCTCTCTCATCCTCTCTCCTCATCCCCTTTCCACGTCCTCCTCCCCTCATCCCCTTCTCTCCCCCCTCCACTCTCCTCTTCCTCCCTCTTCCCCTTATCCTCTTCCCCCATCCTTTCTCCTCACTCCTTCCCCTCCTCATCCCCTCCCCTTTCCACGTCCTCCCGTATCCCCTCCTCTCCCCCCTCTCCACATCCATATCTCCTCCCTTCTCCTCCTCTGATCTCCCCTCCTCCCTTTTCCACATCTTTCTCCCCTCATCCCCTCACCTTTCCACGTCCCCATCCCCTTCCACTCACCTCTCCCTCTCCTCATCCCCTCCCTTTTCCACGTCCTCCTCCCCTCATCCCCTCCTCCTCTCCCCCTCCCCTCGTCTCTTCTCCTATCTCCTCCTCTCCTCTCTCCCCTCGTCTCTTCCCTCCCCCTCTCCACATCTACATCCCCTCCCCTCGTCTCTTCCCTCCCCCTCTCCACATCTACATCCCCTCCCCTCGTCTGATCCTCCCTTCCCTCCTCCTCTCCACCTCCCCTCGTCTCTCCTCCCCTAGTCCCTCTTCACATCAACATCCCCTCTCCCCCTCTGATTCTCCTCTCCCCCCTCCACCTTGTCCTCCCCTCCCCCTCCTCCCTTCCCTCCTCTCCCCCTTCATATAAAAGCAGATTTCACATAATCAGCTATCATTTAATTTAAAAAAAATTTAAAAATTACAACAACTCGAAAGATGTCAAAATTCGTTTGTTTCTTACTGATAGTCGTTTTTGTTTATATCCAACTTTGTGATTGTGGAAACGGTAAAGAAAAAGTTGGTGGTGATGATAAAGGTGTTAGTGTTGATAAAGGTGATAAGAAAGGCATGTGTTAAATTATATAGTTTTGAGATAATAAAAATAATAATTAAATTAAGGAAAAGGCCATTTAGGCGTCAACAAGGATGGATCTTCTTCACCTATAAGTAAGTAGTTGCTTTGAAAAATATGGAAAAATTTATAAAAAAAATTTAATAAACATATTAATTTTTGACTTTTTTTGGTAAAAGTCATGTTCGGATTCTTACCTACTGGTAAACCTCTAAAATATTGAAAAGCACTTCCTCTCAAGGAACACAAAACTCAAATTAACCTAAACGAATATTTTATTTTTAAAGATAAGAAACCCAGCAAAGCAATTGCAAGTTGGAAAAAAATTTTAGACAATACACCGGTAAACGCTTAAATTATAACATGTATTTAGTTTAGCTAGAACTTATAGCTTCCAAATTGGGAGGTATTCAGGGTATATATCGGAAATTTTGAAAAGCCTGGGCCTGTTCCTGGGTTCCGGGTTTGATTTATTGACCTGGGCCGGGTCCTGGGCTTGTAGTCCAGAAAAACCCAGGCCCAAGAAAAACCCAGGAAGGTCAAAAAATGCCTGGGCCTTGACTCTGGGTACAGGAAAAACCCAGGCCGTGGTCCAGACCCAGGCCGATCTCTAGTATATATCCCTTTTATCTCATCCCTTTTTTATGTCAGTTATTGCTAGCGCTGTCACTCACCACGTACAGGTGCTCTACCGACTAAGTTACCGGGACGCCGCTTTCACCTTATAGATAACAAGTCTAGTAAGCATTTTAAATGCTAGCCAGCTAGATAGCTTCCTTATAATTGCCTCTTTTATCTCTCAAAATTTCTGCCTGTGGCTGATTTTTAAATCAGCAAAAAATTTGGTAAAATTCCGTCATACGTCCCGGAAACCTATTCAGACAAACAATATGTCATTTGAAAGAGCTCGGCGAGCTGAGTCGAATGACACCAAAATTAGGTCCCGGTCTCACTTATGGACCGAGATATAGGCCCCCGAAAATCGAAAAACCATAGGGGGTACCAAGCACTTTTTTGGGGTGAAAAATTCGAAAATGCAAATTATACCACATTCGAAAGAGCTCCTCGAGCTGAGTCGAAAGACACCAAAATCAACGAAATCTGATTTGATTTAACAAAGTTATGATCGTTTGTTTTAGCTCCTTACCTTTGTTCTCCGTGGATGTTCATGCTGCTGCGGAGGAAGCCGGGCATGACCATCACAGCGATAATTGCAATAGGATTAAGTTACGAGCCCAGACCCAGCGCCCGTAGACTCCCCGCGAGGCGCGTGCCGCAAAACTCCGCGCGAAGCGCGGAGTTTTGCACAAGCGCCTCGCCGCCGCCGCATAGGTTTATGTTGTTTGTTTTTTGTCATAACTTCGAAAAACTTGACCAACCACGGCGATTTTGGTGTCATTCGACTCAGCTTGAAGAGCTCTTTCAAATGAGCTATTATTTGTATATTCGAATTTTTCATCACAAAATTGAGCTTGGTCCCCCCTATGGTTTTTCGATTTTCGGGGGCCTATATCTCGGTCCATGGGTGAGACCGGGACCTAATTTTGATGTCATTCGACTCAGCTCGCCGAGCTCTTTCAAATGACATATTGTTTGTTTGAATCGGTTTCCGGGACTTATGACGGAATTTTTCCAAAAATTTTATTGAAAACCACATTTGAGTAATACTTAAAGAATAATTAATGCATTCGTAAGGCAAGTATATTCAAGAAAAAATCGGTTTTTTGGCTTTAAAGGATTTTGCTAGTGATCATTACTGTTGTTCCCCGTCCCCGAAAGTCGAGGAATTTGAAAGATTTTTTGAAAAGTTCGGGCCTTCTGAATTAGAATTTTAAAATATAAGTACTATTTTAAAAGCAATTTTTGATTAAAAATGAAAATTAATTTAAGTTAAAACAAAGAGAAAAAGTGATTTCGGATTTGGAGAGCTTTAGCTTTAAGGGCAAGCAAACTGAGGACAACCAACCCAGCTTGAGCTTTAAGGACAAAAAACCTGAGGACAAAAAACCTGAAGACAGCCAACCTGAGGACATGCAATCTGACACTATGTGAAGTTCTGTTTTTGCAAGAAGCATTTTTAAAAGAATTCCGAGTTTAGTATATACCGATTATTATTTATAGAGTTCGGATCCGTGCCGGATTCCTGATTTTCCGGAATCCGTGTATTTTGAAAAATACCCGGATTGTCAGAATCAGACTTGGTAATGGATACGGATATGGATACAGACAATTTAAAAATGCCTGCGGATATTTGCCTATATCCGCCGTAGATATCCGGATACGGATACCAAAATCCGTGTTACCAAGTCTAGTCGGAGTGGTACTCTTGTGTTATCCGCCCCCATTTTCCTTTTTTCCAAATCTGAACGGCTATAACATTTTTGTGTTTAATCCAATCCGGTTTAATCTTATATCATTCGAAAGCCCCCGATAAGCGCTATCTATCTATTTCCAACTGAATCCTTAAAGTAAGATCGCCAATTGAAAAATTACAAATTAATTTTCCTGCACTTATTGAGTTGTAACTATTTGCGGTCAACTTGATCCAACCAAAAATGGGGGCGGATAATACAAGAGTACCTTTTGAATTTCCAAATTTTAATCCGGGAAACCCGTCCGGTTAAAAAATTTTTTTTTAAATCCTCCGGATCCGGTATTTTTTCAAATGTCCAACACTACACTGCTCCACATAATTATAAGTCCACCCCTTTTTTCGGGATTTTTTGACTCCCAGTGATCCTAATTTTCTGGAAATTTAGAAAAACACCTTTTAGTGAATAACTAACAAGATGTGATTTGATTTTTGGCTGAATTTTTATTTAAAAAATTTTTAGACCAAAATTTGTATTTTCGGCCTCCACAAAATTATAAGTCCACTTTACAAAAAAGATATTTCCAAGATTAGGAAAAATCTACAAAAATTCTAGCAAAAACACATAATGATATCATGAAAAAATAAAAAAGAACTGGACCCATATCTTTACCCGGAGCCGAGATCCTGAGACCCCGAAAATCAACGTAAACCGGGGGTAAGGCTCTTTTAAAAAAATTTTCGACCCCTTATGGATTGTTTTGAATTTTGATATTGGGCTCTTTCGAAAGCCCTTGAAATTAGCTACAAGATCATTATAATTTTATTTTTCAGAAAAAATTTTTCTGAGATTCACAGACAGTTAAACTTTCGAATCGACATAAAGGGCATTTTATGGGGTATTTTGCTGCATCAGAAAATTAATGGCCTGTATCTTTCTAATTGAATTTTCTATAAAACTTGTTTAATGCTATCTTGTAGCAAATTTCAAGGGCTTTTGAAAGAGCCCAATATCAAAATTCAAAACAATCCATAAGGGGTCGAAAAATTTTTTTAAAAGAGCCTTACCCCCGGTTTACGTTGATTTTCGGGGTCTCAGGATCTCGGCTCCGGGTAAAGATATGGGTCCAGTTCTTTTTTATTTTTTCATGATATCATTATGTGTTTTTGCTAGAATTTTTGTAGATTTTTCCTAATCTTGGAAATATCTTTTTTGTAAAGTGGACTTATAATTTTGTGGAGGCCGAAAATACAAATTTTGGTCTAAAAATTTTTTAAATAAAAATTCAGCCAAAAATCAAATCACATCTTGTTAGTTATTCACTAAAAGGTGTGTTTCTAAATTTTCAGAAAATTTGGATCGCTGGAAGTCAAAAAATCCCGAAAAAATGGGTGGACTTATAATTATGTGGAGCAGTGTATGTATTTATTTTTCATTTTATTTATTTTATTCCCCAAAAAACATTTAGAAATTGCTCGGATAAAAAGATTTTAAAAATTATTGAGAAATATATACCCAAAATAGTCAAAATAAACCTGTGGGAGTCGGCGAGACACAGGGAGTCAACGTTCGCTGGGATCTGAACCAGCAACACAAACCTATTCTTTTTGCCGATTTTCAGCCTTGAATTGCCAACACACTAGTGTTGTGCCGGAATTTCCGGTTCCGGATCCGTTCAAAATTTCAGTTCCGACGTAAAACTACAACCTACCCCCCCCCCCTAGTAGCACAATAATAAGTTTCCACATCGAAAATTCAATTGATCGTAACTTTGTCCAAACTTGTGCTTCTGGTGTCATAGATTCTGGTGTCATCGACTCAGCTCGATGAGCTCTTTCGACTGAAATATAATTTGATCGGATTAAAGTCTCGGCCCTCAAACACAATTTTTTTCCATTTTCTCTTACATTTAAATTTAAAATTTTATATTTCCCCATTTATTATTTTTTTCAGAAAAAAATTTTTTTCCCCACTTTAAAAATATTAAAAAATGAAGACTTTATTTTTTTATTATTATTTTACCCCATTCGTGTCTAAATAATAAATATTTAAAAAATAATAATAATTCTCCAACACTTCCTTTTGGCAGTAAATGAATAAATCCTTTCTCCCCCTCTGGCACTAAACCGTTAATAAATAAAATTTTTCTCTAAAGGATTGCAATATTTTCCTTATTTTTTTAACCAAATGAATTTTTTTTATTATTAAAAAAAATTTTTTTTTGAATTTTTACTTTAAAATCGGAAATTTAATTTATTTTAAAGACGGTAAAATGCCCCCCCCCCCCCCCCATAAAACAAAACAATCATTAAAATGATCGGTGGTTAAGTGGTTAATAGCCTTGTATCGGAGAGCTCTTTAGTTTAGGATTAGGTTCTGTATTTATTCTTTAAATTCTCTTTTAAAAAAAAATTTTTTTATGAGATATGGTAAAAGAGAGGTAGAGTAAAAGGTAAAGTCTAGCCCCAAGCAGGCAACGACCTCCTAATATACGAACCTTCGGCCTCCTAATATTTATTGCTAGGCGTTTCAGCTCACTAAGTACATAAAGGTGCAATCCTGGCAAGAGCTCTTTCGAAACAAAAAGCAACTTCGAAACTCAAAAATCTTTTCCAAACTCTTCACATCGAAGTTTTGAACTGAGTGCGGCTTCTGAGTTTCGACTTTCACCTTCCAATTTTAACCCCCCTTATTAAAAACGTTTTAAACGCTAAAGGGGCCTTCGCCCCAGGCAGGCATCGAACCTTCGACCTCCTAGTATTTATTGCTAGGCGCTTTAGCTCACCAAGTAAAGCTGCTGTCCTGCCCAAAGCTGTTTCGAAACAAAGAAATCTTTGAAAATCGAAAATCTTTTCCAAAATCTTTAAATCGTAATTTCGAAACAACTCTGGTGCTGATTGCGGCTTCTGGGCTGCGGCACCTTCCTTTAATAAATTTCAGACCTCCGCCAAACCCTTTTAAACGCTAAAGGGACCTTCCTTTCTTCCTTCCAATTTTTCTTAACAATTTTAATAGTCCACTAATCAATCAATTAATTTTTATATAAAAACATGACATTGGCCAATTAAAAAAAATAAATTAGAGAAGCAGTTGTTGTTGTTAAATATACCTATAGTTTTCAGTTAAACATTTTTCTCTTCCAAAGCAGCACAGCTGGCACAGATTTTACCCGATCATTCTCACATATTTTTTTTATTTTTTTTTGTTTTGTCAGCATTAAAAAATTCTTTCTTTCTCTCTCTTTTTTAATAATTCCATAAATCTTCCCAAATATTTTTAATAATAATTTACTTTACTTTATGTATTTAAAGAGTACATTTTTTTAAATTAAATTCGTGTGTATCCCAAATAATTTTTTTAAATGATTTATTGGGGTTTATATAGACTTTTAAAAATAAATTAGAAAATTTTCTTTCGAAAAATGTCTAATTTTATTCTTTTAAGTACAGAAAAAAATTAAGGGGACCCGAGCGGGTTCGAACCCACGACCCCTTAAATTTATACAATTTGTATTCATTGGGATAATTTTTGTTAATAAAAAATTCTAAATAAAGTCAAAACTCATTTTTTTATTTAAAACAAAATTTTAACGAAGAAAACCAAAGCTTAAAAAATTAAGGGCCCCGAGCGGGGTCGAACCCACGACCTATTAAATCTAAAAAATTCAATGTCTCGGGTCTTTAAAAGTTTTTTTTAATTCCGGAGGGACTGGAAAAGATTTTTCAGATCATTTCTTATTTTTAATAATTTTTAAAAAATGTTAGGAATGTTTAAGAGTTAAACTTATTTTTATTTTCTTTAATCTCTCTCCTCCCACACAACAATTGGTCTACTATTCTTTTAGAATTTTTAAAGTGAAACAAAATTATGTAGACAATTAATTATTACATTAAAAAAAATTTTTTTAATATTTCTGATATGATTAGAATATTTTTTTCATTAATATCAACAAAAAATTTTTAAAATATTTAACCTTGAGGGGGTCGTGGGTTCGAACCCGCTCGGCGCCCATTAATTTTTTTAAAGTTGTTTCTCGTCATAAACTTTATCTTTGGTAATAAAAATGAGTTTTGACTGTATTCCGGATTTTTTAAAAAGATAAAACTGAAGAGAATATTTTTTTAATATTTCCAAAAATGGATAATTCGATTAATAACGTTAATTTCATTTAATAGAGAGATCAAAGAATACATCAAAAATTTTTTTGCAATTAAAAATCAAACACAACTTTAGTAAATTAATTTGACATTTTAAAATTAGTGTAAAAAATTTTTTCATTTATAATTTATAATTTAATAATTTGTTGAAAACTTTTCGAGAGTAGTTTTCATTTTATTGTAGGCGGTAAATTTGCATGTAAAAAATTATTTAAAAATTATTCCCATAGATTTTTAAAACTTTATTTTTTAATTTTATTTTTTTGAAATTTTAAAATTATTTAAAAATTATTTAAAAAAATTTTAAAATTGCTTTTGATAAAATATGTAAAACTATTTTTTAAATTAATATAAACAAAAATAACAAATTCAAGGGGTCGTGGGTTCGAACCCGCTCGGGGCCCGTTAATTTTCTAAAACTTGTTTTACATCTTAAACTTTATTTTCGTTAATAAAAATAAGTTTCGACCGTAATATGGATTTTTAAAGAAATAATACTGTATAAAATATGTTCATTTTTAAATATTTTGATAATCTTAAGGGGTCGTGGGTTCGAACCCGCTCGGGGCCCGTTAATTTTTTAAAACTTGTTTTTCTTCATAAACTTTATTTCTGGTATGAAAAACGAGTTTTGACCATATTCCGAATTTTCCCACAGATTAAAAAAAATTTTTAAAGGTAAATTAATATTTAAATGGTAGTTAACAATGCCGAGACAGTAATGGAATTAGAGCCTATAATTCCACAACAAAGGTTAGGGGACAATTCTCCTTCTACTGTTTTACCCAATGGATCAACAGAAAAAACAACAAATTCGAGAAAACGTTCAACTCAACATTCGACGCCCGAACGGGATAAATGGTCCTCCTGGGCAGATTTTATTATGTCCTGTGTTGGATATGTGAGTTGTATAGAGGGTGAAAGGGGTTGGATAAATTTCTGGAAAATTAAAAAAAAAATTTCAAAATGGTAAATTTTCAAAATGGTAAATTTTCAAAATGTCAAAATTTCAAAACGTCAAAATTTCAAAATGGTAAATTTTCGGAACATTAGAGTCTGACCTCAGTATACTACTCTCTGGGACTGAAAAAGTCCCTTATAACGTGGGTATCTTAAATAGAGGGTATCTTTAAGTAGCAAAAGTTAGGGGATAACCACCCAGTAGCCACCCCTTTCTAAATTAAATTTTTTTTAATTTCTCCCCAAAAATTTCCCCTCTTTTCCAGGCAATCGGCCTAGGCAATGTTTGGCGCTTCCCCTATCTGTGCTATCAAAATGGAGGAGGAGCTTTTCTAATCCCTTATATAATAACAATTTTGCTTTGTGGTGTTCCTCTTTTTATTTTGGAAACTTCTTGGGGCCAATTAGTTTCTGTTGGAGGCCTTGGAATGTTTAAAATATGCCCTATATTTAAAGGGGTTGGAATTGCTGCTGTTGTTATGGCTTTTTGGTTTGGCTTTAAAATTTCAAAAAAAAATTTCAAAAATTTTCAAAAATTTTCAAAATCCGAAAATTTCAAAAAAATTTTCAAAAATTTTTAAAAAATTTCAAAAATTTTCCGAAAATTTCAAAAAAATTTTCGGAAAATTTTCAAAAAAAAAATTTTCAAAAAATTTTTCAAAAATTTTTTAAAGGCTTAACATTTATTATATTGTGGTGCTAAGTTGGGCTATGGCTTATTTAGGTTTTAAAATTAAAAAAATTATTTTAAAATTTTTAAACGATTTAGTTCATTCTCTACGGGTAGACTCTAATGTCCCTTGGAGGACTTGCAATAACACGTTAGTTAGAGAAAGATAAATTTGAATTTTTTAATTAAATCAAATGGTCAGTTCAGTGCAGGTATTTGAGTGTCAACTAGCTTTGATTAACCATAACTTTTTTAGTATAAGTCCGTTCCGAATGAATTTTATATCATTCGAAAGCTCTCGAAAAGCAGTATCTTTTTTTAATAGGATGGATCAGGTCTGATCACTCATTAAAAAGTTACAACACGAAAAGTGCAATTATTTGGTGTTTTTCACGTTTACCAGGTTCTAACTTTTTAAGGAGTGATCAGACTTTATCCATCCAATTGGAAAAAATATTTCGCCAATTGAGAGCTTTCGAATGATATATAATTTATTCTTGTTGGATGAAGAATAAGAAAGTTATAGTCGTTCAAAACTGGTCGACACTCAATTACTCGCACTCAACTGGCCATTTTTAAATAAAAAATTTCGCTCAAAATTTTAAATTTAAATTTTCTAGCCTATTTTCCTCTAATTTTCTTTCTAAAATTATTTTAGATGGAATACCTACCGATGTCGATCAGAATATGATCCAGTAACTTGTGAAAATAATCGTTCAATTGCTGATTATTTTAACGTTAAAGTTGATTTTTCAGAAAAATTTTTATAATTAAAAAAATTTTTTTTTAAAGATATTAACAGCCGACCATTTAAATGAATACAAAAAACAATTTTTTATTGGCCCTAAAGTTAATTTTACAATATGTACGGAAGCGGATATGAATGTACACTCTCCAGTCAAGGAATTTTGGGAGTAAGTTTATTTTTAAGTTTAAATAAATTTTTTTTTATTTTGAAAATTTTTTGAGGATTTTTTAATGTTTTTAAAAATTTAAAAAAATTTTTTAAAATATTTCTAAATTGTGCCAAATAATTTTTGATGTTCTTTTTTGCAAAAATAAATTAATTAACCTCGAACGGACTCGAACCCACACCCTATTTGAAAAAGGCTAACAGCTTAACCATTACACCACAGCGCACTTTAACTGAATTTTTTAATATTCATATTTAAATAATTTTGATTTATTTAAAATATTTTTCTCGTAAGCACGGGTTTTTAAATTTCACTAAAATTTCGAAAAATAAATTTTAAAAATTTTTAAAATTTTTGAACAAATTTCTAGCCAATTTTCAATCTTTTTTTTATTCATTTTTAAAATAAAATTTAATTTTTTTCAAGTCGTCGCGTATTGGGTATTAGCACAGGAATTGAGCACGTTGGCTCTTTAAGGCATGATTTAGCCTTATATTTAATGATTTGTTGGATGATTTGTTATTTTTGTATTTTTAAAGGGGTTAAATGGACGGGAAAGGTTTTCTAAAAATTTATTTTTAATTTTAATTTAATTAAAAAGGTTGTTTATTTAACTGCTTCTTTCCCTTATTTGATGCTTTTTTGTTTGTTAATACGTGGATTGTCGTTAGAGGGTGCTAGTTTAGGCTTAGAGTGAGTTGAGAAAATAAAATTGGGTTGAAAATATTTGTGGAGAATTTAATAAATTTAAAAAATTAATTTTCAATTCTGCGGACAAAAAATTTTTGCGGACAATTTTTTTATCCGCAAAAATTTTTGCGGACAAACATAGCCAACAGTAATATTCCAAAGCCTTCGTAAAATTTTTTTTGTAAAAGTATAAATCTTCTATGAAAAATTATCTGTTAAAATTTGTCCGCAAGTTTTGTCCGCAAAAATCAAAGAAAATTAATTTTTCAATTTAAAACAAAATTTAAAAGAAATTAAAAAATATTTTTCTTCTCTAATTTTTTTTATTTTCCACAGATTTTATTTAAAACCAGACTTTTCCAAACTTTTTGAAAGCAAAGTTTGGGTAGATGCAGTCACTCAAGTATTTTTCTCTTATGGACTAGGATTGGGTGCTTTGGTTGCTTTAGGCTCTTACAATAAATTTCATAATAATGTTTACAAGTTTGTTTTTCTTCTTAAATTTTTTTGAAATTTTTAAAAATTATTTAGACAGGCACTGACTGTTTGTTGTGTAAATAGTGGAACTAGTGTATTTGCAGGTTTTTTATTTAAAAATATTTTTTATTAATTTTAAATAATTTTTAAAATTCGAAAATAGATTTTTAAGTATTTAGAAAAAATTTTAAATATTTTTCTAGACCTTAAAAATTTATTGTAGATCAAAAATTTACAAAAATAACCCTTAAAAATCGATTTCCAGCCCAAGGGGTTCGAACCCAACTCCTCCACCCCCAAAACCAAAACTCCTAACCATTGCGCCAAAACCAACTTAACACTCAAGAATTAATTTAATTATTTATAGGCTTTGTTATATTCTCTTTTATTGGATTTATGGCTAACCAACAAGGGAAGACTGTAGATGAAGTAGCCCAGTCAGGGCCAGGATTGCTTTTCTTGGCATATCCTTCAGGTTTATTTTTTTTATTTTTATAAAATAATTTTTAAAGGAATACTTCAATTACCCTATACAAATATTTGGTCAATTTTATTTTTTTGTATGGTGCTATTTTTGGGTGTTGATTCACAATTTTGTACTATGGAAGGATTTTTTACTGCAATAATTGATGAATTCCCCCATTTAATTAGAGGAAGACGTTATGGCAGGGAAATTTTTGTTTTGAGTATTTGTGTAATTTCTTATATTTGTGGATTGTCTACAGTTACTGAGGTTTGTTTAGGGGAATATTAAAAGTCTCAAAATGCCCACTTGGGAAAATGACAAAACGTCCATTAAGAGGAAATTTATCAAAATGTCCATTAGGGTAAATTTTTTCAAAATGTCCATTAAGAGGAATTTTAGAAATGTCCATTATGGAAGGTTTTTCAAAACGTCCAATAAGGGGAAAATTGTCAAAACATCCAATAAGGGGAAATTTCCCAAAACGTCCGTTAAGCACAAATTTTTTCAAAACGTCCAGTAAAGAGGAAATTTCTCAAAATGTCCAACAGAACCTCTTAAAATTTTAGGGTGGTTTTTACGTCTTCCAATTATTCGATTTTTACGCTGCTTCTGGTTGGGCTCTTCTTTGGCTCTTATTCTTTGAATGTATAGCAATTTCTTGGAGTGTAGGAATTGACCGTTGGTATGATCATTTATACTCGATGATTGGTTATTATCCAAGTAAATGGTGGAAATTTTGTTGGGTTTTTACTACACCTGCTGTTTGTATGGTAAATTAATTTTCTTGTTTTTTGCGGACAATGTTTGCGGACAAAATACTCCTTAAAAGAAAGTCCGCAAATTTACATCATTTTTGCGGACAAAATTTTTCAAGAGAAAATCCGCAAATTTTATAGGACTTTAGCGGATAATATTTGCAGATAAGATTCTTTTAAAAGTCCGCAAATTAATCCGCAAATTTTTGCGGGCAATATTTGCGGACCAAAAAAATTTTTTATTTCAAATAATTTATAGGGTGTAATGATTTTTGGTTTATTCAAATACCAACCTCTACGTATAGCTGCTTATAATTATGATTATCCTCTTTGGGGGCATATTTTTGGTATTTTTACTTAATTATTTGCCAAAAAAGTATTTTTATTGAAGGCTGGTTTTTGTCACTTTCTTCAATGCTTTGTATACCCATTTATGCTATTTATGCTTGGATTGTGACAGAAGGAACTGTTTCTGAGGTTTGTTTTTTAATTTATCCTTCGCCGACAAGATTTTAGAAAAATCCGCAAGTTTTAGGGATTTTTGCGGACAATACTTGCGGACACGATTTTCATAAAATACATCCGCAAATTTAAAGGAATTTTTGCGGACAGAGATTTTCTTAAGAAGGCTGCAGATTTTAAGAAATTTGCGGACAATACTTGCGGACACGATTCTCCCAAAAAAATTTTGCGGACAATATTTGCGGACAAAAAAATAATTTTTTTCTTTCAGAAATTCAAAAAACTATTCCGACCAGATGTTGATTTAATAAGCACAACTGATGGCAAAAATCATCTAAATACTCATACAAAACCTGTAGCTGATGGAATTTGTGATGGGGATGTTTTTGAATAACACAAGTTTTTACAATAATTGAAGAGAAAAAGATCTCTAAAAACCTCAAAAATATTTTTTTTAAATATATTCCTTTCTAAAATATTTTTATTTTTAAGTCTCTCCCCAAATTAATCTTTTAGAATTTTCACAATTTCTAATCCTTTTAGATTTTTTTAGAAAAAATTATTTTGATGTTTAAATGTTTTAATAATTTTCTTAATAAAAATTAATATTTTTTTCACAAATGTCTCTCAAAAATAAATTTTTAATTTTTTAAAATGGACTTTAAAACCAGACCCAACTTTTCTCTCCACCTGTGACATCCCTGATAACGACTTCAAGTGTCAACCTTAAAAAAGTTTTAAAGGCCGACACTTTAAATATTTTTTAATAAAATATTTAAAAAATTATCAAAAAAATACTATAAATTCGAGAAGAAACTAATTTAACAATTTGGTTAATCTTTCCAAACCACTTTCTGGCTTTTAGACGAGTTCATTCTGAAAAAAAAATTTTACAAAAAATTTTAAAGGTAAAAATTTAGTAGTTGGAATGTTTTTAAAAGTTTTTAGACAGTTTTTATGAAAATAAAAGTCAAAACTCCCACTGGGGATCGAACCCGGGTATTGTAAAAATATGTAAAAAATGTAGCTAACAAACTACCCACTAGACCAAATCAACACACAATGAAGAAATAGGACTAAAATAAAAAATATTCTCAACCCATATTGGGGATAGAACGAAGACAGTACAAACTTTTACTGGTGGTCGAACCCAGGCGTTGTACCACAATTTTTTTAAAATTTTATAAAAATGGAAACCTTTATACAATCCAAGCGTTTCTCTTCTCTCCAAACAGCCTTCAATCTAAAACATAATTCTCCCAATTTTGTACACCACTCTTCTTGTGTAAACCAACAAGTTTGATAAAATGTGACGCTTGCTATTTCTAAGTTTGTCTTTAAATTTAATTTAAAAGAAACAAATTTAAAAAACCTCTAATTTTTACTAGAAATACTAGAAAGGAATAATTGTTTTTGACCAAATTTGGACGAATCAAATTTCTGTTCCCCAGCTTTTGGTAAATATAAAGACGAATGTTGCACAGTCAATCGAGCATCGTTTTGAACTGAAAAGATTATTTTAAAAATATGGGAGACTAAAAATTTTTTGGACGAAAAACCAGCTAATAACTAGGGCTCGGAATTTATATTGAAATAGGGCACAAAAACGACCTTGGTCATGAACAAGTCTTGACTGACCAGTGTCAGACTGTTTAGTTCGAGTAGAAGAGAGACAGAAATGACCAGTGATAGATGTAATAAAAATGAAGAGACAGTGGTCAGTTCGCGGGCAGTGCCGCTTCAGTGATTTATTTAAATATAAATCCGAGCCCTACTAATAACGTTTAATAAAACCCATTAACGGGTCTTTTATTTAAACACAAAAATTCAAAACCTTATCAAAATTCGTTCCTTAATTTCATTCCAGGGACGAAATCCAACCAAAAATTGGTCACTTTTCCAGAGCTCTTCATCCTCTTCTTGGTTATTTGACTGGGTCAACAATTTTTTGATAAATTGAGTCTAGATTCGTTTAAAAATCAAAGAAAATCTCTGATAAACCTGTAAAGAAGAAATAGCATTTGTCTCAATAGAAAAAAAGCAGCGCCAAGTAATCCAAAAATTTTTCATTTCCATTGTCCTCAAGCCTTTTGTTGTCGTTCCAGTGGTTTTAGGACAGGAAAAAACGAAAAAAATTAAAAATATGAAAGGAATTGAAAAAACTATAAAATGCAAACACGATAAAGTTAGCCCGTTTATCGACAAAATAATAAAAAAAACATTGTTCAAAAAAATAAAACTTTTTGTTGAGGTAAAATTAAGGTCCTGAGATAGTTAAGTCATCTTTTCTTCTGCTACAAAATTAATCCTTCTCCTCATTTTCAATTGAAACCTCCACCTGTTGAGTACGTTTAAAACGGGCAGCACCACCTAAGATTTCTTTCTTCTCCTCTTTGGATGCAGGAAACTCATGCTAAAATTAAAAAAATTTTTCAAAAATTAAATATAATGTTACTACGTGTTGACTATGTGGAGTAGAGACGGTCTAAAATTTAAAAAAAAATACAGAAAATTAAAACCAAAAACATACCGAAGGCAAAAGAGGAATTTGGAAATAGGCAATCTAAAAGAGATGAGTTTAAAGTTATCAAAAAATCCCTAACACGCCAAAATACCAAACTTCTACAAAAATCGCTATGGATGAGATATCTACCACAATAAACGTCAAAACTACCTAATACATAAATACCTCACCTCCATAGCAACAAAAGGTTTTCTGCTTGCATTTTCTGCTTTTTAGGCTCCAGAAAAAAAGTAAAAAAATTTTTTTGATTTTTTTAATAATTTTAAATAGTTAGGTATTTCAGCGTTCCCCAAAAATTTATAAAACATACAATTCTATCCAATTTAATTGCATTTTCATCCGCCTTCCTGTTATTCTCATCCACCTTTCTATTCAAAGACTCAACAATAGGCTTGACCTCTTTCATCTCTTTGACCAGATCATAGAAGACTTCAAATTTTTTGTTCAAAAAATAGAGAAGAAATGCAAAAAGCGCAATAGCCAAAATAAACAATCCCACTCCTGAATTCGCATATATAAGCCTTTTTTTTATAGGATAGATCAAGTCTGACTCAACAACAGGCTTGACCTGTTCCATTACAGCTTTCGAGGCTGTGTCGGTTGAAATAGAGTTGAGAGTTTCCTTATTCAAACTCTAAAAAGCAAAAAATAAAACATTATAAAAATTGCTTACATCGTTTTTAACTAAAGCTAACGCGTAACAATCAACTTTCGTATGGTCCTAAATAATAAACAGATAAAAACAAAGGGTGATAGAGACAACCTGTAAGAAATAATAGCGCCAAACAATACCGATAAGAATGCAAAAAATGAAAACAAGAAGGAGGACCACTAAGCAGCAAACATGTTCGTAGATAAACTAGAAAAATTAAAGATAAATCAAACCCATTAAGTCGCCTCCAAAATTATCGGGTTAGTTGTTTGGAATTAAGATAACCCAATTATTAAATATTAAAAAACGAACTTGTCGAATTTCGGCCAGAGAATACTTCCAAAAAACAAGTCCAACAATCAAACAACTGACAATGAACAGGAAAAGCACTAGCAAAGCAAAAATGTTGTCAACGAAGAACTAGAAAAATTAGAGAAATCATAAACTTTAAGTCCTTTCAAAATATCAATTTATCTGTTCGCAATTAAGATAATTTCCCTCCAATTATTGAATAAAACAAACCTGCCAAATTTCTGAGAACATTTCAATTAAAAAATGGTAACAGTAAATGTCAAAAAATGTTGTTAAACAAAACACTAACTGCAAAGCAACTAAGATAAACAAAAAATTAATTTAAAAAATATACAAAAAAGTTTATTGATTGAGACAATTTTTTTAAATTTTATAAAAATGGAAACCTTTATATAATCCAAGCGTTTCTCTTCTCTCCAAATAGCCTTTAATCTAAACCGTAATTCTCCCAATTTTCTGCACCACTCTTCTTGAATAAGTTCATCAAGTTTGATAAAATGTGACGCTTGTTATTTTGAAATTTTCCTTTAAAAGAAAATTTATTAAAAGAAAAATAGATTTAAAAAACCTCTAATTACTAGAAATACTAGAAAGGAATAATTGTTTTTGACCAAATTTAGACGAATCAAATTTCTGTTCCCCAGCTTTTGGTAAATATAAAGACGAATTCTGCAGAGTCGAACGAGCGACAGTTTTGAACTGAAAAGATTATTTTTAAAATATGGGAGACTAAAAATTTTTTGGACGAAAAACCAGCTTGTTGTTCCAGTTTCTGATCCAAGTGTTATGAATAATTATTGATTTTTGAAGAAGAGGATGGGCAATGAAAACGAAGAAAATCGGTCATTTAAAAGGCAGTGGTTTTAGAGAAGTAAAAAAACGAAAATAAATTAAAAATATAAAGGGAATTGAAAAAACTATAAAATGCAAACAAGATAAAGTTAGCCCGTTTATCGACAAAATAATCAAATAAAAAATCTTTTTAAAATAAATAAAACTTTTTGTTGAGGTCAAATTAAGGTCCTGAGATTGTTAATCATCTTTTCTTCTGCTACAAAATTAATCCTTCTCCTCATTTTCAATTGTAACCGCCACCTGTTGAGTAGATTTTAAACGGTCACCACCCCCTAAGATTTGTATCTCCTCTTCTTTGGATGCAGGAGACTCATGCTAAAATTTAAAAAAGTTTGCAAAAATTAATATAATGTAAATAAGTACATGTTGACTGTGTGGAGTAGAGACGGTCTAAAATTTAAAAAAATTTTCAGAAAATTAAAACCAAAAACATACCGCAGGCAAAGGAGGAATTTGAAAATGGGCAATCTAAAAGAGATGAGTTTAAAGTTATCAAAAAATCCCTAACACGCCAAAATACCAAACTTCTACAAAAATCGCTATGGATGAGATATCTCCCACAATAAACGTTGAAACTACCTAATACACAAATACCCACCCTCCACAGCAAAAAAGGTTTTTCACACTAATTGCATTTTCTGCTTTTTAGGCTCCAGAAACAAAAATTACAAAAAATTTTTTTTATTTTCTTGATAATTTTAAATAGTTAGGCATTTCAGCGTTCCCCAAAAATTTATAAAACATACAATTCTATCCATTTTAATTGCATTGTTCCTGTTATTCTCATCCTCCTTTCTATTCAAAGACTTAACATCAGGCTTGACCTGTTTCATCTCTTTGACCAAAGCGTTGAAGACTTCAAATTTTTCGTTCAAAAAATAGAGAAGAAATGTTAAAAGCGCAATTCCCAAAATAACCAATCCCACAGTTGAATTTATATATGCTTGATCAGCTTTTGAGGCTGTGTCGGTTGAAATGGAGTCGATAGTTTCCTTATCAAAGCTTCCCATTCTTACGAATATAGTTGGAACTTAAAATCTCTAAAAATTAAACGGCTGAAAATTTAAAAAAGTCAATATAGAACTAAACACGTACAATGCTGAAACAAAATTAATAGAATTAAACGTGTCGGACAAAAGACCTTAAAAAACGCTATGCCAAAAATGGGATAAAAGACCGCGGTAGGGGACCATTGAGTCCCGCCGATTGAGTACCGCCGGTTGAGTCCCTGGCCGGTTGAGTCCCGGCCGATTGAGTCCCGCCGGTTGAGTCCCCTCCCAAAAGGTGACGTTTGAGTCCCCGTATTTCTTTCTAGGATCTTGATGGATTAAGTGGGATATATGGAGTTTTGAATTGATATAAGAGTATTTGGGGAGATTTTGAGTGATAATGATAAATATGGAGGGATTTCAAGCGATTTGGAGTGATTGAAGTGGATATTGTTGTGGTGTGGTGGCTACTATAAAAGCCTCACACAATTGTCAGTCCGTGTCTCCTAATTGTCTCCAATATTATCCCAACCTTATTCTATTGTACTTCAACATTATTGTATTTCTTGTGTGTGATAAACACATTATTGTATTGTGTATTTCTTGTTGTGCAGAGACACAACAAATTTGGCGCGGTCGTAAACGGATTCAATTGAAAATTGTATTGAAGACAACAAATCAGGTTAGTGGCTTGTTAATTGTTCATTGAAAAAATATTGTATTGATTGTTCAAGATGAAAGCGGAGGACATTCAAAAACTCCTTGAACAACAACAAATGAAATTCAATCAACAACAGGCGGAGCTGCAGGAACGTCAAAATCAACAATTGCTAGAACAACAAAAACAGATTGCAGAATTGTTGAGTAAATTGGGCAATAGGCCAAATATTGAAAGTGCTACAACGCTTCAACAAGAAGGATCGGCACAATACGGTAAATTGCATAAATTGATTTCTGAGTTCCATTGTGATATTCCACGGGCATTCACGTTCGAAACGTGGTATGATAAGTACAAATCGTACTTTGAAATTGAGGGGGCCACATTGAGTGATGAATTGAAAGCAAGATTGCTTATTTCGAAATTGGGTGGCCCCGAATATTCTAAAATTGCCCAAAAATTATTGCCACGAAAATTATCAGACCTGAAATTTGGGGAATTGATAAAAGAATTGAAAGAGGAGTTTAGGGACCCGAGGTCCAAATTGCTAAAGCGTTTCGATACGCTGAAATTGAAATGTAATGAATTTGAAAATATATTGCAATTTGGGAATCTCGTAAATGCCGAATGCGAAAAGTCAGAAATGAATTTGACTATTGAAGAAATGAAAATATTGATTTTTATTGTAGGGCTTCCTGACTCTGCAATTGATTTAAAACAAAATTGTATTCGGCTGATAGAAAATAAATCAAAGAAAAAAGAAGATTGTAATTTCAAAGAGTTATTGGAAGATTGTCGAGGATTCTTGTCTACGAAAAAAGAAGTAAAATTGTTGTCTGAACCTAAACAGGTCAGTAAAATTGAATTGGGTTCACCACCGGAAATAAATATTATTCAGGAACCCAAATTGCAACAACAAAGTATTGAAAAATCGAAAAGTATTGAAAACAAGAATTGCTATTATCCACCAAAAAGGCCATATTGTAATTATTGTAAAAAAGAAGGACATTGGACTTCTTATTGTTATTTTGCTGGTAAGCGTAAATTTTCACCTAGAGTGAATAATGTGAAAATTGGTTTAGATAAGAGCAATGATGGTCCTTATTGTATATTGCTGGATATTGAAGACAATGAAGTGCTGCAAAAGCAAAATTGGATTGTTCAAAGGGTGAAAATAAATGGCACTTCAATGAACATGATTGTCGATACAGCTGCGCAAATTTCAATTATTTCAAAGGAAACGTGGTCACAAATTGGTGAACCAAAATTGGAAGAAGTTTCCTACAATGGAATTGCGATGGACAAAACAAAATTCAAAATTGAAGGGAAATTTGCAGCAAAGATTGATTGTAATAATAAGGAAGAAGAATTAGATTGCCATGTTGTGGAAGGCAAATTGAATTTAATTGGATTACCTTGGCTTAAAAAATTGAATTTATTGAAAAATATTGTGAATGTTCCTGAGATTGAAAAGAATATTGTAAGGAAGAAAATTGTATGGAACAAACAAAAGCCAATGCCAAAACCAATTGTAAAGAAAAAACTCTGGAAAGGCAAAAATGTAATTGTGAAGAACAAGAACAAAAGAACCAACAAAATTGAATGGTTGAAAGGCGAAATTGTTGGAAAAGTTGGTCAATTGTTTAGAGTTCAAGTTCATTGCCTGAAGAGTGTAATTCTGCGAAAAATTGAAGACATTAAAGAAGATTATCAACAACCAAGAATTGAATCAAAGAAGTGCTACGCTGTCAAACGTTCAGATGCGAGGCTGTACAATGAAGGCGCAACACCGAAAAAGAAAACAAAGATCTGGTCCGAAGAATCTGAAGATAAGATGGAAAGCTGTTCTGAGGGATCGATAAATTCTGAGGGTTTGATAAATTCTGAGGGTTCAAATATTTCTGAAAGTTCGACGATAAATAAAATATATAAAATGTTCTTTTGATTGTAAAATATTTTTTTTGTTTGTTTGTTCCCTTATACCCTCATTTTTTTGTATGTATTTTGTTGACCGGACTTTTGTTATTGTTTGTATGTTTTGTATTGGTGTTGTAACCCCAGCCTTGCAAAGGGGAAGGTGTTGTGGTGTGGTGGCTACTATAAAAGCCTCACACAATTGTCAGTCCGTGTCTCCTAATTGTCTCCAATATTATCCCAACCTTATTCTATTGTACTTCAACATTATTGTATTTCTTGTGTGTGATAAACACATTATTGTATTGTGTATTTCTTGTTGTGCAGAGACACAACAGATATATAGACGGATTTTCAAGACGGAATTATTGCGGGTATGGTACCACGTTGGGGTACATTATATATGAATATAATGATGGATTATAAGTACCTACCAAAATACCTGGTACTACCCCCAAATTGGTAACATACCTGTAATACTTCCATCCTGGGAATCATACGTAAACTTGGTGCCTTTATTTAACAAGTCCTAGTTTGGGGATATAATCTATAATCCCTCATATTCCTGTACAATGTGCCCCAAAGTGGTAACATATCCGCAATAGACCCGTACTGGGAATCATACATACTTGTATAAATCCTAGAAAGAAATACGGGGACTCAAACGTCCCCTTTTGGGTGGGGACTCAACCGGCGGGACTCAATCGGCCGGGACTCAACCGGTCAGGGACTCAACCGGCGGGACTCAATCGGCGGGACTCAAACGGCGGGACTCAATGGTCGCGTTCCGAAAAGACCGACACGGCCGAGGTACAGCCCAACTAGGCGCGGGCCAACAGGCGCGACCGACTAGGCGCCGGCCAACTAGGCGCGAGGCCAACTAGGCGCCGGCCAATTTTAATTTTGGAAAATTTTTATTTGGAAATTCTTTTTGGAAATTTTCTTTTTTTAAAAATTTTTGGTTTATAATTCAGAATGGTCTCAATTGATGGTCGATGGGACCATTCTAATTGATTATAATCAAAATATTTAATTAAAAAGGTTCGCGCCTAGTTGGCCGGCGCCTAGTTGGGCGTGTCCCCCCTCCTGGTCGCGAATAATTGATTTATTAAATTTTTCATTGAGACTAGGGAAAAAGTTAATTAACTGAGACTAGTGCCCGGCAAAGACTTTTTCTTAGGGAAAAGGTTTTGCAGTTCCCTAGTCTCAATCAATAAACCTTTTTGTGTAGTTTTTAAATTCATTTGCATATTTTTTAAATTAATTTTTTTGTTTATCTTAGTTGCTTTGCAGTTAGTGCTTTGTTTAGCAATTTTTTGACATTTACTGTTACCATTTTTTTAATTGAAATGTTCTCAGAAATTTGGCAGGTTTGTTTTATTCAATAATTGTGAAGTAAAATTATCTTAATTGCGAACAGATAAAATGATATTTTGAAAGGAGTTAAAGTTTATGATTTTCTCTAATTTTTCTAGTTCTTCGTTGACAACATTTTTGCTGCTCTGTTAGTGCTTATCCTGTTCAGTTTGATCGTTGGACTTGTTTTTTGGAAGTATTCTCTGACCGAAATTCGACAAGTTCGTTTTTTAATATTTAATAATTGTGTTATCTTAATCCCAAACAGCTAACCCGATAATTTTTGATTTATCGGCTGTAGTGTAGTGTACCGGTGGTAAAAGTTCGGAACGTGACATATGTCATTCGATTCGTCTCGACGAGCTGAGTCGAACGGTACTAGTCCCTACTTTAGGAAATGATTCTGGACCGAGTTATGGGTCCCGAAAAATTGAAAAACCAAAGGGGGGAGTAAGCTCGATTTTGGGGTGAAAAATTCGAATATGCAAATAATAGCTCATTCGAAAGAGCTCGGCGAGCTGAGTCGAATGACACCAAAATCAACGAAATCTGACTTGATTTGACAAAGTTATGACCGTTTGTTTTAGCTCCTTACCTATGGCGCCCGTGGAGGTTTTTGCTGCTACTGGAGCCCCAAATACATCCAGAGCAAGGGAGATGGGACTAGGTTTATGTTACTGACCCAGACCCAGCGCGCGTAGACTCCCCGCGAGGCGCGTGCCGCAAAACCCCGCGCGAAGCGCGGGGTTTTGCACAAGCGCCTCGCCGACGCCCCATAGGTTTATGTTGTTTGTTTTTCTATTGTAACTTTGTCCAAACTTTTACAATCGAGCTGATTTTGGTGTCATTCGACTCAGCTCGACGAGCTCTTTCGAATGAGCTATTATTTGCATATTCGAATTTTTCACCCCAAAAAAGTGCTTGGTCCCCTCTTTGGTTTTTCAATTTTTCGGGACTTATAACTCGGCCCAGAATCATTTCCTAAAATTAAGAGTGGTACCGTTCGACTCAGCTCGTCGAGACGAATCGAATGACATATGTCACGTCCCGAACTTTTACCACCGGTACACTACACTATATCCGATTTATCTTTAATTTTTCTAGATTATCTACGAACATGTTTGCTGCTTAGTGGTCCTCCTTCTTGTTTTCATTTTTTGCATTCTTATCGGTGTTGTTTACCGCTATTATTTCTTACAGGTTGTCCCTACTACCCCTTGTTCTTTATCTGTTTATTATTTAGGACCACACGAAAGTTGATTATTACGCGTTAGCTTTAGTTAAAAACGATGTAAGTAATTTTTATAATGTTTTATGTTTTGCTTTTATAGAGTTTGAATAAGGAAACTCTCGACTCTATTTCAACCGACACTGCCTCAAAAGCTGTGGTATCGTATGCGAATTCAACTGTGGGATTGGTTATTTTGGCTATTGCGCTTTTCACATTTCTTCTCTATTTTTTGAACGAAAAATTTGAAGTCTTCAAATCTTTGGTCAAAGAGATGAAAGAGGTCAAGCCTGATGTTGAGTCTTTGGATAGAAAGGTGGATGAGAATAACAGGAACAATGCGATTAAATTGGATAGAATTGTATGTTTTATAAATTTTTGGGGAACGCTGAAATATTTAACTATTTAAAATTATCAAGAAAATAAAAAAAATTTTTTGTAATTTTTGTTTCTGGAGCCTAAAAAGCAGAAAATGCAATTAGTGTGAAAAACATTTTGTTTCTATAGAGGGTGGGTATTTGTGTATTAGTTAGTTTCAACGTTTATTGTGGGAGATATCTCATCCATAGCGATTTTTGTAAAAGTTTGGTATTTTGGCGTGTTAGGGATTTTTCGATAACTTTAAACTCATCTCTTTTAGATTGCCCATTTTCAAATTCCTCCTTTGCCTTCGGTATGTTTTTGGTTTTAATTTTCTGAAAATTCTTTTTAAATTTTAGAACGTCTCTACTCCACACAGTCAACACGTACTTATTTACATTATATTAATTTTTGCAAACTTTTTTTTTAATTTTAGCATGAGTCTCCTGCATCCAATGAAGAGGAGATAAAAATCTTAGGTGATGCTGCCCGTTATAAGTCTACTCAAAAGGTGCCGGGTACAATTGGTGGAGAGAAGAAGGTTTAATTTTGTAGCAGAAAAAAAGATGACTTAACAATCTCAGGACCTTAATTTGACCTCAACAAAAAGTTTTATTTTTTTGAAAAATATTTTTTATTTGATTATTTTTCGATAAACGGGCTAGCTTTATCGTGTTTGCATTTTATAGTTTTTTCAATTCCCTTTATATTTTTAATTTATTTTCGTTTTTTTACTTTTCTAAAACCAATGCCTTTTAAATGACCGATTTTTTTTTCGTTTATCTTATTCCGATGCTTGCCCTGTCATTGCCCATCCTCTCCTTCAAAAATCAAAAATTATTAATAACACTTGGATCAGAAACTGGAACGACAACAAAAAGCTTGAGGACAAATGCTTCCTCTTCTTTACAGGTTTATCAGAGATTTTCTTTGATTTTTAAACGAATTTAGACTCAATTTATCAAAACATTGTTGACTCATTGTCAGTCAAATATTCAAGAAGAGGATGAAGAGCTTTGGAAAAATGACCAATTTTTGGTTGGATTTCGTCCCTGGAGTGAAATTAACGAACGATTTTTGGATAAGGTTTTGAATTTTTGTGTTTAAATAAAAGGGCCCGTTAATGGGTTTTATTAAACGTTTTTAGCTAGTTTATGCTCCCCAAAATTTCTAGTCTCCCATATTTTAAAAATAATCTTTTCAGTTCAAAACTGATGCTCGTTTGACTCTGCAAAATTCGTTTTATATTTACTAGAAGCTGGGAGAACAAAAATTTGATTCGTCCAAATTTGGTCAAAAACAATTATTACTTTCTAGTATTTCTAGTAAAAATTAGAGGTTTTTTTAAATTTGTTTTTCTTTTAAATTAAATTTTCTTTTAAAGGAAAATTTCAGAAGAACAAGCGTCACACTTGTTGAAAGTGGTGCAGAAATTTGGGAGAATTATGTTTAGATTGAAGGCTCTTTGGAGAGAAGAGAAACGCTTGGATTGTATAAAGGTTTCCATTTTTATAAAATTTAAAAAAATTGTGATTTTTGGAGATAAAATTTTAGACTTTGACCCTAGAAAGTGCGATTTTTTGGATGTACAAAAATCCATTCTGAGCTCAATTGCCTTCCATCTATAGCTACAAAATATCCTAATTTTTGACCCATCCCCTCCAACTTTTTTTCAAAATAGACTAATTATTTCTCATCTACAAATTCATTTAAAAATACCCAAGACTCGAAACACCAATCAATTTATATTTTTTAGTTTATCTCTGAATTATCAGCTCAATTGGGAAAGAAAAAACAGTTTGTTCTGTACAGTTTTACCCAGCTCAATTTGTCTATATTACCGATTTGCTTGATTTTTTTTGGGTTGGTTAAGATTACTTCAATGTGCTCAGGAAGAAAGGAGGCAGGTTTTGTGTTTTTTTTATAATTTTATTTTTAAAGGCTGGACTTGATGATTTGCCTGAAGAATGGAATATTGGCGATATTTTAGGGTTATTTTTAATTTTGTAATATTTTGTAAGGTAGAAATATTTTTGGAAATTTTTGAAATTTTTTTAGTTGGATGTTTTTATGAGTGTTTTAGATTTTTTCCTTTTTTTGTTGGAATTTTTTGGTTTTCCATTATGGGAGGGGATGGTTAAGTCGTTTGTTTTTTTCTTGTTTATTTTTTACAACGCCTGGGTTCGACCACCGGTTGAAGTTTGTCCTATCTTCGTTCGATCCCCAGTATGGGTTGAGAATATTTTTTATTTTAAATTTTTTTTATTTTAAATTTTATTCTACATTTGTGTTGATTTGGTCTAGTAGATAGTTTGTTAGCTATATTACAATGCCCAGGTTCATCCCCAATGGGGCTAAAAACTTGATGTTTTTTAACGATTTTAATTTCCAAAAATAAAAAAATCTTTCTTTTTATTGCATTTATAATTTTAGATTTTAAAAATTAATACAAAATATTATGCTTAAAATTTTTTTCCTTACCCACCACTTTAATCATCGCCTCTCCTCATTTTCATTTAATTCATCTATTATATTTATTGCTGTCAATTCTTCATTATTTTCTTCAATATCTTTAGGAGGCAAAGTTTGTTGAAATTGTGCAAATTTGTAAGGCCTTTCCTCCTCTTCAAATCCCCCAAATCCTTTTGTTAATTGTGGACTTGAAGGGGATTCATGCAGCTGTTTTTGGCTGTTTTCTGGGGAGGCATTAATTGCATTGCTAGCCATTAATCGTTCGTTTAACATTCTCAAAGCTTTTTGTCTGGAAAAAAAGAAAAATTGAAAGAAAAATTTTTTTTTTAATTTGTCCGCAAAAATATTTGCGGACAAATTAAAAAAATTTTTTTGCAGGCCCAACAACCATAATCAAAAATATTAACGATTTTAATTAATTTTGAAGACAGGGGATTTAATAAAAAAAATAGAAAGGGATCAAACAAAAAAATTTATAAGGTCAAAGGGGCATGCCCTAAGGCCTCTCCCACATTGGATCCGTGTCGAGCGTTGAGTGTCACGTATTTTATCATTCGACAAAATATGGGGCATTCAAGTGTATACCCAATTTAAAAAAAATAATTTCCAAATTAACCTTTTTCTTTCCGAATCCCAACCTTCCGGTGCCAACACAGCAGTCCCAACACTTTTAACTTGAATACATTCCAACGCTTCCATTTGAAGACTGTTCTCTTGCATATAATCCAAATGTTCTTTCCCAATAACTCGTTTTAACAATCCAAAACGATGAAGTGAACGAAATGTAAAACGGCCAATTAAAGTAGCAAAAGGTTGAATAATTCTTGGGAAGAAACTGAAAAATGAAAGGGAAAGGAAAAAATTTTTTAAGAGAAAAAAAACCTTGCCCAACAAAAATGTTCACTTCGATCACCAACTACTTGTTCACCCATACCACCTCTTTCTTGAAAAAATCGTAAGTATGTCCAGCTGATTTGAAGAGATAACCTTAATGTTGAATAAATTATTTTATGACAAAAAACAATTTTTTTAAATATTTCTAACGGAAAGAATGATACAAAAGAAAAGAATGAACACCCCGATTGCTGCGAACCGACTTCGTTGCAGGACTGAAAATTAAAGCCCAACGTTGGAGTGGATTTAGTAGCGGATTGGACTGGTTCCAGTGATTGGATTACTACATATTGCTGGGTATGGCTCTAGAAGCTAGCTCCAGAGCCGAATAGGTTCGGAGCCAAATTTGAAAAGGTCGGAGCCGAAGCCACAAAATACCTAACACCCCCAACATTGCCCGTTCCCTCTAAAAAATAATTTTAAAATATTTTTTAGTCAAATTTTAGACTAAGAAAATACGTAAATTGGACGGCGTGTTTTATAAAATTAAAATATTTAAAAAAGAATAAACAAACATAATTTGAAAAATAACAGTCCCTCTAACAAGCCCAATTATCCAACATATCAAAAACACAAAAAATGAACATATCGGTAAATGTCCATTTTTTAGTCTTCCATAGGGTGTAGTAAAGAGAACTGTGTCTGGTAAAAACTTGAAAGAAAAAAGATTTTTTAAATAGATTGAGGAAAACAAACTTGTTTAAGAGCAATTAATGCAGCCATTGCTAAAGCACAACTTCCAAAAATTTCAATTTTATAAAAGGTATAAACTACGCTTGTTGAAATAAACAAAAGTAGAGAAAATATTACAAGCAAAAATGTTGAGGTTAGCTGTAAATTAATATTGGATAAATTAAACAAAAAAAATAAGGGATAAGGGATAGAAATCGGAAAAGAATAACAAGCCAAATGATGAAATCGGAATTAGGGTTGTCCGTTTTTGGAAAATCTTTGGAAATAAGGAAATGAACCAAACAAATCCTCAGTCGGTTCGGTTCAAAAAATCCTAACATTATATGGAATATGAGAAAATCCTGATGAAAAAATGAGCCAAACTAAATAGAAAAATCTTGGAACAAAAGGTCATTTTGGCCCTATCCTAAAAAGAGGGCGCCTTGATTTTTTTCCAGTATTTTTTTCCAACCTTAATATATAAAAATGGTCAGTCTTTTCTTCCTCGTTCAATTCCACTCTTTTTACCTTTGGCATATTCAATTGAACAGAAAAGCACATATGTACACTACAGACAAAACACGGACGGACAAACACAACCTTGTTTCGTCTGTCCGTGTTTTGTCTGTCTGTATTCATCCGTGTTCGTCCGAGCTCGTCCGTGCTTTGTCTGTCTTTGTCTGTCCGTGTTTCGCCGTGATTGTCTGTCTGTGAGTGTATTTTTCTGTCGTCTCATTTGAATATGCCACAGGTAAAAAGAGTGGAGTTGAACGAAGAAGAAAAGACTGACCATTAATTATATATTAAAGTTGAAAAAAAATGATGAAAAAAATTCAAGGTGCCTTCTTTTTAGGATAGGAACAAAAATTTTGGTTTGGGTTTCGGTTAACAGAAAAATTTCTACAACTGGTAAACCTAAATGAGCTACATAAAGCACGGATATCAGATAAATGGAAGTGGAAACGAAGAAAAAATTGGTTGAAAATTAAGCGAGATGGTCCAATTACTAGGTGGAAAAAATAGAAAATTAAACCTGCACAATCACAATAAATTTGAGCGATTCTTTGACAGACCAATTGGGTTGAATATATAAAATAAATTGGTAAAAACAATAGAATGACCAGAGAAGAACTAGAAAAAAATTTTTTTGAAGAAAAATTTTTGAAAAACTTTTCCACAACTTTTCGATAAATCTTTAAAAATTTCAAAGAAATTTCAAAAAAATTTTCTAAAAATTTAATGAAAAAAATTTTGAAGAAAAACTTTTCCACAACTTTTCGATAAATCTTTAAAAATTTCAAAGAAATTTCAAAAAAATTTTCTAAAAATTTAAACAAATTTAAAAACCTATCAAATTTCTCTCCACAAACAAATTTGTAATTAACCGCCACAGGTGAAGATGAAAAAGAGTGCTAGGCACGAGAATCAACAAATCAGAAATTGGTTTGAATAAAGAAATGAAAAAACCTTTAAAAATAAAATTAAAATTTTTAAAAATAAACCTATTAATTGAACTAGTATCACATATTTGAAGAAAGGGTTTGCTTCCAAATTAGGGCGAATATATAAATTAAAATAATTTTGTAGATTGTTCATTTGCTTTAAAAAATTTTCTAAAAAAATTTATTTAAAAAATTAAAAGGGAGAATCTCAACAAATTGATAAATTATGGGGTGACTCTACAATCATGGAGTGACTCCCCAAAAAATTTTTTTAATCAACATCAAAATATGGAAAAGACAATCAACTAGACGTTGATTGTCCGTCATCAAAGGTGGGGTAAAAATTACCCAAATTGGGCTGCACAGTCGATAGCGACTCGATTTTAAAAATGGTTTTAGCATTGGTTTTAGGACCCTATCTATTCTATGTCCCATCCAAAGAATTTTTTCACAACACGAAAATAAATTCAAAGTGGAGTAAAAAATATACAGGGAATCGAAATCTCGGTGGAACCCTGTCCGGAATAATTTTGGACTGCCCAAAAATTTTTTTTAATCTGCTCACTAAAAGGGCTTAATTATTAAAATAGAAAAGTCATCAAAAACAAAAAAAAAAGATAAAAATACATCCAAATAAATTAATTAATTTAAAACAAAAATTCCAATACATAAAAAAAATTTTATTCATTAAAATGATAGGCTTCAATTCTCTTCAACATGAGCACATATTAAAAAAGAGAAAAAATTTATATATAATTGGTGGAAATACCATGGTCTCGAAAAAAAATTTTTCCTTGAAATTAACGTTAACATTAGACTCTCAAAATTTCTCCTTTTTCTGGTTAAAAACCAAAAAAAGGAAAAAATAAAGAAAAATTAATTTTAAAAAATAATATTAAAAAAATTATAAACAAACACACATTTTGTCCAATTTTGTTGGTCATTCAAAAAAATTTTTTGGGGGGGCCAAAAAGGTGACAAAAAAATTATCGAGTGAAAGCGAAAAATATTTTTTTAAACTTTTCATTAAATAAAAAAAAACTTTTGTTTGTTATTTTCCAAAATATATAAATTTTTCCGCATCAATCGAGGTATTGGGATAACCAACGAAAACCTTCACCATATCCTTGTCGACGAAGCACCGAACACATAAATACTTCAAGAGGTCGAGTTGCCAAATCAGCACGAGAAACGTTGCCTTTGCCTTTAAAAATAAATTAGTTAATTCTTAAATAAAATATAAAATTTAATGGCTACCAAAAAATTAAATTTTTAAAAATTTTCAAAAAAAATTCTCGAAGGGGCAGGAAAAAGTATTCTCAAAAATTAAGGAAAAAATTATATTTGTGGTAAGCCATAAAAGTTTACAATTAGAAGCATTGCTTAAACACAAATAGAAAATAAAATGAACTCTAGAAAAGCGGCTAAAATTGCGGACAAGAGACACCCTTGCGGACCTTCTCCTAATTTCTCTTCGTTACCCTATTTTTCCTTTGGAATGGGAATACAAATTTTCGCCCATTTTTAATAAAACAAAAATTAAAAAAAAATTTTTAAAAAATTAAAAAACAAACCTGTGCAATATTGCTGAATTCCCAAATAATATTTAAGCTGGTCCTCACCCAACGCATTCACTTTGTCAATTTTATTTCCCAAAACCAATATTGGTGCACTAGACACTTGCTCGTCTTGCATTAAACTCCAAAGCTCTTCCCTAGCTTCTTGAATCCGTTCCAAATCAGCAACGTCCACAAGAAATACAATAGCATCCAATGCCGGAAAATAGCTTTTCCACACTCTACGCGCCTGGACGTGTCCTCCCAAATCAAAAGTTGTGAAGCGAATGCCACCTAGCGATAATTCTTCAGAAGTTGGATGAAGTGTTGGGACATGCTGTGCAATCCGGTCATCTTTTAACATGTGAAGTAAAGTTGTCTTTCCAGCGTTATCAAGACCAAGGAATACCTTTTTAAATTTTTAAGGTAATTTAACAAGAAAATTTAAAAAAATTTCAAAAATTAAGTGAAAATTAGAAAAAGTGAAATAAATGACCCTAGACTAACTGGGGTCTATACCTTGCTTTTTAAGGTCATCTGGAAAACGATAAAATTTTTTTAACAGGCATTTCCGTGTCCCCATATTCTGCCAATAAGAATAAACACCGAAGTGTTGCTAACCTAATTTAATTTGCACAACGTGGGAATCAGGGATGGGTCGGGTGGAGAAAAAAGTCAGGTCGAATTTCTGATCGGGTTTTGAAAACAAAAAATCTCGGATCGAATCTCGGATTGGGTTTTAAAAATTTTCTTCGGATCAGGTTTCGGCTCTCGGGTAACCCGACCCATCTCTGATGAGAATATAGGTTTACGGCTTTGGAAAAATACGGGGGATCAGGCAACTTGATAAAAATGCAGGCCCAAATTTAAGAAAAAAATTCAATTATAACTCAGTTACTAATTAACCAACAAAATTTAACAAAAAAATACCAATTTTCCACTCTTTTTTGTAAGGCCCAAATAGTTGAGAACTCCAGAGAACCAGTCAAAAAGCCAAGACATGTTGAGATATTTTGAAGTTTATATTAAATATTTTTTAAATAAAAATGGTTGGAATCTTTAAAAATTAAATAAAATTAGTTTAAAAAATAAACGAGATCAAATAAAGTAAAAAAATCTAAAAATAAACTGATTAAAATAAAAATTAATGAGGCGATCAGTCAAATTGAAAAATGTGTAATTAAAAAACGAGAGAGTGCACGATTTGGAGAGACGCAGACAATAAAAATGGGACAACAAGACATTTTTGATGGGTACGGCCCACTTAGTCGCGCGGCCACTTAGTCGCAGAGAATAACTTCCTTCAAGTTTTCCGAATCTTACCAAATTTAGTATTAAACGATTCCTCACATCGAGATAAAGAGTACCAAAATTGATAAGGGCCAGAAATTTTTTAGCAAGTTATGGCTCTGCGACTAAGTGGCCGCGCGACTAAGTGGGCGTGTCCCATTTTGATAAAAGAGAATGTCAAAATGTAAATTCTTTTTAAATTGTAATTTCAAAGTGGTAAACTATTGTAGATATTTTAAAACACCGAAAACATGTAAAATACAAAACACCTAACTTTAGTAAAATTACTTTTGCCCAAAATTTGTTGGTTATTTTCCACTAGATTTTTATTACCTGGCTTTTCTATCACTTGTTATTTGTTATCAGTTTACCCGCCTTCATTGTCAGTTGTTTTTTAGAGAATTCTTTTTCGGAGTCTTTTTCTAGTACGTTTGTCTTTTCTAAGCAAAATACACTTGTTTTAGTGACCAAATTAGTTGACCGAAATAAAAGTTACCAAAATGAAACTCTCCCCTCCAAATTTTTTCAAAATCTCTAATAACACATTTTTTGCTAAAACGTGACCAAATTGAATGTGACTTTTACTTTACTTTTTTTGTGTTTTCTGGTCATTTTTAATCAGTCTCTTTTTGCAGTTTCTTCCAGTAACGCATTCAATGTTTGACTTTTTGCCATGTTAATTTCATTCATTAATCACATGCCAGTCTAATGAATTTTTTTCTAAAAGGGAACGGAGAGAGGGAGTAATCAAAGGAAAGAGGAAATTTTTGGGGGGTGTATTTAAAATTCAATAAAATAGAAAATATTTTTGAGAGAATCAATAGAATTATTATTCGTTTTTAGTCTGTCTACTGATATTACAAAAAGATAACAATAAAAAGGGTGTAAAAGTTGCCTATTTGTTACACAAAATAGACGCTGTGCATTTTTCGTTGAAAATTTACCTAAATTTTATTCAGTTTAGATTTTTTAATATTTTGTGCAGAAATCAGTATTAAATTGGGTGTACCCTTTAAGAGAATTTTTTAAGAGAATTTTGAGAATTTTTATTTTACAACGCGCATAATTTGCATCATTCTTATCTTTATTTAAAAATTGACTTTTTTCAAATTATTTAATTTCTCATTCTTTTGAATTTCTTCTCTTATATTTTCCTTTCGGTTTCTAGCCTTTCTTCCCAATGTACTCGTTATTTTCCCCTCGGTCACTCGTAAACTACAATTTTTAATATTTTTTGGAGACAGAATGGGTGTATATATTAATGAGAAATATGGGGAAAGTTTACTTTTTAAGGTCAATCCATACATTTAAAGAAATTGTAGGGATTGCCTTACCTTGAGATGGTGAGCGTTTTCCCTAGAACTTGTTCGGAAGGACAATTTTTAACTTAATTTTTTTAAATTTTTCAGATAATAAATATTTTTTAAATTATTTTAAATTATTAAAAATGCATTCATCTTCAAGCTCTGATGCTTTAACCAATGGCAGCATAACTTTTAAAGAACGCAAAGGCCTTCGTATGATTTTAAAAACTTAATTTTTAATAATTTTCATTTTTAGCTGAAAGACAAAGAATGGTGCAAGACATTATGCGTCAACATAACGACAAGGTTTTAATTTTTAGAAGTTTTAAATTCTAAAAGGGAATTAGCCTGGAGACAGTCGGTCTTAATAATTAAGCTATTGAGAAAAATCGGGGTTGATGCTTCCGTTTTTCAACCCTATCATTCAATCCAGGGATCCTCCCCTTCAAGCTTCGACCCTAGACTGTCGGCTAATCCAACTATTGGCTGTTGACCAATGAGCTGTTGATATTCTAGTAGTTCTCCATAACCTTTATCTTATTTTTTTCCAACTATTGGATGATTTTTTAGAACTTTTAAATTTTAATAAACACAAAACAAACTTTAAATTCTATTCTTATTTTTTTTTCAGGTGCCTTTGATAATTGAGCGATATGACAAAGAGCGTATGCTTTCTCTAATTTGATTCAAACTTATTTAATCATTTTAAAGGTTTTTTGCCTCTGATGAATCATGCCAAATATCTGGTGCCGAGTCATTTGACAATTGGAGGCGTAATGCAAATAATACGTCGCAGATTGCAACTTCATCCTGACCAAGCTTTTTATTTGTATTTTTTTTAATTTTTAGAAAATTAAAAAAAAATTTTTTTCAGGCTTGTCAACGGCAAATCGGTCTTTTCAATGTCCCAGACTATCGGACAGCTTTATGATGACGAAAAAGATGAAGATGGATTTCTTTACATTGTGTATGCTAGTCAGCCAGCTTTTGGAGGTGAAAATGCTCGAGATGAGGAAGAATAATTAAATGGAAGTTTATAAGGAAATAAAAGGAATAAACAACGGTATTACCGTTAAAATATGTATAAAAATAATTTTGAATCTTAATTTTTAAGCCATTTTTTTGGGGGGAAGGCTCCATTCTTCAACTCTATTTTCTTCTAAAAATTCGAAAATACATTTTGTGTAATTTCTAAAATGATTTGAATCCGAAAAGGGGGTAAATTGATAAAGGAAAAAACTGACAAAGGCTTGAACTTGAGTACCAAGTAACGCCCAAATTGAATATCCTCCGTTATTATAGGCAAACTCTTTAGCAAAGAAAATTTTCGGGAGGGAACGGGGGATCATTTTAAACACTTAAAATTTTGAATCTGAAGGGCAGCAAAAATATTTTTAAGCCTTGTTCAAACTAGAGATCAGACTGGGAGTGTCATACGAAAATGGGCACATCTGAAGATAAGGGTGTTATGTGCCTTTTTCGGTAAATATGTAAAGAATGGTCAGTCTATCAAAGGGTATTTAAATATAAATCACCCGACACCCTCATCTTCAGTAGTGCCAGAGAATCGAGATCGGTCGAAAAATTCTCGATAACTAAGATTTTCGGACACTCGTCTCGGTCCGATCTCTAGTTCAAACAAATGTCTATAGGTGGGTCTTCACAGGTCCCCCAAATTTTCAAAAAAAAATTTTTTTGCAGATATTCCCAACGTTTTGCCCATTTCTTCTAGGTACCCAGTAACTCAATAATCTTTATTCTATTATATCAAATCATTTTTAATATGTAAAAAAGCCATTTGTTTAAACTTTATTTTGCTTTTAATTGTGTAATTTTACCAATAAAAACCGTATTTTTAACTCTATAAAATTTTTAATGAGTAAGTACTTTATAGATAATTTTTATAAACTTTTTTTCCATTGAAAAAATACGGTTAGAAAAATAAATTTTTTGCCCGAAAAATGCTTTAAAAAGTCAATTTTATTCAACGGGCATATCTTTTCCCTCTTCGAAACTGAGGGAAAAAATATACAAATATGGCTTTCCCTCCAATGTAAATATATTTTCTCTCTACAAAATCCAGTCCATCACAACAATAATCGATTCTAAACATATACAAAAAAAACTTCACCACTGCTATATTTTAATCTTGGAGCTATTATTTTATCATAAAAATGTAAAATTGATATCTTGATAAATATTTTAATACCTCTCTTTTTCAAAATCTTGTTTTTGAGGTCTAGATCTTTCAAAGAAAAAAATTTGAATTTCGTTTTTTTATAAGATTTATGAAGATAGGAAGGGCAATCCTGCAGAATCTGGGATACACCTTTGATTTGCCTAGAAAAAATCATAGATAAAATGTCATATCTGACAAAATCTGATATCAGATTCGTGATCAGCATAGTCGATTACCTATATAAAATGATTCTAAAAATTTTTTAAAGGTGTATCCAGCCCCTTACCGATGGGAGAGGCAAAAACTCCCACAGAAACCCTATGTAGAGGGGAACACAAAAATGGTCATTACTTTGTTCAGTTAAGTCAGATCTTGTTAATTCTAGTCTCAATCAACTTAGCCCGAAGAGCTCTCTTGAGTGATAAATAATTTGCCCATAAAGGAGAAAATTTTTTTGACAATCTTTAGCGGACACACAACCCCTACAAGTACCCATTTCAACTACTAATTTCATTAATTTGTTTCAATTCTCGTCCCCTTTTTCTCTTTTTTCTCATAAAAAATTAAAAAACCACACGTCCCTCAAGCATAAAAAAGAAAAAAATATCACACGCTCTATCCTTTCCCTAATTTAGAAAATCATCGATTAGAAAATCAGTAGGTCCCATAAAATAGGTTTGCCGTTCGACGAAAACTAAAAATTTGTTGAGTGTACCATTTTGTCGTTTTTCACTAGTTGATGTTTTGTAATGTCCTCATTATTTACCAAATCAAAATTTTCTTTTTTTTCGAAGCGAAAGACAGTTTCAAGTATAAAAGGCAGAATTACAGTGCAAAATCGATCTGTCTGGGAGTAAAATAAAAAGAAGAAAAGTTGTAAAACCTCTTTTAGTTTTCTCATAGTCTATTTAATTAATTAATTTGTTTTTGCAACGTTTGCAATTTTTGTATTTTTATTTTGTTTTAAACTTTATTTAATTTTATTTTTTCGTTGTCATAGCAATTTTCTCATATTTTTCTTCCATTTAAAAATTTTAAAGGTTCTTACTGGACAACTACTCATTTCTCTTTTAGTTGGAACTCGAATATATTTATGGAAAGGGATTTGGAACGTTATTATACTGATTTTGAACCTCCTCCAGTTGCTCCAACATTTTATCCTACAGAAGAAGGTTTTTTTTTTGAAAATTAGGCCCTATCCCAAAAGAAGGGCGGAATCGTTTTTTTCATTACCTGAAAGGAAAGGAAAAATGGAGACGGATGGACACGGACAAACAGAACTCGAACAGACAAAACACGGACGGAAATGTTTTAGAAATTGATAGCCGTTCCGTGTTTTGTCTGTCCGTGTTCATCCGTCTCCATTTTTCCTTTTCTTTCAAGTAATGAAAAAACGATTCCGCCCTTCTTTTGGGATAGGGTCGTAAATTTTTGAATTAAAAAAATTTTTTTTTAGATTTTGCTGACCCCATTTTATACGTTGCAAAAATAAAATCGAGCGCAGAAAAATATGGTTTGGTCAAAATTATACCTCCAAAGGTTTTTTTAAGTTTACTGATCAGTTTTAAAGTTCCCCTCTTTGCAGAGTTTCCGCCCCCCATTTTGCATTGACCCAGAAAAATTTGAATTTACGCCAAGAGTACAACGACTAAATGAAATTGATGCACTTTTTCGTCTTCGCATAATTTTTATAAATAAACTCGTAAAATTCTGGCAGATTCATGGTCAACATTTTCGTATTCCTTGGGCAGAGAATAAATATATTGATCTTTACCGTTTACAGAAGGTTTGGTTTTTTTTTAATTTTTTTTTAAAATTTGGCTTGTATCACAGTCCCGGGATACTTAACGGAGTTTTAAACATTTTATAAGTAGAGGGCGGATTTCATTTAAATCACTGAAGCTACCCTGCCCACGAACTGTACATTGTCTTTCCATTTTTTCATCATATGGCTAGTTTTGCCTTCTATTTAAATTGACGGTCAGAAACTGTTAAGAAAAACCTGGTTCATAACCATAGTCGTTTTTGTGTTTTAAATGAATATAAATCCGCCTCTATAAGGGACTGGATCTTTTGTGATTATTTTTGTAAATCCTTGGAATCCCGTTTGTCAATTACATACTGGAATTCCGCCACTGTGTCCCGTAAAATTCCGTACGTTCTCTAATTTAATTTCTAAAATTTTAGTTGGTCGCTGAAAATGGAGGATTGAGAAAAGTTTCAGAAACTAGACGTTGGTCACATATTGCCAAATGTCTAGGATTTAAACCAACAGCTGGACCATCACTTAAATATCATTATACCAAATGGATTCAACCTTTTGAATTGCACCTTTCAGATGTTTGTTTCTATTTCTACCTTTCCTTTAGGATATTTCCCTTGTAAATTGTTGCTTACTAGGCTGGAGGCCCGATCCGGCCCGGTCCGAAAGATCGAGTCGGGCCTTGAATTTTGACCCGAAAAAGACTCGGTCGGGCCGGCCCGGAATAAATGACTCGTCCGTTGGCCCGACTCGTAAACCCCAACCCTATTACTTACCCAACTATTTTCTTGATTTTGCTCTTGGGAAATTTTTTGATTTTCCCCAAAGCTTTTTCACTAGTCTTATCCTATCTTCCATAAATCATTTTTTCAATTTAGTGTAACGATGACACTGGACCATCTACCTCAGAAGATACCAAAGACGAATGTAAAAATGTACCTCAAACTCGCCGCCAAAGTCGAATGATGGCTGGCCTCGAAAAGAGACGGATAAAGCCGATTCCTTCATTGGACAAGAGTTCTTTGCAAGGTATCTTTGACGTATTCTATTTAAATCAACAAGGCCTAAATTATGCACTTACATGTAAAGTGGTTTGTTAGGCATTTTATACCTTGTTAGTATTGGGTTGTCAAGATCTTACAAGCAAAGCTGAACTCTATTGCCTGAACCGACTAGGCGATTGCCACTGTTTTATCTGTTATACCGTAAAACTAGATCAGACTACCACCTGCCGACAGGCTTCGAACTTGAGTCTTTTTTTAAGTGCAACTGGAACAGGCTCTGAGCTCTATCGCTTCTATGGTTGGGGGCCCCAACCAATCACTTCGCTAAACTTTATCCTAATAATTCTAGATAAATCTGATCATCGAACTCCAATTGAACTTGTAATTTGTGCAAAATGTGGACATGGAGATGATGAGGCTCGTTTACTACTATGCGAAACATGTGACAATTCTCTTCATATTTATTGTGCTAACCCACCTCTTATGGAAGTCCCAAAAGGCGAATGGAGATGTCATACTTGTGTTACTAATGCAGTCAAAAGTGTTTCAACAGATTTTGGTTTTGTAGATTCTCAACAAATTTTTAATTTGAATACTTTTGGTGATTGGGCAAATACTTTCAAACAACAATATTTTAAAGAGATTCCGACGGTAAGAGAGTTTTTCAAAAAAAATTTTTCTGATCTTCAATTTCCTAACTTTAAGATATTGTGTCGTTTACCTATTTTTTAACGACCGAGCGAACTTTTTGGGTTTTATGTTCGGATCCATATGCCTGGGTTTATACGGGAGAGTGATCAACAACAAAGGCACCTTGAACTGAGATATGATTTCCCACAGAAAAACGCTCTTGGTTTGGTTATTCGGTTATGTTCCGAATATCCGAAAGTTTTGGTTCGATTTCAGTTTTCAGAAAACTTGTCGGAGCTCTGCGTCCATGCTATGGGTCAAGGCCACCTTAGTTATGCATCTATTTACTATTGGGGCTTTTGACCCTTCTTTCCTCACTCCTTCTTCTAAACCTAAAGACTTTAATATTTTTTTAGAATGTACCTCGTGAAAAGGTTGAGGCAGAATTTTGGCGTAATGTAGTCGACATTGACAGCGTTGTTCAAGTTAAATATGGAGCTGATTTGTAAGCGATAAAAAAATTTTTTTTTAAATTTTATCTTTAAGAATTTCGAGTAAAGTAGGAAGTGGATTTCCTCGACGTGAAGATTCTTTAAATGGAATTGATTTTAAAGAAAAGCAATATTATGTTAATCATCCTTGGAGTGAGTATTTTTCATTTGATTTGATTGTTATTAAAATCAATTTTTTAAAGATTTGAATAATTTGCCAAAACTCAAGGAAAGTGTTCTCTGTCATATGCATACTGATATTTCTGGTAATACTTTTTTTATTTACAGATGGGCATTTTTATTAGATACCGGGGAACGTGCCGTCATAAAAAATTAAATTCTTGATTTTCTGGAATCGACGTTCTCGTCTAAATTTTAACTAATTGCGGCAGCATTTAGGATTCTTGGCCCAAAAAGACGTTTGGAATTCCCGATTTCTCGGAAATTCAGATGACACGTTCTCTGTGTTTTTGCCTTGCGATACCTTCAGTTTTTAAGCGATACCTCCAAGCGATACGATTCGTTTCTCATTTGAATTACCCTTTATCACTGTAAATGCTGTAATAGAACCATATTCCCTATTTGAAGCACTCCCTAATATAAGCAAACCCTACGAGGGGATCGAAAAATATAGCACATGTGGTTCTATTAGAGCATTTACGGTATATGGACGATTTTTCCTACCCTAATTATGTATCATAAAATGTTTTACTTTTCTTAAATTTATTTTTAGGTATGATGGTTCCATGGGTTTACGTCGGAATGTGTTTCTCAACCTTTTGCTGGTAACTGTTCAAAAATAATTTCAAATTCAAATTTTATTATTTAGGCATGTTGAAGATCATTGGACTTACTCAATCAACTACAATCACTGGGGCGAACGTAAAATTTGGTATGGGATACCTGGCGATGAGGCTGAACATTTTGATCAAGTTATGCAAGAATCTTTCCCAGAATTATTTGCTGATCAAAACGATTTATTACATCATATGACAACAGCATTAAATCCTCGATTTTTAATCGATAAGGGCGTCCCAGTTTATTCGTGCCATCAAAACGCAGGGGAATTTGTTGTGACTTTTCCTAGAGCATATCATGCTGGTTACAATGAAGGATTGAATTTTGCGGAGGCTGTCAATTTTGCTCCGCCTGATTGGGTAAAAAAAATTTTTATAAGTCAACAGATTTCATTTATAAAGTCCCAGGTTTCTGATAGATTCCCTTGAGGCTGAAAGACAGGAGTAAAGACCGGATTGAGACGAAATCTTGAACGAATACTCAGTTATTAAGATTTAAGATGTGTCGTTACGACACTTCCCGTATGTCTTCAGTTGGTGATGCCTTAAATAGGAACAACAACTACCTAACCAGCAACCACGTTCTTATGATACCGGCCCTAGTGACCAGCTAACCAAATTTTAAGAAATGTTATCAAATTGAGGTGTATCTAGTATTGGGTGTATTTTTTAGTGAGATCTTTATGTATCATTGTATTAAGGAAAAAGGAAATTTCTGCTTTATTCGTTCGTTATTTTTAAATTTAATTTTTTGTTATTAAGCTTCGAATGGGAAGACAATGCCTAGAAAATTATGCTTCAGTTCAACGTAATTGTGTTTTTTCACATGAAGAACTTTTAATGAAAATGGTTGGATATGCAAAGAAAATGAGTATAAGTATGTGTTTGGCAACACTTGAAGAATTAAGTTGGATTGTGTCAAAAGAAACAGAATTTCGTAAAAAATTATCTGAAGCTGGTTTGCGTGAAAGTCAATTTTGTAAATTTGAAGATCTTTCGGATGATGACAGGTTTACTTTTTTGAAAATTTTTTTAAAAACTTTGAGATTTATTTTAAGAGCTTGTGCGGTCTGTCGAACAACTTTATTTTGTTCTGGTTTGGTTTGTAAGCATGAAGGAAAAATTGTTTGCTCTCAACACGTTGATAGACTATGCGATGAATGTTTTATAAGAGATTCTTGCCTTAAGTATGAAAATTTTTAATTATTTTTTGATTAAAACTAGTAGTTGTACTTAAGGGCGTAGGCAGCTAGGAAGGGCTTCTGGTGCCATAGCTTCCCCCTGAAATGGGAAAAAGGGAAAATAATTTTCAAAAAAAATTTCGCCTGTGGCGCTTTAAATGGACGAAACCCCATTGTTACCCCCATTTTAGCACCACTGAAATCGCGCCCCTGGCTACGCCTTTGGTTGTACTTGTCTTTGGTGCGAGTATGTGGGAAGATTAGTGGAACCCTAAAAATAATGAAACTCTCCTAAACTGCTTTTCATTATCCCTTTATTAATAAAAAGTTTTTTCTCTTTTCAGGTTTCGCTATACACTAGAAGATTTAGTTCCTATGGTCAAACGCCTTTCTGCCCGTACAACTTCATATTTTGAATGGAAAAGGAGCCTGTCTCAATTTAATAATTTAATTGAAGAAGTTTATAATTCTCAACAAAATGGAGGAGGAGAAGACTCTGTAAAACAAAAATTAGGTTAAATTTTAAAAATTATTTTTAGAAGCTAAAAAATAAAATTTGAAGATGTTAATAAAATGCGAACACTTGCTGATAAATGGCGAACTTCTCGATTTCCGCATTGTGCTGAAATTCAACGAATCAATCAAATTTTGTCGGATTTTGATAAAATAACAACAAGTTTAAATAGAATACTTTGTCGAAAGATTCGTCTAAGGTTTGTTTTTTCTTAATTGATAAAGACGGATTCCAAGGGTGTTGGTTTCGGGTCAAAAAAAGTCCGTGTATCGAGTCGGGTCAGTTAGGAGATTAAGTGGGAGAAAGTGAGGGTTTCGGATTCCCATGAAATCCCTGGTACATATCAGCGATCCTACCGACCGGATTCCCGATTTTGCGAAATCGGGAATTTCCTACGCTTTTATAGTTAGGGTCGGGAATTTCCGAAATAGGGAAATTTATTTTTTTATATTTCCTAACCCCTTTCTTCAGGGGGTTAGTCGGCGTTGGGCCCCAAGAGTGGTAACCCACCCTTGGGGCGCGCCGATCCACCTATTAAAAACGAAGGCCTTCTTTTAACTTTTTTATTCAACAAATAAGTTTCATAAATTTAACTAGGACAATTTTTTTATCGTGAATCCCAATTTCCCGAAATCGGTAATTTTGCTTATTTGTCGGTAGGATCTTTGTACTTATACATATGAGACCTTTGGTCCAACCTTATTAATTTTTCCAAATTTCCTCTTAAATTTATAGAGATCAGACAATCTGTCAAAAGGTGGATACTCGCTGTGAATATTCTGAAGTAACCTTATTTAATTTTTTAAAAATCTAGACTTTTTTAAATTTTCTAGGTTTTAAATTTACGTGATCAATTGGAAAAATCAATTTTTGATGATGATGAATTGGAAATTGGATTAAAGGTTTAAAATTGAAAGGATTAAATAAATTTAATTTTTCTAAAGGAACTTTGTGCTAAAGTTGATAATTGGAAACAACGAGTTCAAAAATGTTTAGCAGATGAATATTCTGGTTTTCGCTCAATAGATGCTCTTTACTCACTTATTAATGAGGCTGAAGATGAATTTAATATACGTTTGGATGCAGAGGGGTTAGATGAATTGAGATCTGTGAGTTTTTTTTCTTAAAGAGATTGTGAATTGTTAAGAAATTTTGGTGGAGTATAGTGATATTAACCTTGCTTTTTTATTAAAATTTTTCAGGATCCCTCGACATCTTCCCCGCATTTTTTTTAATTTTATGTTCCCAAATTCTATGATGTTCTTCTTAATCTTCCAACTTCCCTAGTATTAACCCGACCCGATACCGAGGTTTTATCGACACGAAACCAAATCCGAAGAAAATTAGGTTTCTGAAGGTTCCAATTTTTTTACATTCCGGTTCTTGGCAGTTCCCAAGGTTTAACGTTTCCATGATTCCAGTCCCTTTGTTTGGCGAACCAGAAAAACACTGTTTTTTTTTAATTTTACATATTCAAAGGTCCTTGAACGTTACCAATGGATAATTAAAGCTGAAAAATTGCTGCAACAAATTAATCAATTTGTAAATATTAAACATGAAGAGGACCATGAACAAAATGGCATTACAAAAAATATGGAAGAGGAAGACGAAGAAAAGCATGAGCGTTTGAGTCTTCAAAATATTGGGGTATTTTTTGATTTTTTAATAAATTTAATTTAAATATTTTCTTCATAGAAATTGGTAATTGAGTCGTCTAGATGGCTACAAAATTGTCAAAACGTTGCAAATTTAACAAGACAATTGGAAGAAAAATTTGATTTGGGAACTCGAACTGAAACATTGGCAACTGATTTTTTGGAGAATTCTTCTAGTAATAATAATGTTGGAGGAATTGAAAAAGCAGAAGAATTTTGGAATGAAAATTTGTCGGTTGTTGATTGGCTTGAGGTTTATTAAAAATAAAATTTAAAGTGGAATATTATTTTTTTTAATTTTTAGTCGGATTCTTTGCAAACTTTTCGAGATGAATTGGAGGTTATTTTTAAAATTTTATTGAGAAAAGAAATTTATTAAAATGGGCGGATTTTTTGTAGTATAGCCTCGAAAGTCTTCTTTCGAGGCTATTCTTTCTTTCGAGGCTATTGCCACTTCTTTCGAGGCTATTCTTTCTTTCGAGGCTATTGCCACTTCTTTCGAGGCTATTCTTTCTTTCGAGGCTATTGCCACTTCTTTCGAGGCTATTGCCTCGAAAGAAGTGTTCTGCCTCACGGAGTGTTACTGCCTCTATAGCAATATAGGAACGTTAGGACCTCAAGAGCTGCTTCAAAGCAAATTACGGCCTTGGAAGCAATGTTGCTGAAAGTGTTGCTTCCTCTGTAGCAAATACTAGGAACAGTCAGACCAAAATTTGTACCTTGCACGAGAAAAATAGTGTACGGACGAAATACAAGCAAAAGCGAATTTCCCATACTGTCTTTAAAACCTGACGTGATGTGTCACTTCAACATAATTCTTATTACGTCTCAAAAATTTTTTTATTAAAATCAAAAATACCTTCCCTAAAATCATTTCAATTAATATTTTTATTTTCAAAAAGGTTGCTCGACAAATCAACACCGAATTTGCTTCACTTATTAATGGAACTTTAACTTTAGCTAAACTAGAACAATTAAATAAGGTTAGCTAAAAATTTTTTATTGAAAATATTTTTTTTGTTTTTTAGACTTGTTCAAATTCAATTTTTGAACGTAATTCCCAAAAACATTCAAAAATCATTCAAATGGCTGATGTCTTGAACAAATTTGTAGATAAAATTAAAACAATTTTTCTAATAAATTTTAATTATTATAATCTTTTTGATATTATTGCGGGAAGAAGGTTTATTTTTATTTAGTTGGTTAAAAAATTTTTTTTAATTTTTCAGTGATTTACCAGCTTTAGTCGAAGGCGACCCTTTACATCTTTCACTTTTTGAGTCGACGGATTATGCTGAAAAGTATTTTTAAAAAATTTTCTTTTTGAATTTGACTGACCACGTCTTTTAAATTTATCTTTTTAACCTTTCCTTCACCTAATTTTAACTAGAGACCGGAGTGGGTTTGTGATACGAGAATTGTGATATCGAAAAACCTCAATTCTCGCTAAATCTCAAAAATTCTTCTTACGAGAATAGAGATCTCGTCTTGGTCCAGTCTCTGTTTTTAACCTTCCCTCACTCAATTTCCATAAATGTTCTAATAAAAGCCAATCTCCAATAGAAACTCTTGCCCAATTACAAGACCACTCAATGAGGCCCTTTGAAGAATAAAAGCTCGGGGCTTCTATTAGAACATTTTTGGTATACCAATTTTTTAATTAACGAGAATTCCTTCCCAGTCATCTCCTTATCTCCTTTTTGCTTTCCTTCACTAAATCACACCTTTTTTCTCTTCTGGTTTTTAACTTTTTTCAGTGGTCTTTAAAATTTGTTTTATTTTTAGTTGGATTCAACTTCAAAATTTCACCACCAACGAAGGACTAATCTCCCATTTAAATGCTATCAATGATCAACGCTCTACTTTACTTCATGCACTTCGTTTGGCCAATTCAAAAAGACCGCTTAAAGAGACTTGTGTCTGTGCTAAAAATTGTGGTGATTCTCCATCAAAATCCAAAAAATCTTCGGATGGATTGCAAAATGAAACGATAAATTGTTTTGTTTGTAATGCTCGATTTCATGGTTTTTTTTGAAAATTTTTAAAGATTTTTTTTTTATTTTTTTCTTAAGCTTCATGTATTCAATGGGACCTTTTCTTTGAACGTTTACCAGCTGGAATTTATTTATGTCAACGTTGTCTACGCAGCCGACGTCCATGTATTGAAGAGGTTGAAGCTGCTTGTTCTTTACCCTATTTGCCTGATAACAGTCTTGAAAAGGTTTTGATTTTTTAAAAAATTTTTGCTAGGGAACATCGGTTACCGCGTACAAAATTTTTATATTTCTTAACAAAAATTTGTTAGACATTTGATACTTTAACTGGTCATAGTTCGGCCCAAAGTTACTGCAGTAAACGGATATCACTTCGCAATAGTAAATCGGGGCTCCTCTATCGAATAGGACCAAGAAATATGCAAAAAAGGGCTTTTTTCCAGTTTAAGCGTCCAATTGCATTTTATACGTCCAATCAACCTTTTAAGTCCAATGAAAAGCCCTTATAAGTCCAATGAAAGCCAAAAAAGGCTCTCTTTTTAGAGCTTAAACTGGACAAGAGCTAAAAAAATTTGTACATAGTAACCGATGTTCCTTTTTTAAACCTATTTTCCTCTTATTTTCATCAGATGCTCGTCAAAAATTTAATTGATCACAGCACTAGAATTTTCCAGAATCTTCATAATCAGCTCCATTTTATACCTAAAGGTGTTGATTTGTCTACAATAGAAGATGAAACAAAAAATAAATTAATTGATTCACTTATCATGGCTCTTTCAACAGAAGTTGTTGATGTACAAATTTATCAAATGCTTTGTGCTTCTGCTTTTTTTGATATTTTTCCGATTGAACAAAACAATGTTGTTATATTACAAAAAATTAGGGTTTGTTTATTTATATTTTGGGCATTTTATAATGTAAAATATCTGGAAATTTTAAACGGTCGAGTCTCGCTTTATGTTACACAAAACATTGGATACCAGGGATTGGCTGGGTTGAGCGGGGTTGGTTTTGGAATAGAAAATTTTTCGGACTCTTTCCATGATGTATCTAGCATGGAAAAAACCCTTGCATTCTGGATACACCTCAAATTAAAATTCTTTTTTTATTTTGGTCAACCATTGGGTGATCGTTCAAGCGATACTTTATATAAATTGCCCCACCTTATAAGTATTATTTTCTAACCCAAAATTGTACTTACAAATGACGTTTGATTGTAATCTTCCATCCAAGAGCCTAGAAATTTAAATAATTTTTTTTACTAAATTTAGGAAAGAGTTCCAACTTCAAATCCTCGTCCAGTTCTCTTCTCTCTGTTTAAATCTCCAATATTAATTGAACATTCATCTCGTCAAAATTCGAATAATCGACGCATTTCTGGCATAAAACGACGTAGTACAAATTCAACAACAACACCAAAAGGAAATCGAAGAAGTTCAGGAAAAGCTTCGAGAGGAGGGCGAACTTCTTCAAATTCTCGTCAAAATGTATTCAAAGGCGAAGAAGATTTTTTAGATGCCGACTTTAATGGGATGAGAAATGGAGAAGAGGATGAGGAAACTTCAAGTAATTATGATGAATCGGGATCTATTAAAAGAGTTTCTAAAGATCATCATTTGGAAAGATGTGCTGCTGATTTATGTTTAAATCCTTATAGTTAGTTTATTTTTTATTCATTTTTAATACAGTCTAATTAAACAATCATGGATAGGCCCGGGTTGGAAAAAAGTCGGATCGATTTTCGGGTCATAAAAAGACTTGGTACTTGATTTCGGATAACTCGGCCCATTCCTGCAACCAATAAATATACTCCTCACAGCAGTGCTGGGCATTTGTTGGCTCCGAGCTTTAAAATCTTGTCTCCGGGCTTTGGTGCCATACCCTCTTCTCCTTATTGTTAGTTTAAGATACTTTTTTCTAAGATTTGTTAGTCGTTAGGAGGGAAACTATCTAATCATCTCCTATCTAACATATCTCTCCTTTTAAGACAATTTTTTCATCTCCAGGGGGTGTTTCCTTAAATCAGGTCCATCTGTTTTATTTTTCAAAATATTTTTTCGATTATTAAAAAATTATGTTTTTTAGGTGAATATACACGTTGGATTCAATGTGAAGCTGGTTGCGCTCGATGGTTTTTTTTAATAATTTTTTTTCTGCTTTATTTTAAATTTTTTAAAGGTATCACTTTTGTTGTGTTGGCATTTCAGTACGTGGAGCTCAACTAATTTCTTCATATTGTTGTCTAAAATGCTCTTCTACTTCTTCTTTGTCCTCAACAGCAGCAACAACATCATCAACCTCATTTTGTAATAAAATTGTAAATATTGAAGTTGAAATTGAAAAACAACCACAACAACCATCAACAATATCTGCAGAGCAATAAAAAATTCAAAAAAGTTTTCTTAAAGGTTTTTTCTTTAAAAAATTCGAAGCAATTTTTAGTATTTTATTCGAATTAAGTATTTCTCTATGGTAGCTTCTATTTAATTTTTTTAGTCATTTGGGAGTAGGAAAATTATAATTTTTTTTATTTATTGAAATTTCGTGTGTGAGTAAGAACTGAAACATTAGGGTTTTTTTTTTGAAATTTTAGTGAAAATCTAACTGAAAAACTCCTGTAAAAATTTCAAAAAATTTTTTTTTAATAATTTTGAAACTTATATTTATGAAAATCATTCAAAATTGACAGAATTACTATTTTTCAATTATTTTCCACTGAACGGGTTCGAACCTCACTCATCCTCCACCTACTAAATTAAAAATTATCCCACTACACCAAAGTGTCAACTTTCTTGAGGAGTTGCCTGAATTGAATGGGGACAACAGGCAATGAGCCAACATAAAAATAAAACTCCCAATTTTGGGAAATCGGAATCCCGACCGAAAAAATCGTCGGTAATTTCCGATTTTCGGGATTCGTGACAGCACGTTCCCTGGTATACAACAATTATTGAAAATTAAAAAATTTTTGGGGTTTCAACACAGCTTGAATGTTTCAGTTTCTCTCTTCTACCTTGTTTAAGTACAACTTCATGAATATATTTAATTGTTTTTTTTTTATTTATTTTCAACCCTAATTCTATGTCAACATATATTTTCTAAAGAAAAATATCAAAACCGAATATTTTAAAAATTATTTTATTTATCTTGCTGTGCTCCTTCTACTTGCTTCAAGTTTTTTATTATTATACACTATTCAAATCAATTATTGTTAATATTTTTTTGTATTTTTTCCTATTAAGTAATACTATTCTTATTTAAAACTCTTGTTATTGTAATAATTAAAACCTTTTGAAATTTATTGTAGAAATTGAGGGGTTTAAATAGTTAAGTTTTTAAGTTTATTAATTGATTCCAAGTTTAATTTATTTAGCTTCAAGTTTTATTTTTAAAAACTTGACCAAGTTTTCAATTAATTCCAAGTTTATTTTTATTTGAGGATTGCAAGTTTAATTTCAAGTTTTTTAGTAAACTTGACCAAGTTTATTTTAAATTGCTTAGTTTTTAAATAAGTTGGAGATGAAAAAAAACTTGGAAACTTGAAACATAAAACTTGAATTAATTCAAGTTTTATTTTTTTTAAATAAATGTAGAAAACTTGAGAAACTTATTACAAATAAGTTTATTTAAATTCTAAAGGTCCAACTTTTATTTTTTTAATTAGTTATAAAGGGCTTGAAAAACTTGATAAGCCTAAAACTTATTTAGACCAAGTTTCTACAATAAATAAATATCTTAATTTTTTTCTTTTGTATACACCATGCGCTCTTTCAATTTTCCTCAATTATCAGGCATAAACGCGATTGGAAGATTTAATTTTTATTTTTTTTTGAAAATAATTTTTTATTTTATAGTTTACACTGCGGTGCATATGTTTATGCACACTAGTTTTTTGTTCATAATTTTATGCAATCTTATTCAAAAAATACGTTCCATATAGCAATCGAAAGCTCGATTTGTATCTCAGTTGACATGTTTCTGCATTTTCCATGAAAATGAAAATTGGCCGAGATAATCCGGATCTACCGGATATACCAAATCCCATATGGTATTTTTTATCCTCAGAAAAAATTTTCGGAAAAAATTTAACAAACACATTTGATAAAGCATATTTTTGTGAGTATTTACCACAAAACCGCTTAGAAATATCTTTTTCCGGAACGGAGATATGATTTTTTGAAAATCGAAAAAAAGCGATTTTTTGACGAAAAATGGCAAAAATATGGTATTTTTTCGATTTTCAAAAATTCATAACTCGGTCGAATCTCGACCGATTTGGATGATTTTTTTGTATTATATGTAGAATCTAGAGGAGAATCACATATATTTTTTACAGACCTCAAAAAAATTTCTTCGAAAAGTTGAAAATGTAGTACCTGTTAGACCGGTCGAAAAGTTTTCGAAAATATCAGAATTTCGAAAAATGCAGAAACATGTCAACTGAGATACAGATAGAGCTTTCGATTGCCATATAGAACATATTTTTTGAATAAGTGTGCATAAACTTATGAACAAAAAACTAGTGTGCATAAACATATGCACCGCAGTGTATATTTTTTTATTTTTCTTTTTAATTTATTTTAAAGGATTTTAGAAAAGATGAAACCAACCTCTTTATTAAATCGAGCTAATTTGACGCCATTTTACACTTATAAGGAATTAATTGTATGTTTTTAATTATTTTAATTTTATTTTTTGCTTTCTTTTTAGCCGCTCTGTGGTAAAAATTTGGTTCCGAATGCGACTGAGAGGCCGAGATCTAAAAAGTAATGGATGGTATTTTTTGAATAAATTTGGGTGTAAGGGGGGTGGAGGGGATAAAGAGGGGTGGCTCAAATATTTTCTAGAGGGTCGTAAATGTTGTAATATTTAATAAATCCCGGGCATTAAAAGTGCACATAGTTCGGGAGAGCACGTTTGCCTTTTATGGGTGTCGGACTTCATGTGAGATACAGCCTTGTAGTTGAATTTTTTAGGTATTCTTCTTAGATATGGGTGTACTCTAGGGATCTAGTGTAAAGCATAAGCTATATAATTCCTAAGGCATTAGGCGGCGTGGTGTAATGGATAGATAGCACATCAGTCCGGTCTACTTGAAGATGCTGGTTCGCTCCCAGCTACCGAATGAACCTTTTGCACTAGCTAAAGGAGAGAAATAGTTATAGCCCAACTGCTTTACTCTAGCCGGCTCGACGTTATTTGGGCGGGGAATCCAGATTTCTGAAAGCTTGAATTTGTTTTCTATGTCAGTTAGATCCCTGGTTCAACTAACAAAATAGGTCCAACTATATTTCAAAATTAATTTTTTTAAAGCAAATGTTTGGATCAGACCTGGGCGAAACTCAAAATTTTTTTCTGACGAAACGAAACGAAACAAAATTTTTTAAAAATCGTTTCGTTAACGAAACGAAACGAAACAACCAAAATCTTACGAAACGAAACGAAACAAAACGAAACATTTTAATATTCAAAAAATTTTCAAAACTGCATTTATTTTGCAATTATTCGACCTCAAATACTTTATCAGTCGCCTATGACTTATAAATGATTTAGTTTTTGGTTTATTTACAACAATTGTGTCCCATAAGCCAGGCCCGTAGCAAGGAAAATTTTTGGGGAGGGGGGTCAATCAGGAGGGGGGTCAATTTTTTCAAAAAAATTGAATTTTTTTTCAAGTAAAATTTTATTTTAAGCGCCGCAGACAAAAAATTTTAAATCCGCAATTTTTATATTATGATACTAGTCCGGTAATAGAATTTGTCGTCGATTAAGCAATATGTATATGTGGATTAGGGAGTGTAGTATAAACGGATTTGTAGTATATAAGTCATTGATATCGGACGATATATGTAATATAAGGTATATAAGTAATTGATATCTTCCTTTTTCAGCGCCGCAGGCGAAAATTTTGACAATTTGGGAAGGCCAATAAGCCGAAATTCTTTTTTTTTCAGCGCCGCAGGCGAAAATTTTTCAAATTTTCAATAAAAAATGTTAAAATTTATAGATTTTGGCCTTAGTTTAGGCTTAAAAAATTGTTTCGTTTCGTTGAAAAATCACAGGTGTTTCGTAACGAAACGAAACGAAACAAATTAAAAAGTGTTTCGTGACGAAACGAAACGATACTCAAAAAAACCCACGAAACATACGAAACAACGAAACGAAACGAAACGTTTCGCCCACGTCTGGTTTGGATGAAATGCAGCATTTATTTGCCTGTTTAAAGAAATGGGAATATGACGATTTGCATTGTAAAGAATTTAATGAAGCGTTGCAACGCTGTGTTACCGACAACCATGTTCACATCCAAGCACAACTTAAACGAAATCGTGAGGGAGAACTCAAGTTTCATATTGCGTCGGAAGGAAGCGACGTTAAAGAACATGCAGACAAAATGTCTTTAAAAGAAATTAATACTTTATTCAAAAAATATCCGCAACCGGATTTGCCTAAACCTCCATACAATCCTCATCAACGTATGGGACATCAACCTTATTGGGGAGATCAATTCAATCTTAAATATAAGAGAGGGAAAAAGAGTTGAGAAATGAACTGTTTTGTTGTTTGTTTTAATGATTTTAGTTGTAGTATTTTTTGATTGCTTATAAAGAAACGGATTTATTTTCCTTTAAAATTTTGTTTTTCATTAAATTTAGGTATTATGTTCTAGAGTACGTCCGAGGTCGATCGAGTACGGGTTACTCAACTCGATTGCTCGGGGTTTTTTTTCGACTTTACACGGGCTCGGAACTTGTGATCTTAATACTCGTAAGCTTCTTACTAGATAAATTCGGTTAAAACCGAGTGTTTTTATGCCCGCAATAAAGGAAGATTTTTGGCTCAAGGATCTTCCAAATTTCCCAAAATTTTGGTTTCTTGGCTTCCAAATTTTTCAAAATTTTCGCCTGCGGCGCTGATCATTAAATTTGAGATAAAAGAATGCAAAAAATCGTCAAACTTTTAAACTAACTTGGGCTTTAAATTATTTACCATTCTAACAGTTGACACTTTGACATTTTACATTTTGTAATATTTTAAGGTTAGGAACTACAAAATATCAAAAATTATTTGGGATAATTTTTTCGAAAAAAATTTTGACAGCATTCAGCGAATTTTTAGAAGAAAATTTCACGTATAAAAGCTGTTAATTTTTATTTTTATTCTATTCTTTATTCAATAAGTTTAATTTTCCTTTACATTCTCTTATTAGTTCCAGCCTAAAATTTCAAGAAAATGTATTATCATCTTCCGAGTGAGGTCCATTTGGATGTTCTTAAATGCCTCAACTTTAATCAGTTATTTTCTGTTAAACAAGTCAATCGCTACTTTCTTTGGTTTATTGGTAAATATGAGGGGGAATTAGCTCGCAAATTTTTTAAGCATATTGGACCGGTAATTTTTTTTCGAATAATCTGGTAATAAATTTGCCTTCTTTAGACTCAACTTTCTGGTTTTTATGAACAACACAAAAGAGAGAATGGACAGCTTGATTACAAAGTATTGGACTGTAAAGAGCTTGGACGTTATGTTGTTCATTCCCCGGTGGATAATGAACTTTTGAAGAAGGTAAAAGATTTTGGCTCATGTCCAGTTTAAGCGTCCAAATGTGAAATTTATGCGTATAAACGTTTTTATGCGTCCAATCACTATTTTAAGTATCCGATTCTACACTATATCACCATAAAATTTATGGAAATAGAAAGCTCTACTCCCACAGAGTTATGATAATAGGTCATAAGTTTTAACACAGCACCAGGTACTTAAAAATGATTGGGGGCATAAAATGTGATTGGACGTAGTATATGGATATATGGTCGGATATGGACGACGCTTAAACTGGACTTATAATATAAACGCGGACAAGTGCCAAGATTTGACTAAACTTTGGTTCGATTTTTTTTCTTTTTAGTGGCAAACCGCACTTGATAAACAAATCTGTTTATATGTATATCCAGGATTTCTAGACCGTTTGGGTTTTCACTGCTGTTTACGTTTAACAGATGGTATTAACTTTACAATTAAATTTTATTAATATTTTTAATTTTCAATTCATTTTTAGAATTTCGACATTTCATCTTGCAATTGCCTCAGTATCCAGAGAATATTGAAGAACTTCAAATTATTCGTTTCTGGTTAATCCAACTATTCAATTGTGGATTTGAAGAAGTCATTTTTTTGTATGTTACATTCAATGCTGCAATGATTAAATTACTTTTTGAAGACGACAAAACAATTTCTACCAAATTTTTGACTAAACGGGCAACCATACAAGACTGTGTTCCTGGATTAACAAATATTTTCAAAAACAATCTGACAATTTTGGAAAGTCTTAAAATAAAATCTAGTATGGCTTTGGTGGATTATCGTGTTTTATTGCCACTATTCTTCAACAAAATTCCTTACGTTTTTTACAATCATGATCCTACACTTTACAACATACTTTTGGATGTAAGTTTAACTTTCGCTTTGATCAACCTAGTAAATATATTTAGACAAGCTAGGATTTCCTAGTGGAAAATTTGTAAACAGGAATTGTGAACTGTGCATGACCCATATTTATTTCTCCCAAAATATATGGTGATAAACCTATGAGGGAATAAAGAGGGGTCATTAAAGTTCACAATTCCTCTAGAAATCTTTTAAAAAATTTTAAAATTTAGCATATTGAAAATTCAACTGATTGTCAAATTATGGTGGATAAAACTGAGTTTCGTTACGTGAATTGGTCCCATTTTACTTTGAGCAAAAGGGCAGAGAACATTGAAAGGAAAAGCGTTGATAGATTCAATTATGTCAAATACGAACTTGCCAATATTCATAATCCGAATATTAAGTTCCTTATTCAATGGATATATACAGAAACAGTAATGGATGCGTTTTTACAACATCATATAAATCTACAAGCTTATCTTGCGATTGAAAGAATGAAAGGACAGAATATTATATCGCTTCTTGATTATGAGTTGAATAGGCTTTTTCGTTAGTCCATTATGTTTGTTAGTCTTCCTATTATTATTGTAAACTATAATTATCTGTGTAATTTTTAGTTGTTGTAATTCTGAATAAAATAATATATTTAAAGCTTCTTGTTTTTCTCAACTTGTATGTTTACGATCATTTTTAATTATCTGTATATATTTAATGTTTCTTCAAATTTTTTAGTTCCAGCCTAAAATTTCAAGAAAATGTATTATCATCTTCCGAGTGAGGTCCATTTGGATGTTCTAAAATGCCTCAACTTTAATCAGTTATTTTCTGTTAAACAAGTCAATCGCTACTTTCTTTGGTTTATTGACAAATATGAGGGGGAATTGGCTCGCAAATTTTTTAATTATATGGGACCGGTAATTTTTCTAATTATTCTTAGAGTTTTCCCTTCTTTAGATCATGCATGCCGAGTGTAATTTTGAATATAAAGTTTTGGAGCCTGGACTTGATGCTGTTAATTTTCCAGTGGATAATGAACTTTTGGTGAAGGTGAAAAAAATTTTTTTGAATGAATTTAGTCTGGACCAAGGCCTGGGTTTTTCCTGTACCCAAAGTCCAGGTCCAAGCATTTTTTGACCTTCCTGGGGTTTTCCTGGACTACAGCCCAGGATCCAGTCCAGGTCAAGAAATCAACTCCAGAGTCCAGAAACTGGTCCAGGCTTTTCAAAAATCTCGATCTCTAGTGCGGACATATCGGATTGCTCGAAGAAAAATAGAAAAATAATTTAGATATGTTTACGTTAGTAAAAACTTCTCAATAAGGACCCAATGGTCGCTGATCCCCGTGTAATCAGTTGATTAACTGTAAGTATCTTGAAATATTCCGATATGTGTCCGCATCTAATAGAGCCCCCTGTGCTTCTATTTTTCAATCCCTTCATTCGGGGTGGTTCTGATAGAGACTGGTTCTAATATAATAAATTCAAACCTAAAAAATTTTTTTGAATGAATTTGGGGCAATGCACTATCCAAGACTTTTTAGTCGTAGGTCCCGTAATAAGTAGGGTAACCGTTCGCACCTTGAAATATTCCTATATGTTCATTCTGATATGTCCGCATGCCCTGAATTTTCGCTTAAACCTCAAGTTTTTTCAGTGGCAATCTGCAATAGATAAACATATTCGTACGTATGCTTATCCATGCAGTTGGGACAGTTCGAAATATTACCATGTTTTACGTTTAACGGAGGGTATTAATTTTAAAATTATTATTGTTTAATCTTGAATTTTTTTAGAATCTCGAGATTTAATCTTGCAATTGCCTCAGTATCCAGAGAATATTGAGGAAATGAAAATTATTCGCTTCTGGTTAATTCAACTGTTCAATTGTGGATTTGAAGAAGTTAACTTTACATTTGCTACATTCAATCATCAAATGATTAAATTACTTTTTAAAGACGACAAAACAATTTCTACCAAATTTTTGACTAAACGTGCAATGATACATGACCGTGTTCCTAGATTAAGAACTATTTTCAAAAACAACCTGACAATTTTTGAAAGCCTTGAGATACAATTAAGTGGATATTCTGAGCAATACGATGTTTTATTTCATCTATTTTTGACTGCTACAATTCCCTATGTTTTTCTTAATCATCCTAGGCACGATACTCTTTACAAGTTAATTATGAATGTAAGTTTAACTTCGTATTTTAGACCGGTCAGTCCAAAAAGCCCCATGGTTAGGGGGCTATAACCCCAGGTTATATAGCTATAACCCCTCTAGCCCCCTTCCCCATAGCTATAGCCCCCTAAACCAACCCCTGGTTACACCTTTGGTATATATTGTAAAAAACTGAGAAATTAGAAAGGGAAGGTCTTACCTATAGTTTTTTGCATCGCTGTGGAAGATCCTTTAAAAAATTCTTATCTTTTAGCATATTGAAACTTCAACCGATTTTCATCTTATGGTGGATAAATTCAAGTTTCATTACCTCGATTGGGGTCATTTTACTTTGAGCGAGAGAGCGGAGAATGTTGAAAAGAAAAGATTTAATGGATATGGTTTTACTAAATATGAACTTTCAAATATTCACAATCCTGAAGTGAGGTTTCTTGTTCAATGGATACACAAAGACAACTTTGATGTGCGTGTTCAGCCTTGTATTTTGATTGAAAGAATGAAGGGACAGGAGATTAAACCGCTTTTGGATGAGTATAATTTAAATTGAAGTTCTTGATAATATGTTAGAATTGTTATAATAAATATTTTTTAGTACTTTAGACCAGGGATGTCACGGGTTACACGATACCCAGAGCCTTGTCTTTCAACCTGAAACCGTATCGAGGTAAATTTTTGATGATCCAACCCGCTTTTTTTCTCAATCCTGACGTCCCTACTTTAGAATGGAATTAGGATACATATTTTGTCTTTGAATTGAAAAGACTTTCGAATAAAATTTGAACATTATTCCAATAATTTTTAAAAATAGTTGTAGTATAAAAGCTGCAGACTTTACTTTTTACTGTTCTCTTTTTATTTGATATTTATTGCCTAGTTTCAGCCTTTTAAAAAATGTTTGTTCATCTTCCGATTGAAGTTCATTTGGACACTTTTAAATGCCTCAACTTTAATCAGCTATTTTCTGCAAAACAAGTCAATCGTTACTTTCTTTCGTTTATTGGCAAATATGAGGGGGAATTGGCTCGCAAATTTTTTAAGCATATTGGACCGGTAATTTTTTCCTAATCTTTTTAACAAATTTTTCCCTTTCTTTAGATTCGACTTGCTGGTTTTTATAGACAACACAAAAAAGAGAATGGACAACTTGACTACAAAGTTGTATCTCTTGAAGAGCTTCGACGTTATGTAGTTCATTCACCTGTGGATAATGAACTTTTGGAGAAGGTAAAAGAAGATTTTTTGACTAAACTTTGTTCAAATATTTTTTCTCTTTTTAGTGGCAGTTTGCAATAGATAAGCAGATGTGTTTATATACATATCCAGGATTTCTAGACCGTTCGGAGTTTCGCTGTTATTTACAGTTAACGGATGGTAAATTAACTTTATAATAGGGTACACCCCGATGTACCGCGAGCCCAATGTACCGCCGAGCTATAACTTTGTCCGAAATTGTCGAATCCGTGGCGCCCTGGTATGGTTCGATGCGGCTCGACCAGTTGAATCGAACCATACCTGAGCGCCACGGATTCGACATTTTTGAACAAAGTTATAGCTCGGCGGTACATTGGGCTAGCGGTACACTGGCCTGCTCCCTTATAATAATTATGGGTCCACCCCAGACATTAATTCTCAGACATCCTTCCTAATCCGCACGAATACCCTTTATCAGCCCAACTATCTGAGGTCGACCTTCTGGGTTGATCCCATAAATATTTTAATCTTCAATTCTTTTTTAGAATCTCGTCATTTACTTCTACAATTGCCTACGTTTCCAAAGAATATTGAACAGCTTCAAATTATTCGTTTTTGTTTAATTCAACTGTTTAATTGTTTTTTTGAAGAAATTTGCTTTATGCATGTTGCATTCAATGCTGCAATGATTAAATTACTTTTTTACAACGACAAAACAATTTCTCCCAAATTTCCGACTAAACGGGCAACGATAGGTGATGATGTTTTTGGATTAGAAAATATTTTCAAAAACAATCTGACAATTCTTGAAAGTCTTAAAATACATCCTAGTCTTGCTGTGATGGATTATCGTGATTTGTTACCACTATTTTTCAATAAAATTCCTTATGTTTTTTACGGTCATGATATGCGTCCTACGCTTTGCAACTTGATTTTGGATGTAAGTTTGACTTTTGCTTTGATAAATATATTTTTGGGAAAGCCAGGATTTTCTTTAAAAAATACTGGAGTATCCTGAAATACGAATTGTGAACTTTGTTTGACCTCTATTTTCCCCCAAAATCTATGGTGATAAGTTTTCTAGTGTTGCGCCGGAATTTTCGATTCCGATAGGCCGGAAGTTCTGGGATTTTTTGGTTCCGGTTTGTAAATAAAGTTGTAAGTAAAGTTCCGGTCAAAATTCCAGTTTCGGCTACGCTCCCAGCCAAATTTGCGGTTCCAACGTAACACTATAAGTACCCAGTTCTGCGTGTTAAAACCTATGGTCAGATGGGATAAAATAGGGATTATACAACGTTCTCAATTCCCCTTAAACTTTAAAATTTAGCATATCGAAAATTCAATGGATTGTCAAATTAATGTGGACAAAACTGAGTTTCATTATCAAAATTGGCCTCTATTTACTTTGAGCGAAAGGGCAATAAATCTTGAGAAGAGGATGGTTGATAGATTCAATTATGTCAAATACGAACTTGCCAATCTTCACAATCCGAAGATTAAGTTCCTTGTTCAATGGATATATACACAAATAGCAATTAATGAACACGCACAAGGTATGGGTATACTACAAGCTTATCTTGCGATTGAAAGAATTAAAGGACAGGAAATTGAATCGCTTCTTAATTATGATTTGAATAAGCTTTTCTTTTAGTATATTATTTGTTTGTCTTCTTATGTTATTGTAAAGAGTAATTATCTGTATAATTTTTGGTTGTTGTAATTCTGAATAAAATGATATAATTAAGAAGCTCTTTGTTTTTCAAGTTTACAATCATTATTAAATATTTGTTTATATTTATTGTTTTTTTAAATGTTTGTTAATTTCAGCCTAAAATTTCAAGAAAATGTATTATCATCTTCCGAGCGATGTCCATTTGGATGTTTTTAAATGCCTCAACTTTAATCAGTTATTTTCTGTTAAACAAGTCAATAGCTACTTTTCTTCGTTTATTGATAAATATGAGGGGGAATTGGCTCGCAAATTTTTTAAGCATATTGGTCCGGTAATTTTTCCTAATCATTCTTAACAAATTTCCTATTTTATAGATCGAACTTGATGGTTTTTATTACTACAAAATTGTAGGTCGTGGACAGCATTATAAAATTATAGACCTTAAAGAGCTTGAACGTCATGTTGTTCATTTCCCAGTGGATAGTGAACTTTTGAAGATGGTACAAACTTTTTTTGCCTAAATATCGCCCAAACCTTATTTTTTCAGTGGCAATTTGCAGTAGATAGACAATTTGGTTTATATGTATATCCAGGCAATTGGATCCGTTCAAAAATTTATCATGTCCTACATTTAACGGATGGTATTAACCTTACAATTAATATTGTTAATCTGCAATTCTTTTTAAGAATCTCATCATTTACTTCTAAAATTGCCTCCGTTTCCAAAGAATATCGAAGAACTGCAAATTATTCGTTTCTGTTTAATCCAACTGTTTAAGTGTGGATTTGAAGAAGTTAACGTTAAATTTGCATCATTCAATCCTTTTATGATTAAATTACTTTTTGAAGACGACAAAACAATTTTTACTAAATTTCAAACTGAATGGGCTGGTTCTGATTTAAATAAGCTTTTTTAGTGTGTTGTTAGATTGTCTTCTAGTGTTGTTATAATAAATAGTGTTATAATTAAAAAGCTCTGTTTTTCAAGTTTACAATCATTATTAAATATTTGTTTATATTTATTGTTTTTTTAAATGTTTGTTAATTTCAGCCTAAAATTTCAAGAAAATGTATTATCATCTTCCGATTGAAGTTCATTTGGTTGTTTTAAAATGCCTCAACTTTAATCAGTTATTTTCTGTTAAACAAACCAATAGCTACTTTTCTTCGTTTATTGATAAATATAAGGGGGAATTGGCTCGCAAATTTTTTAAATATATGGGACCGGTAATTTTTAAAATCATTCTTAGTAATTCACTTTTTTTAGATCATGCTTGCCGAGTGTAATTTTGAATATAAAGTTTTGGAGCCTGCACTTGATGTTGTTAATTTTCCAGTGGATAATGAACTTTTGGTGAAGGTGAAAAATTTTTTTGAAAGAATTTAGTGTGCGGACATATCGGATTGCTGGAAGAAAAATAAATCGAAAAATAATTTTATGTTTGTTTACGTTAGTACCAAAACATAAAAACTTCTCAATAAGGACCCAATGGTCGCTGGTCCCCGTGTAATCAGTAGATTAACTGTAAGTACCTTGAAATATTCCGATATGTGTCCGCATGCCGATATACATTTGTTCTAATAGAGCCACCTGTGCTTCTATTTTTCAACCCCTTCATTCGGGGTGGTTTTGATCGGAACGTCCCACTTCAGTCCCTGGCCGTTTCAGTCCCGAGCTTGTAACTCGTGAATTTGGAAATAATTTATTGAACTTTTAGTATCATCGGATAGAGCATTAAATTCTCTACAAATGATACCAAAGATAAAATAATCTTATCAACTGATAATGAAGTTATTATCAAAAAACCGCCATTTAAAAAAGTCATTTTTTGCATGTTTTTTGATCAGAACTTTGGTACCTGGCTATTAAATTTTTGATCATTAGCTTATTTTGTAGCTTAATTAATCCTCTATCCAACGATACCAAGAGTTCCAAAACTACTCGAACCTTCGCGAGTTATAGAGCTCGGGACTGAAACGTCCCGGGACTGAAGTGTCCCCTACCTTGTTCTGATAGAGACAGTGGTTCTACTATAATAAATTCAACCCTTGAATATTCGCCCAAACCTTAAGTTTTTTCAGTGGCAGTCTGCAATAGATAAACATATACGCTTGTTTGCTTATCCATGTAGTTGGGACAGTTCGAAATATTACCATGTTTTACGTTTAACGGATGGTATTAATTTTAAAATTATTATTGTTAATCTTCAATTTTTTTTAGAATCTCGTCATTTAATCTTGCAATTGCCTCAGTATCCAGAGAATATTGAGGAAATGAAAATTATTCGCTTCTGGTTAATTCAACTATTCAATTGTGGATTTGAAGAAGTTAACTTTACATTTGCTACATTCAATCATCAAATGATTAAATTACTTTTTAAAGACGACAAAACAATTTCTACCAAATTTTTGACTAAACGGGCAATGATACATGACCGCGTTCCTAGATTAAGAACTATTTTCAAAAACAACCTGACAATTTTTGAAAGCCTTGAGGTACAATTAAGTGGATATTCTGAGCAATACGATGTTTTATTTCATCTATTTTTGACTGCTACAATTCCCTATGTTTTTCTTAATCATCCTAGGCACGATACTCTTTACAAGTTAATTATCATGGTAGGTTTAATTTTCATTTAATTCGACTCGTATTTTTGAACCGGTCAGTCCAAAAAGCCCACTGGATAGGGGGGCTATAACCCCAGGTTATATAGCTATAACCCCACTAGCCCCCCTAGCTATAGCCCCCCCCTAAACCAACCCCTGGTTACACCTTTGGTATATATTGTAAAAAAACTGAGAAATTAGAAAGGGGAGGGTGGACTATACACCATCTTCTTACCTATAGTTTCGTGCATCGCTGTGGAAGATCCTTTAAAAATCTTAAAAAATTTAGCATATTGAAACTTCAACCGATTTTCATCTTATGGTGGATAAATTCAAGTTTCATTACCTCAATTGGCGTCCTTTTACTGTGAGCGAGAGAGCGGAGAATGTTGAAAAGAAAAGATTTAATGGATATGGTTTTACTAAATATGAACTTTCAAATATTCACAATCCAAATGTGAAGTTTCTTGTTCAATGGGTACACAAAGACAATTTTGATGTGCGTGTTCAGCCTTGTATTTTGATTGAAAGAATGAAGGGACAGGAGATTAAATCGCTTCTTGATGAGTATAATTAAAATTGGATTTTTTTGATAGTGTGTTAAATTTGTTTGGGATTTTTTAATGACGTTATTTTTTGTCTTAAAATTGTTGTAATAAAAGTATTTTTTGAGTACATCCAGAATAGTGGAAAAAAAAAGGCCTGGGTTTTTCCTGTGGCCCAAATGTATACACGAAATCATTTTTCGACTCGAAATTCGATCCGACTTTTCCCCTCTTAATCCTTCGATTTCCTCAACTTTCCTCATCCCTGATACACCCATAAATACACTATGAAGTAAAGATCGAGCTGGGTCATGACCAAGGCCTGGGTTTTTCCTGTACCCAGAGTCCATGTCCAGACATTTTTTGCCTTCCTGGGGTTTTTCTGGGCCTGGGTTTCTTCCTGGACTAAAGGCTCAGGATCCGGCCCAAGTCAATAAATCAAACCCAGAGTCCAGGAAAAGGCCCAGGCTTTTCACAAATCTCAATCTCTACTATGAAGTACACCTTGGTTTGAGTTTCGCCTGTTTTAAAACATTTTTTAGCCCAAAATGTATATCTTAAAATCTGTCCTATTTTTTAATTGTGGTTAATCAATCCTTTTTTACACATTTTTTATTGTCTGCTTCGTCCCACGGGATTTTCACGTGGAATTTTGTGTTTAATTTTCAAAAAATTTTATTTTGGCATTATTTTTTATTTTTTGGCGTTCTGTTTTTCGGCTTGTAAAAAAGAAAGGAATGTTTGTTTTTTCATTACTAATTGGTTTCAGTTTTTTTCTGCAACATTTTTTTGTTAATTAATTTGGGTGGGGGGCTAGCTCGAGGAATTCCAAATCACGGAACAACAATTCACGGAATTACAAAAACACGGAACGACCAAATCAGGGAACGACAAGTCACGGAATGACCAACTCACAGAATGACCGAAACAAGGAATATTTTAAAAATCGGAATTTTTAACGGAATATCTTTAAAAAAAGACTTTAAAAAATTGTAATTTTTTTAAAAACAGAATTAAAAAAAATTCTGAAAACAGTCTGATTTCTAAAAATATTTCGATTATTAAAATATTCCGTGTTTTGGTCATTCTGTGACTTGTTCCGTGACTTGTCCGTCCCGTGCGTTAGCCCCTCACTTAATTAATCTAAACTTTTTAAGCATTTTTTAGAGAAATATTTATTTTTAAAAAATGGCGGATAGCAACGAGACTCGTGAACGGCAAAGAGAATTGGAAGAGAAAAAGCGAAGGCTAGATGAACTTAGAGCTGCAAAACTTTCAAGGCAAAGGATTGATGGAAGAGCTTCTTTGATGATTGACAGTTTGCTTTTATTTTTTAGAATTTTTAAATTTTGTTTTAAGCAAAAAGAGCAAAGACGATGACACCTGCAGAGCTTAGAGCAATGTTGGACAGTGTTGGAATTGAATCCAAACTTAGGGAAGAAGCTCCAAGTGATCCAAGCAGTACTAATTCTACTTCTCGAGAATGCAATGGAGTCGTTAGTTTTTTTTATTTTGGGTAAATTGTCGTTCTGGTAATGGTGAAGAAGTTTTCCTTCTCTCCATTTCCAGTTTTCGTTATTTGTAGTGATTGTCTATCTGTTGGTGATCGCGATTTTCGAAAAGCCTGGGCCTATTCTTGGGTTCCGAGTTTGTTTTATTGATCTTGGCCGGATCCTGGGCTTATCCAGGAAAAATCCAGGCCCAGAAGAAACCCAGGAAGTCAAAAAATGCCTTGGTCCAGATTTAAAAATGCCTTGGTCCAGACCCCTACATAGATTATTGATGTAAGTTTGTGTTAGTAATGTGCAACCAAAATTTGCATCAATAAACTTAAAGCTGGTTCTAGACTTGTAGAGGCACAATGTAAATAAATCTTGGTTCCACAAGTTTTCTTTAATGATTTGATGCATAACGGCAAAAATTGGGAAATTTGTGGAGGGATTAAAAATTAAATACAGACGACAATTCTATCTTCGTTTGCTTAAACTAAATTTATTTTTTTATAAAGCTTTATTTGGAAAATCACATTGGAAATAATGCTTTGAACGCAAATGCTCGTGTAAAACGTCCTCAGAATTTGTCAATAATTCCAGCTCAATCAATTTCGATTAAACAACCGAGGACAGAATGCGTAAATTTTTTTCTAAAATTTTTTTGAAATTTTCTGAAGAATTTTTCATTTTTAAGCTCCAATATTGCAAAACTACCCAAACTGATGATGAAAAAAAATCTGATGGCGAATTTAGTATGGGCTCACAAGAATTTGCTTTTGATGATGAAGTGTCGATCGATGAAGGGGCTGGACTTCAAATTGGAAGTTTTGATGAATCTCCAACTAGAGAGATTAGGAAGCATCTTAATAATTTGCAGTTTAATAATCATGGACAACATGTTTGTTTTTTTTTTAATTTAATGTTGAATGTAGCGTTTGCGATTGCGATATTTTTCATCTTTCTTGGAAGATGAAAAATGGGCTTTCCGGCCATTTTTTAGACTTGAACCTCACGTTAAATGGCCTCTTTGGATTGAAAAAATCGTTTTTAATCATGATTTATCTTTAATAAATGATAGTATCTTTTAAGTTGTTAGACTGAAACTCATAGAACGATGTCTGTAAGGAATGGGCCTTGTTACCCAAAAACTCGAACTTTTTTAGACCCGATCCGAAGTAAATTTTGAAAATTCGATCTGAAACTCGACTACTCGACTTTTTTTCTCTCAACACGGCCCATTCTTTCATTAATTTTTCCATTTTTACTCCTTATAATTGGAAATTCTATACCTCTAGACTCATAGTATGGGATATGTGTTTCATTTATTCATGCATTTGTCTCTCATAATCCCTATCTGATTTTATTTAACTAATGGCCTTTTAAATATTTTTTTCAAATTTTTTCAGTTCAAATCTTTCAACAAAAAAGACACTACAGATGATCATACAAGCATAACATTAGCAACTTGTACAAAAATGCCTCCTCTAAGCGATGAGGAAAAAAGGAAAATTTTAAGCAGTAGCGATTTTTCTCGATTCTTTTCTCAAGCATCACGAGTCATTGAAAGAGCGTTGGCTGAAGAAGTTTGTTTATTTTTTTTTAATAATTTTAAATGGGGAAAGGCGAAAGAGTTTTTAGGGTGTTTCTGGGACCTAGTTTCATTTTGGAAGATTTTACTTTTTTTTTATTTGGGATGTTGAAATACTTCCCAATAAATCGCGCGTCTACATTGACAAGAGTATAACGCTGTTTTATTTACCTAACACCAAAATTGCAAATTTTTACATGTAAGTACAGTTGGTGTTGTAGCTAAGGTGGTAGTGTGCTTGGTTTTGATAACTTATAGTTGGGGGTTCGAATCCTTTGGGTCGGGAGTTACTTTTTCACCAGTATTTGATTAGTTTTTATTTTATTTATGGTTAGTTTTCTATTCTTTTTTATTTTCACAAATATTTTTAAAAATTTTTTAAGTATTTAAAATAATTTAAAAAAATTTTTTTAATTTTTAGGCCGATATTTTTGTTGATTACATAAATGGAACACATGGATCTGGAACAGACGATAAAATAGATAATCGAGAAATGTTGACTTTTAATAGAAAAATTTTTGATGAAAAAACAACAGCAAATAGAGCAGTTAGAGCAATCGATTTTTCTTCAATACATGCAGAATTAATGGCTGTTTCCTATGATTTAAATAGAGAAGCGCCTCTGGCACCTGACAGTATTATTAATTTGTGGACTACGAGGTTTAAGACTTCTACTCCAGAGTAAGCGAAAATTAATTTTTTGGGGAATTTTTGTGGGGAAAATTTTTTTGAAATTTCGAAAAAATTTTTGGAATTCATTTTTGAATTTTACTACAAATTAGCTGTGCCCTTCCCCTCACGGTTTTTCCATCTTTATAGACATAATCTCGGTCCACATGCATTTCCTCGCTTAAGGAGTGGTACCCACCATGAGACTCATGTCAGCTCAATGAGTCGCTAGCTTGTAACCAGGATGGGGATCAGACGGGCGGCCCCCTTGCCCCTTCCTCCGGAAAAAATCCTTGTTACGGGCCTGCTGATTGAGACGAATCAGATGATATATAAATTGATTTCATTTTGGAGTAGGTTCTTGCCTTAACTATATCCATTCTTTTGTTAGCAGAATCGGAAATCTCAGAGGTTTTCAGTTCGATTAGAAACCTCAAAGCCTTGTTTCAATTTTTTTTTTTAATTTTATTTTTCTTTAGAGCCACATTCACCAGCTCTTCACGCGTGATGAGTTTGACATTTGACCCTTTCAAAGACAATATAATTATTGGTGGCTGCTATTCTGGACAAATATGTATATGGGATGTTCGAGTTAATAAAAAGATGCCTGTTTATAAGGTTTTTTTTCTAATTTTCCCCTGAAAATACTCCCTTAAAGACTTCCCTTTCTTCAACCGCTCATACACAACCGGTGCTTTGTATGCGTATGGTAGGCTCAACAAACGCTCATGATTTGGTTACTGTTTCAACAGACGGGCGTTTATGTTCTTGGAATATTGATAATATGCAACAACCAATTGATTCTCATAATTTAATGTGTCCAAAAACTAAAAAACAGGTTATTTTTTATTATAAAATGAGGTCTAGACCAAGGCGTATTCAGAACTTATTTCTCCAGAGTATAGGCAAGAATCGTCTATTTTTGGAAGGTCAAGAAGTCATGGAATTGACAGCTAGCTGACATTTAAAACGCTTAATAGAGAGGGTGGGGGTTGATATTTTATTAAAGATGTCCAAGACTCTTAGTCTTGACTCAAGACTTTTCTTGGGTTTTTTTTCGGTTTAAATGTTATAGAATAAGGTCCAAATTAGGGCATATTCAGATCGTATTTTTCCGGAGTGTAGGCAAAAATCCTCGATTTTAAAGGGCCAAGAAGCCAAATTTCTTCCATTTTCAGCCCTCTTCATATGCTCTGAAATTGGCGTTTATAGCCAGCTATCTAACACTTAAAAGCTTACTAGAGTTAGGGGAGGTGGATTCAATATTTATTAAAAAGATAGGGGTTTTTGCATCGACTTGGTAGTGGTCAGTAGGCGCTTCTGTACACGTAGTGTAAGAACGGCTATAGCAATAACTGCCAGGAAGTCGCAGCATCAATGCCTGCCTGTGGCTATACTTTTACCTCTCTTAACCTTGTATAGCACATCTAAAGATTATTTTAAGACCCACAGCTCTGAAAGAGTTTCTTTAAGCTCTAAAAACATTAGTATTTTTTAGATGTCAGCTTTGTGTATGTCATTTGCTCATGGCAGTATTAAAGATTTAGTGTTAGGGGATGAAGATAATCAGTTATATATTGTTGATAGACATATTAAAGATACTTGTAAAAGCATTCCAGGTTTTTTTTTTTAATTTTTAAAATTTTTTTAATCAAATTTTTATTAATTTTTAGCTCATTCAATGCCTATTACCACAGTTGATATGCACAGAGCAAAAGGTCCAATCGACTTTTCTAGTCTCTGCTTAACTGGTTCTTTGGACTTTAGTATTAAATTATGGGATTTGAAGGTATAAAATTTATAAAAAAAAATTTGGGATGAAGTGTTAACTGAGAAACTTTTTTTTTAATTTTTGGGATGAAATGTCACCTATTGAAAAAATTTTATTGTTTGGATGAAATACCTATCGAAAATTTTTAAAAATTTTTTTGGGATGAAACGTCATACATCCAAATTTTTAAAAGTATTTTGGACAAACTGTCACCTTTTTGAAAATTTTTTAAAGTTTGGGATTAAATGTCACCTTGTCAAAAAATTCTCTATTGCAAAAATTTTTCTTTAAAGGATTTATCAAAATCTGAGCCTTTATTGTGTGTGGAGCGAAAACATAAATTTTATATTACCGATGTTCAATGGTCGCCAGTTCATCCAGCAGTGTTTGCCTCTCTTTCATCCGATGGAACTGTATTTTTAAAATATTTTTAATTTAAATTCTTTTCTTTTTTTAAAGCTAAATTTGTGGAATTTAAATAAAAATACTGAAAATCCGTTAACTTCATTGGATATTGGTGTGTCTACCTCAAGGTTGCATTGGTCGCGTAATGGTAAGAAAAAATATTTCTTTTAATTGGTATATCCCCCTTGGGAATAGAAAGAATCGTACAAGAGGTGTGCCGAAACAAATTTTAAAAGATGAAAGGGGTGAAACATCAAAAAAGCCAAAGATTCAGCGACAGAAAAAAATGCCAAAAACACTCCCTTGAATCGTGCCCTTAATAGGTGCTTAGCACTAGCAATGCGCTTAGCAGCATTAATAGGTGGTGCGCTTAACTTTTTCGGCGCCGCAGGCGAAAATTTTGCGAATTTTGGAGTTCCTTGAGACAGATTTCTTCATTTTTTTGCGCCGCAGACAAAAATTTTGAGAATCACTAGAGTAAGACATGCTTGGGATATGCTAATTTAAAAATCCCGAAAATTATAAAATATTGTCCGGGATCCCGAGTCGGGATTTTATTTTTTAACCGATGCCGGGACGGGATCCCGAGGGATAAATCCCGAAAAAATCCCGGATCCCGGTTGATCCCGAAAATAAAAAAAATCCGGGATTTCGGGATCCCGGAAAATCCCGTCGGGATCCCGTCCCGCGCCGACCTCTAGTTTTCATTTGGTTTCGTCTTGTTGGTGATTTTTCTCGATTTCTGATTTTCGAAAAAATTTTTCAAACAAAAAACGTCCTAAGTCGAGCATCCAATTTTGGAGATTATTTAAAAATTGACTTTCACATATAACAAAAAATTTTTGTTTCAGGCCAACAATTAATAATTGGGGACAGTTCTGGTTGTTTACATATTTATGATGTTAATGAAAGTCTTTATAATGTTCGGCCTGGAGAATGGGAAGATTTTGAAAGGTTTAACTTTTTAACAACCCTTTAACCTTGAATCTTTCATTTTTAAGGACAATCAAGGAGGACTTGGCTTTTAGGACAGTAAAAGAGGATTTGGGAAAAGTGGATGGTTTAGCTATGGCACCTGTTTAATTGGCGCTTATTTCGATGAAAATATCCAAAAATATTTAAATTTAAAAATTAAAAAATACAAAAATGAAAGTAGCTCCAAACCAGATTATATATAATTAAATTAAAAGAAGTTTTACATGTTTATTGTACAAAACTAAAAGGAACTTTTTTTTGCCATTTAAATATATAACGGCTAAAAAATAAATACTTTCGATTAAAACTTTAAAGAATTCTTTTTCTGGGGAAGGGGATAAAAAAATCTCATAAAAATGCCCTGATTTTTCGAGGCTTATCGATTATAACGTCAGAAATATTTGATGAAAAATTCAAAAATTTCTGGAAGTAGTCAAGGATGTTAAAGAAATTTGAGAAAATTTTCATAGATTTAAGTGTCAGTTTTGAATCACGCGCCAAAGCCGCCCCACTCTAAAACCGACCCAAATCCATCGGGAACCCTTCTAAACCTTCCCCTAAAACCCACAAAAACCCATTATTTTCTTTATCAAACAATATTACTTTAAATAGAAAACAATATTTTTTTAAATGATTAATAATATTTCATCAACAACACAATAACAATTTTGTCACATAACGGGTTGTCGAAAATAAGCGGGGAAAAACACACACAAAACAAAAATATAATTCCAAAAATCCCTTTCCTCCCTCTTATTTAAACCTTTCTTTCTTCTTTAGAGTTTATCATAGAAATTATCAAGCGACGGGATTCCTTCCTTAAGTCCTTTACGTTTTCTCGTTTCTGCCACAACTTGTGCCGGACGCGAAGTGCTCTCGAATGGATCACCAGGCAAAATCTGCCAGTGGTCGAACACACATTGTGGGAATGCTTGCCCACCAGTATTTGAACGCAAATCAGCAGTAAAACCTTTAAAAAATGAAAGGTAAATATTAAAAAAATTTTCTAAAAATTACCAAAAGATTCATTTACAGGCAAATGAGCCTTAACAATGAACATTGGTGTTCCGGCAATTTGACTTTCCTCAAAGACAACACCACGGCGACGGTTCAATACACCATAAATACCACCAACGGCTGCCTCTGGACATTGAATTTCAACCAAATAGACTGGCTCTTGTATTCGAGGCTACAGAATTTTTATAAAAAACTTCGCAAATTCTAAACAAACTTTTGCAGTAAGGACGGAAGCATAAAAGACACGACGTGCCGTTGGAATGATTTGACCACCACCACGGTGAATTGCGTCAGCGTGAAGAGTCACATCGTGAATATCAAAGCGAACACCACGCATATTCTCATCACACATTACACCTTCCTTGGTTGCCCATTGGAATCCTGCTACAACCGAATCCTGAAGGTAGTTTTTAGGTTAGAAAATTCATAAAGTAAGAAACCTTTATTTCGTTAAGATATTGAACTCCTTTTGTCACATCAACCAAAAGGTTTGCTCCAGTCCCTTCAGGTCCAAAACACCAAATTTTACGAGCATCAGTCGCATCAAATTCATATTTTTCAGCAAGAATTCTTGCACGATTTTTTGGATCATCAGTTGGGCTGACTTCTCCACCCTCAATTGCTTCAGGTAATCCAGTAGCCATTGGTTTTGCTTTGCAGAACAGACGGTTGTGTTTGTTTGGCGATTTTGAAAGGCACATAATATCAGATTCCTCAGTGACCGTTTCACGATATGACACAACTGGATCAGACTTTTTGATTGGAATGCAAGCGTGGTCCTCTTCCAAATCCTTTAAACAAATTTCCAAATGCAATTCTCCAGCACCAGCAATAATGTGCTCTCCAGACTCCTCAAAAATGCATTGCACCATAGGATCAGATTTAGCCAAACGTTTCAAACCTTCAACCTAAATTAAGCAAAATTTGTTTCAGTCAAAATTTAAAAACAAAAACCAATTTTGGCAAATCCCCAGCATTTTTCGGTTCCACAGCAACACGCACAACAGGAGAGACAGAGAATTTCATAACACGCAAATTGTGAGCATCCTTGTAGGTTGTAATTGTTCCGCCCTTAACGAGGTATTGATCAACACCAACAAGTCCAGCAATATTTCCTGCAGGGATATCTTCAATTGGTTCAATATAACGTCCCATCATGAGAATTGTACTAAAAATTAAGACGGTTTTAAAACCATAAAAACCAACAAAACCGTTGAATTGTCTTCTCATAAAGGTCCTCCTTTTTACCAACAACATAGTTGGGTCCTTGAATTCGAGCCTTCATTCCAGTCGCTACCTTGCCAGAGAAAACACGACCTACAAACATTTAAAGTTTTGTCAATATTTTTTAAATTCATACCGAAAGCATAGAAACGTCCCTTATCAGAAGTTGGTACCATTTTTGAGATATACATCATCAAAGGCCCGTTGGGATCACATGCCTTTGAAGCAATTGCTGCTTCGTCATCATGAGGTCCTTCATAGAGCATTTCCATTCGGTACTTTTGGGCAGTGACAGGTGAAGGCAAATGAATGCAAATCATCTTAAAAAGGTTTAAATGAGACAAGGAAAAGTTAATGAAGAAAACCTGAAGCATAGTATCACCAGCAGGAAGCCATTTACGCATAATTGTCTTAAGAAGCGGTTTCCCTTCCAAATCCCTCTCTTCAGCCGTAAGCTTAACTCCCAACTTTTCGCAAAGTTTGGTCGTCTCCTCCTTCTTAATGTTCATCACACAATCAAAAACTTTGTAGATTGGATCCAAAACGAATTGACAAAATCCACGTTTGGTGTCCGGTTCTTGAGTGCTAGTCCACTTCTTTGTTTTGAGGTTGAAGAAGCGATCGCCCCACAAATTCTTCATCAATTTGTCGACCTTAAATGAGAAATAGAAGGCAGACATTGACAAAATGGACAACCTGAACTCCAAACTTGTCAGCGTACATCTCAGCAAACTGTTTGAGTGTAAAAGCCCATCCATGAAGACCTGACCCAAAACCAACATTTCCAATAGAAGGATCAACTTGAATCGGTCCCATCGGCCCGTCGTCGTCTCCATATGTAGCAATAATAACGTTGATGTTCTCCACAATGCGTTGGAATGTTTGGTAAAGTTCTTCCTGTCCAAGCTGTAATTCAAGAAGCGCACGGTCCATCTTGTTCATAAAAAGCACAGGCTTGATACGTTCAGCAATTGCTTGGCGTAATACAGTTTCGGTTTGCACACAAACTCCTAAGAAATTGCTCTTTGTTTTAAGTTAGGATTAAAATAAGAAAACCTGAAACACAATCCACAACAACCAAAGCACCATCAGTAACACGTAAAGCAGCGGTGACTTCACTAGAGAAGTCAACGTGTCCAGGAGAATCAATAAGATTGATAAGGAAGCCGTTGTACTTCTTTGGTGCTCCATCTACTTGTTGAATCTCACATTGATTGTCTCCCTTAACGAAATCCAAGTCTTTCATGTCAAGCTCGAAGAACATCGAAATGGCACTTAAAATTGAAATCAGTTAAAAATACAAAAAGTGGAACAAACGTCGATTTGATGGTAATACAACGATCTTGTTCATCTTTGCGAGTATCAGTGAAACGTGTCTCCCCAGCTTTTGCTCCAGCAATAATTCCAGCCTTTGAAACAAGCGAATCGGTAAGCGTTGATTTTCCGTGGTCGACGTGCGCAATAACAGACATGTTACGAATGTTTTTACGCTTGTCCATCAAAGCACGGATTTCGTCTACCGTGAAGTTTACCTGAATTGGTGGATGAAGTTTGGACTTTAGAAGCTAAAGAACTTACCATTTTTTAAATCTTTTTTGTTGATTAAACAAAAGAATAACAAATAAATTAACCTAATTTGTAAACTAAAATAATCAATATTAGTAATAAAGAAAATACAAAAGATCAGTTAAAGCAAAAAAAGGAAGTGTCATTTAATAGAGGAAAGAAAGAGTTCTCATAAAACATTCTCACACGATTGTCATTTATAGTTTAAAAAATATATTTCGAAATATTTTGAAAACAAACAAATCTCGTGTACCAAACATTCCATAATTTATAACCTAATAATGCTAAAGTTTATCAAACCCAAATAACTTCAACTCTGAGAACCTTGTAAAGAATGTGGGTTAAAAAAGTTAAGAAACTGAAAAAACTTCCTACAAGACTGACGAAAACAAAGTTGATAAAAAAGATTTGACTAAATGAATAATTTTCCTTTGTTTGACGAATCGTATTTTACCAAAATAAATAATGTGAGGAGAAATAGTGTAGCGAGGGAAAAAAATTATCGAACTTTTAGTTTACTGTAATTTTCGTTGCGGAATTTTTTTATTTTCTTAGTTTAATATTTTACCGCTAATTTTCTTAAAAAAATTTTTTGAGAAATTTTATTTTTAAATTTTTTTTTGATTTGTTGGTTGTTTCTATTCGGTTAAGGACGATTCAGTATCGCCGATTCAGTCTCGCCGATTCAGTATCGCCGATTCAGTCTACGCCGATTCAGTATCCGCCGATTCAGTATTCGCCGATTCAGTATAGCCGATTCAGTATACGTGGAAAAGGGGACGATTCAGTATACGTATATTTTTGGGCTAGAAAATCTTTTTTCTTGTAGATTTTTTTCGTGTTTCTTACTTTCTACGATCTATAGAACATCTTTAAAGCTTAATTCTAGGCTTCTCTTAGGCTTTTTCTGGCTTAGGGTGAGGTTTTGGTCTCGACTTTTTTTCTTCGGGGAACAAAAATTTTTTTAAAAATGAGTCAAATAAACAAAAATTTATCAAAAAATAAGAACAAGGTCTACATTTCACTCATTAGATTTGTTGCCCTAAAGAGGACCAGGCAACCACCTCAACAGCAAGCTGCTCGACACAAATAAGAACAAGTCCAGGACCGGTTTGTCTTAAATTAAAAAAATTTTAAAAATAAAAAATGGAATGGGGAGTAGAATTGGGAAGTAAGAAATCTCCGCAAAAAGCCCGCAAAAATTTGTAGGGATAAAGGCCAGGGAGCTTCTGGGGCTATAGCTCCCCCTTATAAATAATGGGGAAAATAAAAAAAAATTCAAAAAGCCAAAAAACTAAAAAAATAAACCATGTGTCTGTAGTAGAAACCTCGCCATTCACTGTAGAATTCTCGCCGTCTTGAGATATTAAGAAAATTGAAGAAATTTAAAAATTTTAAAAAATTAAAAAAAATTCTAAATTTTCCATAAAAATTATTTTTTTCGTTAATAATTGTTGTTGGTTATTGCTAATTGTTATGGTAGACCACCTAAAGAACAAAGAAAATGCTTAAAACGAAAAAATAAATCAGTTACTTTCCAAAAATTTCTATTTTTAGGGTATTTTATTCTACGTATACTGAATCGTCCCCTTTTCCACGTATACTGAATCGGCTATACTGAATCGGCGAATACTGAATCGGCGGATACTGAATCGGCGTAGACTGAATCGGCGATACTGAATCGGCGAGACTGAATCGTCCCCTACCCGTTTCTATTTTCGTTCATTTTTAGATTTTTTTTGAAATTATAAATGTCAGAACTTGCTCAAGTCTTAGAGAAAACTTTTTCTGGAGGTAATTTTTAATTTTGACCATCCCTCTAAAATATGATTATTCATCATTTTAGATCCCAAGGATCAACAATATGCTCTGAACCTCTTACAACAAGCCGCTGATGGTAATTTTGTGAGTTCTTATTTGTCTAAATTAAATTAAAATTGAAAAAAATTTAAGCCAGAATATGTCAGACAACTTGCGGAAGTACTTTCTAATGTCAACAACGGTCCTTTTATTAGGAAAGCGGCCGGTCTTCAACTTAAAAACACTTTGTTCTCTAGTGGTCAAACATCTTTTGATCAGAAAAAGACCAGGTTTCCTTAATTTGTATTGATACAATTTTTATAAATTTTTCTTCTAGATGGCTTTCAACGCCTTCAGATATGCGAGATTACGTGAAGAAATGTGCTATGATGGCACTTGATACTGAAACAATAAGACCATCTACAGCGGCACAGTGTGTGGCTGCCATCGCTTGTATCGAGCTCCCTCTGAATGTATAAAAATTTTCAGGTTAATTTTAAAAATTTTTTTGTTTAAGCAATGGGCTGATGTTATTGACCAGTTGAGCGTTAATGTTACAAGGCCGGAAAGCTCGCCAATGTTGAGGGAAGCATCGCTGGAAGCGTTGGGGTATATCTGTCAGGATGCTCGTGATCTTCCATATACTGGGCCGATATTAACAGCAATTGTACATGGGATGCGTGAGGAGGAGACGTCCAATACAATTCGACTAGCGGCTACAACAGCTTTGCTAAACTCGTTGGATTTTGCCAAACAAAGTTTTGAGACTGAAGTAAGGCCCTCTGTTGACCCTTTACCTTTAAAAAATTAAATTTTAGACTGAACGCAACATTATCATGCAAGTGACCTGCAATGCCACCCAGTCTACAGAAACATCAATTAAAGTGGTTGCTCTTCAATGTTTGGTCAAAATAGTTTCTCTCTACTATCGGCACATGGAACCTTATATGGGACGCGCTCTTTTTCAAATAACCCTTCAGGCAATGAAAGATCCGGGTTTGTGGAATGATTTTTTTGGAAATTTTTTTTTATTTTTTCAACGGGCTAAAATTTTTCTAGACCCCCTATGTAAGCTTATGGGTCTTTTGGGTAACCATTTATGTTAGAATTTTTTTGAGAAACATAAAAAATATTTGCTCTGCAGATGAGCATTCACCTTTTCAATCATATAGTTGATGAAGTCTCTCTACAAGGAATTGAATTTTGGTCAAATGTATGCGATGAAGAATTGAATTTGGCTGCTGAGGCTGAAGAGGTTTGATTTTTCTGGTTGTGATTTTTTATAATTTTTATTTTTTAAAGGCTGTCGACCAAGGCACAACGCCAGAAAATGTTTCAAAACATTATGCTTTGGGTGCTCTCCCGCATATTTTGCCTACTCTCACAGAAAAATTAGCGAAACAAGAAGCAGACTCTGAAGATGATTGGAACCCTGCAAAATCGTCAGGAATTGCTGTCATGTTGCTAGCTCAATGTTGTGGCGATGCAATTATTGATTTGATACTTCCTTTCATTACACAACACTTTACGAATCCGGATTGGCATTATAGAGAGGCAGCAATAATGGCATTTGGTTCAATTTTGGAAGGGCCGACTAAACAAAAACTTTTGCTGTTGGTTGAACAGGCTATACAGCCATTGATTGTTACGCTTTCGGATACTCATGTAAATTGATTTTTTTTATTTATGGAATTAGGGGCAATTATTATGAGTTTTTGTTAGGGATGAGGTTGGTGTGGGTACGTTCTGTTAGTATTTTTCTTACTAGTGTGGGAGGGGTTTTGTGCCTTTTTGGGCCAAAGTTTTTGTATCCTATTGTCTCACGTGAAGTCCGTCTTAATGCCCAAAAAGAGATGTAATGCCATCTCCCAAGATCTGAGGAATGCCAACATGTTGCTCCACAAATGGGGGTTTTGCATTTGGTTGGTTGGAATTGGGGCATTTTGGCATTACGGGATCATACCCTTTTAATGTTTTTCTAAATTTTTTTTCAGAAAATTTTTTTTATTTTAGCCAGCAATAAAAGACACTGCAGCTTGGGCAATTGGAAGAGTTTGCGATACTTGTGAAGGAATTGTAACTCGTGAACAAACTTTGAGTTTGTTGTTGCCGGCACTTTCTTCAGCTTTACAGGATCAACCAAGGGTGGCTACAAATGTTTGCTGGGTTTGCTTTTTTTTTTAATTTTTTTTTGAAAATTTTAAAATTTTTAAAGGCAATCTCAAGTCTTGTAAAGGCCGCCTATAAAGTCGCTGTCGACCAAGGAGGAGCTGTGGATGAGAAGGGTACTCCACAAACTTTCATTTTGAGTCCAGTCTTCCAAAATATGGTTACTGAGTTAATTAAGACGTCTGACAGGTTTTTTTTGTATTTTTCGGAGTTTTTTTTGATTTCCCTTCCAATTTCAGGACCGATTCCAACGAAAATAAACTTCGAATAGCTGCATATGAAGCCTTGATGGAATTAATCAAAAATAGCCCAACTGATTGTTATCCAGCTGTTCAACAAACTACAATAATTATTTTGGGCAAATTGGAGTCTTTGTTGAGTATAGAAGATGCTTTAATTTCGTCTAATGAACGTTCTCAGCTTCGTGATCTTCAATCTCAACTTTGTGCAACTCTTCAATCTGTTTTACACAAAATTCGTTGTGAGGATGCTCCTCTGATTTCTGACAGTATTATGGCGGGTCTTCTTCGGATTATGGGACGTTGTACGGGGAAAGAGAGTGAGGCTGTTGTTGAAGAAGCTTTAATGGCAATTACTGCTCTTATTGAAGGTGTCTATTTTTTAATTTATTTGATAGGGGTGATGGAATAGAAAACCATTGACCGGCATGCGTAAGGATCGACGGTGCCTCCATCAAACCGGAGGGTGGACAAATTTTTTACTTTTTGATAAGGGGGCCTCTGAACTGTCACAATTAATTTATTGGTATTATGGTAGCCTAATGCTAATTTTTGGTTTTTTTGGCTACGGAGATCAGTAAGAAAGGATTGGTCAAGCCAACAGAAGTTTTACCAAGGGCTAGCAAAACTGCTTATTAATTAAATTATTAAAATAATTCTCGAACTAGATGGGAGGGTGAATGGTATTATTTTACCCAATATTTAGTTTATTCGATAGATACTTTCTAATACTCATTCGAAAAATTTTTTCAGTGTTAAAAGACGGTTTCCAAAAATACATGCCAGACTTTAAACCTTTCTTGCTTGCCGCTTTGGAAAATCACGATGATGCACAGATTGGAATTGCTGCTGTAGGTGTTGTTTCTGACCTGTGCAGAGCTTTTGAAACAAATATTAGTGGATATATGGATGAAATTATGGAAAGAATGTTGGGGATTTTACAGGTTTTTTTTTGGATTTTTTAGAATTTTTGAAGTTTAAAGAAAATTTTTTTAAAGGACGCCAACGCAAAGAAAAATGTAAAAACACAAGTTCTCAACACATTTGGTGATGTTGCATTAGCTTTGAATGCACAATATTCGCGATATTTGGATTTAAATATGAAGTGGCTTACAGAAGCAATATCTGCTGCACAAATTACAAATGCTGTAAATATTTTAATTTTCCTATGCGCCATAATTCCAAACGTCAATTTTCAAACCCTTAAGGGCAGTCTAATTTCCAACCGAAAAATATTAGACCTATATGGGTATGGTCCAATATACACAGCAGATCAGCCTGTTACTTTAAGCCATTTCACAGTGGCATGGGAATAAATAAAAAATTTTCTTTTTTTCTTTTCCATTCTATTTCTTTTGCGTGCTATTTTCCACAATAGTAAGTCGAGGATCCTTTATCGAATGGTACCAAAAAATTATTAAATTCGCACTGACAGTAAAAAATGTTCCCTTGTAAGCCATATTTTAGCACTGAAAGACGAGTAACAGCCTTTGCCTATTTTGATCTGCTGTGATATAGCTGTGTTTGATATTTTGGCGGTTTGGCATAATTTGGTCATATCAGAATTAAAAAAAAAATATTTTTGAAGGATGACTTTGACCAAATCGACTATGTTGAATCTTTGAGAGAATCTTGTTGTTATGCATTTTCTGGTATTGTACAAGCATTAAATGGGTCACCAGAAAGTTTACAATTAATTCAACGAAATATTCAACCAATGCTTCAATTAATTGTTCAAATTTCAAATTCACAACCAACAACATCAGAAAATTTATATTCGAGTGCTTGTGCATTAGCTGGTGATCTGCTTCATTCTTTTGGGGTTGAATTTTTGCCTGTTGTTGATACTGCTGAATTTGGAATTAATACTTTGGTTGCTAAATGTCGACGTTCTAGAACGAATAAAGCTAAATCTATTGCTACCTGGGTAAAGAGTTTTTTTTGTGTAAATTTTTTTTTTAAGTTTTGGGGTTTAAAAATGGGGGGGGGGAATGATCAGGATTGGGTATAGCTTTTAGAATTAGCTTCAGAACTGACTCGGTGAGTCGGAGCTGATTTTTAAATTCCAGGAGCTGGGGCCATAAAACATACAATACCCCATACTGTTGGTAATATCTACTTATTCTGTTTCATTTGTCTCAAATCATTTTATTTTTGACATCAGGCCCGTAGCCAGGGGGGGGGTGAGGGGGGGAATTCCCCCCCCCCCCCGAAATGGGAAAAAGGAAAAAATTTGGGGAAGGGCTGGGGCAAAAAAGTGAATTTTTTTGGCCTACGGCCTCTGAAATTTAAAAAATTTTCGCCTGCGGCGCTAAAAAAGGACGAAATCTACTCTTCTTGAGGTCCAAAATTCAAAAAATTTTCGCCTGCGGCGCTGAAAATCAAATTTTTGGCGCCTGCGGCGCCGAAAATTTGGCGCAGAAAAAATTTTCCCCCCTTTCCCCCCCCCCCCCCCCCGAAAAAAAATCCTGGCTACGGGCCTGTTTGACATAATAGAAAATGGTCAACTGAGGAAAAAATTTTTGCTTGTAGCCTTTCAAAAGGCTGGTTATCCCTCCTAATTTTAGTTTTATTTGGGTTAACAGTTTTTCTAATTTTAAGATTGCCATAATAAGAAATGGTCACAAGGGCAAAATTTTGAAATTTTTATTTTTCTAGGTCACTAGAGAAATTGCACGGGTCAAACGACAAGCGGGTAATGCTGCCGCAGCTGCAGGTCAATCATAGTTGATGAACTTTTTATTTTCTTCTAAAAAATGTTTTGATGGTTTGTTTAAAAATTTTTTTTGATGAGTGAGGGGATGCAAGGAAAAAAATTTTTTTTTGTGTTTTTTTGAGGACTATGGCCATTATATAAATTTATTTTTTTTTTAATTTTATTTATTTTAAATTCCAAAAAAAATGAAGGATTTTATATCCTTTTTTTCTCTCTATTTTTTTAAATCTCTCCTTCCTCTGAAAAACTCCAAAAAAAAATATTTTAACTAGAAAAAATATTAAAAAACTTATAATATCTATTTTTGTCTATTACAAGCAATTTTATTTTTCAAATTTTTTTGTTGGATTGTTTTATATATTTTTAGGCAACAATCATTTGTTTTTTTTTTGTTTTTCTCTTAAAAATATATGGTTCGTATTAAACGGGAAAAATTTTTGTTAATAATGTTTCTTGGGCGGAAAGTTTTTTTTCGGATTTTGGCTTATCTTTGGCCTTTGGGTTTTTTAGAAAAAAATTTTTTTATTTAATTTTGGGTCTGAAAAAATTTTTCAAAAAATTTTCTAAATATTTTGAAAAATTAAAAAAAAATTTTTAATTGTATTTTTGGTTTGAACTTTTTTTTTTGGATTTTACATTAATGTCTTTTTGAATTTTGGGTCTGAAAAAATTTCAAAAAATTTTCTAAATTCTCTGGAAAACTTAAAAAAAATTTTATGGATGGGTAGATAATTTTTGACTTTATTTATTAAATTCCAGACTAATTTTTCCCCCCTAAATTCCCTTTGGTTTTTAATAAATTTTTACAAAAAATACGAACTTTTCCATATTTTCCACACTCCCCATATATTTTTTTTCTCAAATAAAAAAATGTTTTGATCCTCACTTTTGCTTGCACATAAAAAAAATTTTACAAAAAAATTTATTTTAAATTTTGTTGCTTATATTTTTTTGCACAAAAAGAAATTGTTTTATTTTATTTTTCAACTCCCCCACATATACATTTTTGTCAAAATTTTTTTTTCTGTTTTGGACTTTGCCGATCTTTCATAAATAAAGATTAAAATAAATTTTGAATTTTTTTTGTTAAATTTTATTTGTTTTTAAAAATACTTGAAATATTTTTTTAATTTTTTTTTGTTAATTATTTTCGAATTTCTTTTCAGCTTAGAAAATGGATAACAATTCAAATCAACCAAGTTCTTCAAAAGATCCAAATATTCAGTGGATGTATGATGGTACAAAATCTATTGTTAATCGAGAGGATTATCTTCTTGGGAAAAAGGTTTGAGATTTTTTTTGATAATTGTTAGGGTTTGTCTTGTTAGGCATGTGTCGATGCCGATTAGGATTACGAGTATCGATTTTTTCGATTAAACTGATTTTCGACGTGGTTTTGTATGTATGCATAGGGGCCAATGACAATTTTTCAAAATAGAGGCTATTTGTAAGTCCAATTTTTCATGTCGCTTTTATGTTTAAGAAGCGAAATGAAACAATTGTCTGTAACACCTATTTTTTAAGAGAATTTTTCAATTTTCCGCAAAATGTTCAGTTTTGGCCGCTAAATTAAAAAAATTCACATTTTTCAATAAAAATTGTTATACTAATAAAAGCCCTTATTTTTTTAGATTGACAGAAATTTTGAATTGTATTCTGACGTTGTTGTTAAAGACAAAGACGAGGAGACCCGAGACAATTTTTTTAAACAAAAACTTTTACAAAATGGCTCTGGGCATGTACACAATCAAAAAATTTCTGCTTTGGATGTTCGAACAGTTCGTAATGAGGATCCGCTTGTTGCTCTCAAGGTTTTTTTTGAAATTTTTTGAAAAATTTTTTGAAAAAATTTTTAAGTTCCAAGAAGAACAACGACGTCGACAAATGTTAGAAAATCCTTTAATTAAATTAAAAGCTCAACGTATTTTACAAAAAGAATTTGAAAAACAAATGAAGAAGGTGGAAAAGAAGAAGAAAAAACACAAAAAATCTAAAAGAAATTCTTCCTCGTCAGATGAAGAAATTTTTTCAAAACATAGAAGGTTTGATGAAAGGGAAAAACATCGACATTCGTGGGAAGAAAGAAGTAGATCGAGGAGTAGAGGAAGAGATGAAAGAAGGAGGGAAGATGATAGAAGGGAGGAAGGCCATCATCATCACCATAGGGAGTCGTTTTCTCGTTCTTTAGGTTTTTTCTTTAAAAAAATTTTTTTGGCTGATTCTGACTTTTGGTCTTTTAGGGAACAGGCCAATTTACCGCCGAGAAAATGTTTCTTGCTTCTTGGAGGTTTTTTGCTCATAATTGTCGAATCCGGCACGCCATGGATTGGGTCGATCCAGCTTGTCGAGTTGCATTGACTTATGCATGGCGTGCCGGATTCGACCATCATGGGCGAAGTTATAGCTCGGCGGTAAATTGGAGTGTGCCCTGTTCTTTACTTTTATTTAATAATTTGGGATTCTTCTAATTAGAATATCGGGTTCAGTCAGGCCCGTAGCCAGGATTTTTTTTCGAGGGGGGGAAATTTTTTTGCGCCAAATTTTTGGCGCCGAAGGCGCCAAAAATTTTTATTTTCAGCGCCGCAGGCGAAAATTTTGAGAATTTTAGAAGGCCGTAGGCCAAAAAAATTCACTTTTTCGGCGCCGCAGGCGCCAAAAATTTGATTTTCAGCGCCGCAGGCGAAAATTTTTTGAATTTTGGACCTAAAGAAGCCAGATTTCTTCCTTTTTAGCGCCGCAGGCGAAAATTTTTTAAATTTCAGAGGCCGTAGGCCAAAAAAATTCACTTTTTTTGCCCCAGCCCTTCCCCAAATTTTTTCCTTTTTCCCATTTCGGGGGGGGGGGGGGGAATTCCCCCCCTCACCCCCCCCCTGGCTACGGGCCTGGGTTCAGTTATTCGGTCAAGTTCTGATATTCGAAGAAACCGATAATCCTGCTTGTAATTAAATTAAAAAATTTCTTTTTTAATTATTTTTTTTTTCAATTTTAGATGTCAACAGAAACGATTTGAGACATTCTAGCCATAAAGGGGAAGAAAAACCAAAAGAAAGGCTACAATCCCGTCCAAAATTGAGTGCTGCTGAAATTGAGGAGAGGCGAAAAGCAATGTTGCAAAATGCTTCTTGGAGGTTTTTTAATTTTTTTTTTAAATTTTATCTTAATTTTTTAGAGATGAAATGAGAGAAAATAATTTTAAAAAGACAATAGAAGAACTCAGAAAAGAGGAAAATGAAGCTAACAATATTCCAAATTTTATAAGGTTTTTTAAATAATTTTTTTGGAAATTTTTTGAAAAATTTTGTTTTGCAGACCAGTTATGGATTCTGCAAATTCTTCATTGGAAAAACGCTTGCAGAGCAACAAAATGGGAGTACAACGTTCACATGATCACATGGACAAATCTTTTTTGAAGAGATGAAATGAAGAGATTTTTTATTTTTTAAATAGGGCCTTGTCTAGTTTGTGTACATTAGAGATTGGTATTTTCAAAAATTCTGGATCTGGATTTTGGGTAGTAACCTGGACAGGGGTACACCCCGATGTACCGCGAGCCCAATGTACCGCCGAGCTATAACTTACTTCAAAATTATCGAATCCGTGGCCCCTGGTATAGTTCGATTCAGCTGGTCGAGACGCATCGAACCATACCAGGGCGCCGTGGATTCGACAATTTTGAAGTAAGTTATAGCTCGGCGGTACATTGGGCTCGCGGTACATTGGCCTGCTCACGCTGGACAGGATTCTTGATCTGGATTTAGGAAAAATCCAGACTGGATCTGGATCCAGACCGATCTTTAATGCACACACCCAATTTATTCGCAAACTCAAATCCGTCAAAATTACCCCATTAAAGGCGGCTAAAGTTCACTCTAGGGGGTTCTCAGCACATGCCTTGTTGGAGGCGATGATTTTTATGTTAAGTGAGCAAATGACTTGGGTCTGTTTTTTTGTGAATAAATGGGAGTGTTTATCTAGACTAGACAGGTTCCTTTTAATTAAGGTTTGGGCTGACAGAAATTTTTTCTAATTTTTTGAGTAAATATATATTTTTTATTTAATTATTTTTTTAAAAAATATCCGTTAATTCGGTTATATTTTTTTATATTTAAAATTTTTTTAAAGTTTTTTTCAGAATTTTTGTGCAGATATGACTGAAACTGGAGGTGGTGATTCTGTTGAATCTGTTAGTTTTTTTTTTATTTTTTTAATATTATTTAAATTATCTTAAAGGCAAGTGTTTATGCTAACTCTGTTTGTGAAATGTGCGGAAATTATGAGGTTTTTTTGGGGGGGGGGGGGGGGTTGGTTATAAAAAAACCTGTGCCTTCTGATTGGAAAGCAGCGATGCCTTTTATATTTTTTGTCAAAAAATACGAGACATAAACCCAAAGATTTATTACTATAATTGTGAAGGCTTTTCCTTCTACTTTTTGTGTGATTGATTTTATTGCGTTTACGTATCCAAAAGACGAATATTTACATGCGCGATTTATTTAAATATAAAATCTATTTTCTTTTAATTATAAGAAGGGTTTATTTCAATATTCTAATGTGAGCGTCCATGGTGTAGTGGTTAGCATTGCTGCCTTCCAAGCAGTAGGCACGAGTTCGATTCTCGTTGGACGCAAAAATTTTTTTTTGAATTAAAAAAAATTTTTTTAGAAAAATTTTTAAATTTAATTGAGTTATTTTAATTATTTAAAAATTTAATTTTGTCAAGGTTCAACTTCAAACAATTCAAAGCAGTCAGGATACTCTCAGGGTTTTATTTTTGTTCACTTTTTTAAAATTTTAAATAATTTTAAGGAGAAATTGGCAGCTGCTAAAGGTTTCTTTTTGTTGTTTTCTAGTAAAATTTTAATTAAATTTTGTTAGAATTGTATGAGAAATATGGCAAAGAATTGACAGAAGAGAGGCATTATCGAAAAGAATTGGAAATTAAATTTGCTGCTTTAAATGAAGAAACTGAAGGGAAAATTCAGGTTTAGTTTTAATTGGTATTTCCTGAGGGTTTAGATTTTAGAGAAGGAATTTCTGAGATAAAATTCAAAAATTATTTTACTGAACAAGTTTTTTTGTTGTTTGGAGACTTCAAATAAAATTCCAATTTCTAAAATCTTTTCGCTTTTTTGCTGATACTTTATGGCTGGTCAGGGTGTCCCTTTTACCTCTCTAGAGGCATTTTCCCCTTTTTGCTTCATTTTTATCGATTTCGCCCCATTTTTGACCCTTTTTTGAGGGGCCATGCCCTTTTTTTGGTGATTTTGAAAGGGACACCTTGTGGCTGATATTATAAACATGTTTAACACACTTCGCAGGGATATATTAAATTCCTAGACATGATTCTTGAGAATTTTATTGTAGGGGGTTCTGTCTTTGTTTTGTTTCTTGAAAAAATTTTGCGCCTGAATAAGCTTTAGATTTAATTTCCTTTTTCTTATTTTTGCAGCAATGTATTACCAACACAGAAGACTTTGAACAACGCATTGTCCTTCTCAGTAAGAAACAAGAAGCTGATTTGTCTGTTTTGGAATCACAATTAGAATTGGCTAGGAATCGTCAAAAAGAACTTCAAGAACAATTGGTTTTGTTAAATGAAAGGTTTTCTTTTTTAATTTTTTAAATTATTTCAAAAAATTATTTCCTTTTAAGGTATGAAAAACTTTTACATTTAAAATCTCAATGTGCTGAAGAAATGCGTGAACAACAAATTGAACTGCCTCAAACAGTTGAAGAACTTCAATTTTTGGCATTGCAGTTGAGAGAGGAATTGGTTAATTAAAAAAATTTTTTTAATTTTTGGCTCTTGTCCAGTTTAACCGTCTCATTTATTAAAATTTGGTTTTGGTTCCTTAACGTTTTCTGGGTCATTTAATCTGGAACGTTGCTTTTAAATTCATCATAAATATTGAGAAGTTATGCTGAGGTTTCTTTTTTTGGAGGGGAGGGGTCTGTTCTTAAGTCATCTTTAGCTTACTCTTTAATTTTGGGAAATTATAATGGGGTTTCTAGAATCCCTAAAGATTTTAGAAGATTTTTTTAGAAATCTAAAATCATTAAAAATCAACTAGCTAGCCAAAATTATTTTTGGATAAACTAACAGATGTTCGAAATTTGGGTCCTTCCCCAGTTTGGACCTTAACTCAAAAAACATTAGAAACCCTAGCCCAGCATTCAAACCCAAAGACGTAACACATAAACTGGACAAGACCCTTTTATTTCCCTCTCTTATAGATAACTGAACGTGCTGCTCGTGAGCATGAAAGGAGGGAATTAAATGATGAATTGGCTATGGCACGTCAACAACTTGTTGAATTGGAAATTTGTCCAAGAGAAAATGAAGAATGAATTTCGATATATATAAAAATATATTTATTTTGCTCAAATAGTTTTTATAAATTTTAAGAGCTGATAGAAGAAACTAATTTGTAATTTTTGAAGAATATGCTTTTTAAGGTCTGCAGACCGTAGAAAATGGTTTTTTTCTAATAAATGCGCTTTTCCGAGAGGACAAAGCTTTTTCACAGTTATCCATTCAGATAATCAAGATAAAGTAAATCATGGCTATTCTAATGAGCCGTTCGCGGTTTCTCGTTAAAACGATTAAACTCACAAATCTATCTAAATTCACTCACCGCTCTCAACTGGCCGCGCTGAACTGACCTTACTCATATTTTAAATTTTTTTCTCTGACTGCACTATTTCTTTTTTATTTTTCTCTAACTCGGGGATAAATAGTCATTTTATTTAAAATTATTGCATTATGCCAAATTTCGCGAATTTTAAAGTTTATGATTTAAATTTTCTTTTCCTCTAAACTTTTTCATCTTTTTCTCTATTTTTAAACAAATATAGAAACTCTAAACCAAAAAAATTAATATATTTACTCCAACTCTTTTTATAAGGCATTTATTATGAGCATATTTTAATTGTGGGGAATGGGACACAAAATGCATGTGAACAGACTAGTTTTTTGTTTGTGAGTAATCGGGAGAACCTAGGAAAAAATTAATTTATATTAGCAGGATTTGGGAAGAAAAATGCGTTTTCCTAAGAGACAAAAATATTTAAAAATATATTTCTGTGGGAGAAAAATTGTCTCCACATTTTGTCAATACACATTTTGCCAATAAGACTAAAAATTTGCATTTTGTCACAAATTTATGGGCAAAACGTCGATTTTAGCCTTACTGGCAAAATGTCGTATAGGCAAAATATGGAGGAGCCGAATAAATTTTTGGGATGTGAAATAGCGTGAAGAAAAAAGAGAGGAAGGAGTGAGGGACTTTAAGGGGAAGAGGAATTTGGAGGGAGACAATTACAAGAAGAATTTTCAAATTCCAATTTTCTTCAAAAAAACAAAATTTTTTTGTTGATTGCAGTTCTTCATTTGTCTGTTGTTTGTTGTTTTTAAAAGTTTGACCACATTGGTTTCCTTATCCAACGCAACCGAAGTCCAGCTAAAATTTTTAAATTTTTTTTTCAAATTTAAAATCAACAAACTATTTGTTCGAATTTTTATTGAAGCTGCTTCAGCAGCACGTACTGTATCTTTAACCGACTGCATTAAATTTTGGGCGTTTAAGACTAATTGCTCCATAGCTTCTTCATCTTCTTCTGTTCCTTAAAAAATTATTTTAAAAATTATAAAAAAAAGTCATCGAACCTCATTCTAAGATCTCTTTGGAACTGAAAAGATCCTACCTAAATGAGGAGTACTTTAAGAGCTTCGCTCCTCCACCTCTAGTGGCTACATTTAAATCGAGGAGTAGTGGATGTTTCTTATATAATGAGGTTCGAGACTGTTTTGTTTAACTAATTTTCACGCTCAAAAATTAATTTTTTTTAAATCACAGCATTAATGTTAAGAAAAAAAAAATAATTTTTTTAAACAGCAAATACAACCCAAAAATTTTATTTTTATTTTTTACCATCGACAGGTTCTCCATATGGCCCAATTGTAACTAATATTTATTTAAATTTTCTTTTGATTTTTTAAAAATCTTTTTCTATATAAAAAAATGAAAAAAATTTACTTTGAGAACCAAGCATTGTTGCCTTAACGGTCGCCAACTTAAAAAAAAAATAAAAATTATTAAAAAAAAAATTCTTCAAACAATTTTAAGTTGAGTAGCAATTGTAGGAATTCTCTCAGCAATTTGAAGTAAAGTCTGAAAAAAAAATTTTTTTTTTTTAATTTTATGTGAAGTAAAATTAAAATACCCAAAAAATAATTTAACATTCGTACCCAGTTTTTTAAAAAATTTTTTGGCTAAAAGTATAATTTTCAGGATAATCGTGGTTTTCGATCATTATCTGTTTATAATTTTTAAGAGGATGTCCAGTAACAAAAAAAATTTTTTTTTTCATAAATCTAAAGCTATCGAATATCAACGAAAATTGTATTTGGGACAATCAAAAATAGTAAAATTCATGGCCAACAAAAGAGCCTCAATAATTGAACCATAAAAAAATTTTTTTTCCCGAATTTAAGAAATAGAGGTCTCTTTCCCGAATATTTTTAAAAAATTTTAAACAAAAAATCTAAATTCCTCACCGTTCTCATTTTAATATCAGTACATTGCCTAGCCAATTGTACAGCTAAACGTGTAACTTCTTCACTAGAATCAGCAATAGCTTTAGCACAATCAATCAAATCTTTTTTTGTTCCACCTTCTCCTCTAACTAATTGTGAAAGTCGAGCCATTAAAATAGCCATTCTTTTAGCAGCAGCAACAATATCATTTTCGTGTGATGACCATTGACGTAATTCTTGATGTAAATTATGTGCTGCACTTAATATTGGTTGATATTGAGCAGCTGGTAAATGATAACGTTCCCAAAAGGCACGAGTTTCTTCTTCTTCATCTAATTCTGGTGGTGGTGGAGGTCTGGAAAATTTGAAAATTTTTTTGGAATATTATGGCACCGATTTGAAGCTATTAAAGTAGTCTCTTATAATGAGAGGTATCAAACTAGAAGGTATCGTTTATGCAGTCACCCAGTAATCAAAAAAGTATCTTAAGTCGAGGTAGCTAATATTGGGCGTATGTTAAATTGAGGTGTGTCTAATATGAACGTTCTTAAATTGAGGTGTACCCAATAACGAGTGTATTTTAAGTAGAGGTGTGTCTAATAATGGGTGTAGCTTTAATCGAAGTGCCTAATAATGAGTGTATCTTGAAGTGAGGAGTGTCTAATAATGGGTGTATTTTAAATAGAGAGGTGCCCAATAATAGGTGTAGACTGAATCGAGGTGCCTAATATTGAGTGTATCTTAAATAGAAGAGTGCCTAATAATGGGTGTATCCAAACATAGTAAAATATTTTAAAATTATTTCACCTTGGTGCCGGACTAATCTCAACAGGAGGAGGTGGACGTGGCGGAGCAGGAACTTCCTCACGAACAATTAACCTGTTATGAACTATTGGTTCGCCTGGTGCACGCATTGGACTTTCATAAACCTTAAAAGGAAATTTCTTTTCTCTTTTATTCCCTCATAAATACTCTCACATTATGCTCACTAGGCCATTGTGGTGGAGGCTTTTGTTGTTGTTGTTGCTGGTGATAAGTTGAATTTAATGGTGCAGTAGTATGTGATGGAGGTGGAGCCTTAAAAAATAAAGATTTGAGGATTGAAAAAATCCTCAAATCGTTCCTAGTTAACCCAAGTAAAAAAAAGGTTTATGAAAAAAGGAGAATCAGAGAGGTATTCTACATAATAGCGATTCCACAAGTTACCCGAAATCCAGACATTTTTCAACCCAAAACCGACATAAAAACATCACAGATCCCTCGATATCTTAGCCAAATATTTTAATCTCCTGACACCCTTATTAATCCCCCGAATCCGCTGATATCTTTATTAATCCCTTAAACCGATAAGACTTGAAACCCGCACTTTTTTCGACCGGAAACTCGATCCGACCTCAAACTATGAGATTCCTGGATCCTAATATAGTTATGGCTGGTCTTGTGTGAATGAAAAAATCGTTTATCTATGAGGGATCCCTCAAATGATCATTCAAATTAAAATAAAACTATCTCGAGCAAGGAATACATATAACATTTTGTAGTCATCAGGGTTGAACCGTATGTTAAAAATAATTTCTAAGAGTTAATCCTTCCCCAAAAAATTTAAAAATAAAACAAACATGAACATTATTTTCGAATCGTTGTGGAGGCGCATATTGTTGTTGTGGTGTAGCTCTACGTGAAGGCAATCCAGTAATTGCATCCCCAACACCACGAACCGAATCTAATAAATGATCATTAGTGTCACGCCAGCGAGAAGCACTAGCTTGATCACGAGGATTAATAGCTACTTGTTTAGCTTGGTTAACCATTGGAGGGATTGCTGAAAAATTAAAAAATATTTTTTTCTTAATTATAAAAATAATAGGCGCTATGAAATGAGTATTCGATATATAAGGATTGAGTTGTCGGTTCGGAACGACGCGAAAAAAACTGAGGATTTAACAGTTGAATTCTTTGATTTTTTATTATAAGTACCAACAACCAAATAAAGATATAGATTAAAAAACGCGTGATAAAAATATTTGTAAAATTAAATGAACAAGTAAAAAAAATATTTAAGGTTTAAAAAATAAGAAAAACGCTCGAAAAAAAGTAAAAAAAACGCAAAAATAGACAAAACCGCGAAAGAAAAGTTTATTAAACTTACAAAAATTATTCATAAATTTCCAACTTATCTAAAAAAAGGTTCAGAAAAAAATTAAAACTAAACTACTATACTAAAAACTAATTTCATTAAATAAAAAATATTTTCGCGTTTCCGTTCTAATTTGCGAAAATAAATTAAAAAAAACCTGAATGCAAAGTCGAAGCAGCATCATTAACTCTTCGAACAAATTGCGGATCTTCAGAATTATCAGCTTCATTTTTTGCTGACATTAATACACGATTACCGAGACGGGCTATTTGACCTTTTATTTATTAAAATTATCAAAAAAAATTTTTAAAAAATTCCAAACTTGTATTATCCACCATTTTTTGTGGGGCATTTGTAGATATAGCATCCTCACATTTATTTGTATATCGTCTCATTGCCCCTTCACTTGCTTTAACAAATTCTCCAGTATCTATAGCATCGTCAACATATGCACGAAGACGATTTAATGCATCGGCGTATTCTTTACGCAAATTTTCAAAGTGACGGTCTGCATTTTCTGTGCTATTGTGTAAACGAATCTTTCCGGCACTGATTATTTGAGGTGTCATTTGGTTGACCTTTAAAAAATTAAAAATAGTCGATTATAAAGAGATAAGGCTTGAAATAGAGTAAAATTTATTGGAAAATTATTTGGTTGGGGGTTGGGTCTCAAATGGTTGAGGTTTTCGCATTGGGCCTAAGTTCGAGTTTTCGGGCCTCATTTTTATCGAACCGGGCCGTTCGATTCTTTTTAGGGCCAAAATTCGATGTTCGATTCGATATATCGAACCGAACTGGGCCCCAATCCTAGTTTAGGATGAAAAAAAAGACCCAAGCCTTCCAATTTATAATAAGTCCAATAAGAAATTGAAGGTCGAAACGGGGATGTTGCAAACCGAATTCCAAAAAGCGGAAGACGGAATTGAGCTGACTGTGAAGTCCCCTGTTGCTTCCCTTAAAGTAAGCTCTCTCGAGGAAACAATACTCCCATTCTGTTTAAAAATTTTCTGAGTGAAAAACACTGAAATAACCCTAGACCCAGATTAAGTTGTAAATAACAAATTTGTTCCAAAAAAATTAAATCCTTCCCAAACCTTATTAGAAGCATCAATCAACCCTTCAACAGTCTTTTTATTTTTACATGGCCCACATTTTGCTACCAATAATCCAGTATTTGCCATTCTACCACTACAATCTTTCAAATTGGATGCTTTACTTTCAAAGTTTTCTTCTCTGTAAGGTTGATCCATACTAAAATTTTTTAAATAAAAATCGTTTTAAAATTAAAAAAATTTCATACGGAGCATAAACAGCTTCAACAAAAGCTTTTAATGGTGTTGTAATATCTGCAAAATCTTCCACAACTTTATCAGTCAATACTCGTTTCATTAAATCGCCCAATTCACGTAGTTTCTCACGCAATTGTTGACGAAGATTGTTAGCTTCTGGAGTATTGCCTAGACCACGGCGTTCCAAATCTTGAGAAAAAATTTAATTTAAAAACGAGTAAGAGAAAAAAAGTCTAGCCCAGAACAGGCATCATGCAACCTCATGCAGGTTAATGCAAGGTCTTCGCTCGCACGTACAGTAGAGCTAAAACCTCTTGGACTTGACTCAAGAAACTTTTTTGAGGTTTTTTCAGTCTTGGTCTAGGGGGCAGAGGTAGCGGGTCTTGGATCCTTCTTCGCCTTCTTTTTTAATAGATCTTACAGGTCCGCCCAGCAAACGTTTTAAACGCTAGCCGGCTAGATCTTCCTTCTTTACAAAAAAATTAACCAGATAATTGATTGGACATTTTATCCACATCAGCGCAAACATTGAGAAGACGATCACGATCAATTGGAGGAAGTTTATTTGCAAGTCGGCGTGCTTCATCAAGTAAACTTCGAATCTTTAAAGGGAAAATTCGTCAAAAAAACAACAAAAAAATTTTCCTAACCGCTTGTAGACCAGCTCCACCATCATTAATTCCAGGATTATCAAGCCAACGTTGTGCCTGTTCCAATTTTCCTCCTGTTGTGTGGGCTGGATGTGTGTCTGTTCGTTGGGCTCCAAAGACTGCATGAGGCAACATTCCTTGACTTTCTTTTGTGCCCACCAAATCACGCAATTTTTGAGCGCAACTTTGGGCATATGACTTAAATTTTTATAGAGAGAAATTCAAAGTAAATTTCAAAAATTACTTGGTTGTCTCTTCCCTGGTGTCGCAATTCACAAATTGAATCGGTAAGATTAGTTATTTCTTTGACTAATTGGCGAATAGTAAATTGGTCTTCTGGGAGGGAACGAGCAGCAATTTTTTCTTAAAAAATAATTTTTAAAAAATATTTTTCAGCAAAATATGGTATTCTTCCATTGTCCCCCCACATTTTATTTTATTTCCTTCTCCCCTTCTTCCTAAAAATTACAAAACTTTCATGAGGTTCATTTGGGACAATTCTCTATGGCGTTAAGTATCTCACTCACATAAAAGGTTTTATGGGAATAAAATGAACCTATTCCAAGGAAACAGAGCCTAGAGTTATGGTACACCCGCATTACCGGACCACAGGTTATAAAATCCAGAAATGGGCACTTATGCCATAGAGCAAGGTTCATGGCAATTTTGTACCTTCTAACATAAGGAGAAAAGGAAATAAAAGTACAAAAAATTAAAAAAATTCAAAACCTGCATATTCACAAATACGTCTAATAGCTTTTTCTCCAACAGCTCCAGGACGTCCATTGGGATCAGATAACCATTCACAAGCAGCAGATAACAACGATTGTGCTGCAGAAAGTGCCTTTCTCATTACTGTAACATTGTCTTGGTCCCATTCATCTTCATCATAAGCCGTCAGTTGAAGAACTCGAATAATTTCATTAACTTCATCAGTCATTCGTTGTCCAAGATAGTTACGGTTGCTGGCGGCTTCTCCAAGTCCTTTTTGACTTTCTTCGCTTATTTGAATGTAGATCTGAAGAAAAATAATTTTTTTGAATTAAAGAGAAGGTTAAAACAAAAAATTAAATCAATGACAGTTACATATAAAAAGTTAAAAAGTCAATGGAATCGAACCTTCTACCCACTCAGAAATAAGTCACCCACACTACCGACTAAGCCACAAGTCACAATAATAAAAACATCAATTTTATCAACTAAACCTTATTTAAATATTTAAGCTTCAAGTAAAAATAATAGAAGGGACGCAACTTCGACGAGTTTCAACTCCTAAAAAATTTTTCTTAAAAATAATTTTCTAACCTTCATTGCACATATCAAAATTGGTGAAAGAATTTTAACGGAATCAGTGCATCGAACAAGAATTTCTCTGTGTACTTGGTGCGTTAATTCAGCTGAACGTGCATCGACATCTTTAGCCATTCGAGTAAGCCAAGGGGTTATATCCTTAATTTTAAAAAATTTTTATAAAATTTCTAACTAAGAATAAAAAATAAGAATCCATAAAAGGAATAGAAAAAAAATAAATTTTAAAAAAATTTCTAATAAATTTTCTGACCATTTTGCAACCTGACCATTTTATAACTTATTCACCTACCTTTACAAATTGATTCAAATCGTCCATAGATTCGATTACTTCTGCAACAGCCAGATAATCCAGAACTTTTCGGCAAATACGAACAATTTTTCGGACTTCGGATTCATCAAAACAAAGCAAAAGTTGAGAAGTTCCTGTAGAAATTGTTTTAAAATAAATTTTAAAAGTCACCAAAAAACCTTGTAAAATCCCTCTAGCTCCATCAATCAATTTTTTACGTGCTGCACTTGAATATGGATCAGACTGGAAATTTTGTTGAAATTTTAGAAAAATTTTAGAAAATTTTTTTAGCTAACCTTAAGTAAATAACAAGCTTCCTCTAAAAGTCTAGAACTAACTTCCACACCTAAAAAAATTTTTTTTTAATTTTTTTAAATTAAATAAAATTAACGTTGTAATGCGGGAGGCATTTCCTGTTTGAGAATTTTGTCATCTGATGAATTGCAGGTTTCATAGCCAACCTAAAAAGGATTCATTTTTTAATTTTTTCCTTTAGAAACACAAAAATCCGCAGATTGGGGAAAAAAAATTTTTTCCGAGAATTGCGGACAGAAATAATTTTTTGCGGACAGAATTTGCGGACAAAAATTTTTCTAAATTTGCGGACACCTTTTGCGGACTTTTGTTAGCATAAAGGTGGGGCCCCTACAAAACGAAAATTTCCAAACGAACCTTTATTAAATTATCAACCGCTCTAGATACTGCACTAACAGGTTTTGTCAAGTCAGGCATAGCACTTCCATCTTCAGCTTCCTCATGGAGGATGACCAAACGAGAAACCTAAATTTTTTAAAAATTATTTTTGAGAATCCGTCATTAAAAATCATTTTTTAAAGCGGCTTACATGTTAATTAATCAATGTGTTTGTGTAATCGATTAAAGCAAGCACACAAAGCATGTTAAAGATTTGTTAGAGAACGGTAAGGAAATAAATCCTGTAAGATAGTTAGGTAAACAAAAGCTTTATTAAATCATCAACAACTTTCAAAGGATCTCTCAACAAATGGGCAACCGGAAAAAATGGAGGAAAATGAAAGGAAAAATTTAAAAAAATTAAAAAATCGGGAGAGAGTTGATCATTCGAGAGAATTAACATTTAGAGTTCGGACCGAGACGAGATCACGAGCAAAAATCTAGCGAATAAATTTGGAATAATAAACAGGGTCCTTGGGGCTCATTCAAAAGAGCTCGTCAATCTGAAATAAATGCCCCATAAAATTTCGAACGGTACGAACATGAAAATCCAAAGCCATGAAGGACCTAACTGACTTCTTGTTGAACGATCTCTAATAGTGTTTCACTGGAACCGGATCCATTTTGAATTCCGGATCCCGGAACCTCAACCAAAAAACGTCGGGACTTTCCAGAACTGGAACCACTGTGATCTCTATCCTCGTACGACCCTCACAGTCCGATCTCTAATCAACATTTTAATTAAAAAATAAAGGGAAACAAAAAAAACACACAAAAAAAGCAAAGCAAAAAAAACGTACAGGTCCGCCTTTAGGCAAAAGCATTTTACAAACGGCACAATCAGAGGACGGAGACATTGTTAGAGGTATTGAATACCTTGAAGAACTCTGAGATAAGGGGCTTTGTTCTCCCCCACCATCCAAATCCCTCCAATATGGAGCACCAAAACAACGTTTTGTGCCAGATGAGGTAGAGGCTACATCTTCCCCTCCAATTACTCCATTTTGTTGGTGAAAGGAAGAGGAAGAAGATGAGGGACGGCAATGCTGATGGGCCAATGAAAGCGCTAGATGTAGCTAAAAATTAGTTTAAAAAACGTAAAAATTAAAAACGAGTACAAAAATTAACGATTACAGTAAGACAAAAAATTAAATTTAAAGCAGAAAAATACATTTTGCCGAAAATAAAATAAAAAGAATGGCAAATCGCGCAAAATCAGACATTTGAATTAAAAAAAAAGTTCTCAAATTTTAAGGAGATCCCTGGCCCATATTAAGGAAGTGTTTTTAAATTTCGAAACACTTTGGAAGAGTTAAAAAATTCATGAAGATAATTCCTACATAAAAGGTAACGGGAGCAGGCCAACTTACCGCGAGCCCGACTTACCGAAGAGCTATAACTTCGTTCAGAATTGTCGAATCCTGGACGCCTTAGTATGGTTCAATGCGCCTCGACGAGCTGAATCGAAACATACCAGGTCGTCCCAGAATCGACAATTTTGAATGAGGTTATAGCTCTGCGGTAAGTTGGGCTGTACCCAAAGGTAACATTAATAAAAAAGAAAAAAAAGAAACAAATGCAAAAATAGCCGAAAATGGCAATTATTAAATAGGCCGGTAATTTTAAATTTTGTTCCCTCCCCTTTCCTTCCTTCTTTAAATTCCACAATTCTCTATTTCCCTATTCAATTGATAAACATTAAAAGGACTTTGACTGATTATGCTATAGAGAAATAGAGTAATAATTGGGTAAGCAAATCTGACCATTATGCGACTTTAGAAAGGAAAAAAGGGAAGCAAGAAATTCAAAATTACTTAATAAGCAATTATTTTATTTTAAATATTTTTCCCCAACCTGTTGAGCTACCGGCTCTAAAATTGACTCAATAACTTTTGTATGGAATACTGGCATTTTTTAATTATTTTTGTTGTTAATTTTTTTAATTGTTGTCTTTCCTAATTTTTTCTAATTAAAAATTGATGAAAAGAAAATTAAAAAATAATAAAAATTCTTTAATAAAATGGCAGTTAATAAAAATAAATTTTTTTTTGTGTTTTTATTTAAAAGAAATGATGACCAATTGGTTTTAGTCGAAAAAAAATAAAGAAAATATTTGTGTAGTTAGGTAGTTATCTATTTTAATATGGCTATTGTTTTTTTTATTACCTAATTGCACCTTTAAAAAAATTTAAGAAAATATTAACAAAGATAAAATTGATAAGTAAATCAAAAATAAAGCAAATCAATGAATAAAATAAAATAGAAGACAATCAACATACATTAAATTGTTAAGAAAAAAATACTTGGAATATTTATTTTTATTTTAATTGAAAAATAAATCTATACAAAAATACCCCTAAAAATCCCAAACAGGGCTGGACGCAATTGAAAAAAATTTCCGCAGCCGCAATACGCAAGTCTGCAATCACCAACTGCGTCTAACCCTAATCCCTAACCTCCAATTGACTTAGAAATAAGCTTCAATGAACTCATAGAGCAGACCAGAGCCGATATTTTTAAATAAAAAATTCATTGAATAAAAGGTCAAAACACCCTAGACCTTCAATACTTTAAATAATAATTTTCCGGATATCCGAAGATTTCCCAGGAATAGTCAACCTACTCCACTTTTAAAAAATGTAAAGATTAAACTAAAAAAAGATTGAGATAAAAAAATTTTTTAGAGAGATCAAAAACTCTCCCTGACCGCGTCATCAATTTATTCGGTCAGAGTCCTCTAAATCAACTAAAAGACGTATTGGAAGGAGGAAAAGCCTTGAAGGGTTAGTACGTCCGTTAATTTTTTTTAAAGGTGGCATGTGTGCCAAAAGGGGCAAATAGGGCAATAATTTTTTTAGGTAAAGTATTAAGCTAGAAAAAACCCCCCAAAGCGAGCGGCCGTCATTATAATAGTAACAAAACATTGATTTTGCGGGGGCATTTAGTTAGGGAATAAAAATAGCGGAAAAGAAGAAAGGAAAATTGGAAGGAATATATAAAAGGATGAGCGATAAAAATATTTTTTTGGGGGAAGAAGTAGAAGAAGAATCGTTGGTTGGGGGAAGGATAGCTGGTTGATGATGATGGCAGTTGGAAAAGAGAATAAAGGGTATGTTTAAACACTTAAATCACGTTGTGAAAAGAAAATCGGACAGAGCAAATGGGATAAATCAAAAATACCCATGAGATCAAAGACCCTACAGGTCAATGATGGCAGATGGAAGAGAAGGATACTTTATAAATAGTACTAATAATAGGACTTGATCAACGCTGATCTTAAAGTCTGGTCAGTTGCAAGATTCCTTGTGCTGATATACCTATTTAAGGAATCTGAATTAAATAAAAGAAGGGGATTTTCAGACAAGACGAGAGATAGGATCAGATCTCAGATAGGACAAGACCCAGGCGAGATATGTTGAAAAATCTCAGTCCAGTCTCTAAAACTAAAAACCAACACTAACAAATCATAGGTTTAAGGGGCTGTTGATCAACTGTGTTTAATTAAGAGTTGATCAACTGTTGGTTGATCAATATGTTGATCACCTGTGTCGGTCCGGTCTCTAGATATGGCCTTAAGTCCGACCTCAAGCTCTAAAACTATCAAAGCCCATAAATCACAGATTCCAAAAGGGTGCGCTGATCAACCCTTGATCAGTAAAAAAAGTACGTTGATCAACTCATTGTAGAGTTGATCAACTCATTGTAGAGTTGATCAACTCCAACCTTGTGTTGATCAATTAAGAGTTGATCCTTTGAAGTTACTTTGGAATGAAAAAAGAGAAAGATTGTTTGTTAGATATATTTAAGTGTTTAAAATAAGCGATTGATGTGATTGAATGAGAGTAAAAAAGTGATTTTTCTTTTACTTCCACCCCAGTGTGCCAATACAAAGTTATATATTGAAAGTAGTTGAAAGACGGAAAAATTTTAGAAGGAAAAGGAAAAGCCTAACAAAAAAACAGTCATTTTACCTTTTTTCCCTCATTTTTCTTTCTTTTTTTTTACATTTTCATCCGCCCACCTTGTCCTAGAATCACTTTAACTCTTTTTAAAAAATATCGACACTCATAAAGCTTTTATTTTTTTTTCTCTCATAGCAGAAAAATTGAGGGAAAAATTTAAAGGAAATTGAGGGGAAAATGAGGGAAGGAGAAGTAAAAATTGTAAAATGATTTGAAAAAGAAAAAGCGAAAGAAGAAATATTTTAAAGAGTTAAGAAAGATAAAAAAAATGTGGATCAATGAATTTTTAAGAGAAAGAAAATTTTTTGTCAAGATATCTGTCAGGATATTCCTTTAAAATTTATTATAGAGAGATAAAAGAATGTAAAGAATTTAAAAGAGATCACTTTTAATTTATAACAGTAAAGTGTGTGTGTGTGTGTAATTTCACTAGAAAATGTTTTTTAATTTAATTTTTTGACATTTATAAATGGCTTGTAATTGATGGATTTAAAATAAATTTTGTCAATTGAATTTTAAAAAATTGAAAAAAAATTAAGAGTAGAATTTAAATAAAACTATAGAGCAGGGCTGGGCGCAATTGCGGATTGCTTTTGAAGATTTTAAAATTAAAATTGCGAGTTGCAAAATTTTTTTCAATTGCGCCCAGCCCTGCTAGAGGCGCAAAGCTGTGTGAAAAATTAAAAGGCCTCGCGTTAAAAAGAGTTCAAAGAAAGGAGGTTTTTTGCTTATTCGGGTCCATAATCTTAACTTTTGTTTGGACTCGTGTTTTTATTGAACTTATAAATTAGAACAAAGCCTTGTTAATTTTCACTAAAATAAGCCCCCAAATATTAGATCAAAATATATAAATTAATAAAAATAAAATTGAGAGAGGGAGAATGGAAAACATCAAATCAACAAAAAATAGCCCTTCTCTTAAAGAATGCTTTCCACCTTTATTAAAGTCAATTGTCGAGTATATTATTGTTTGTTGTTAAATAGCCCAAAATCCCTTATTAACAACAATAAAATTATTTCTTTAGCAAAAGAATTTTACTAAGCTAATATGATAAATCAAATAAAAGGGTCAAAATAAATGAATAAGAGAGAAAAATCTATTTACTTATTGCTAGTTAAACCTTTAAAAATATAAAAATGCTTAATAAAATGGACAAAAGTAAAAATATAGTAAAAAATATTTTTTATAAAAAAATAAGAATTACTCACTCTACCCTTGTGAAAAAATAAAAAAAAATATAACATTTTAAAAATATAAAATCAAAATATTATTTTTGAAAAATGATTCATGTAGTTAAATTATAGCCTAATCAAAGATATTATTCCCCATTTGGAGACATCACTTTAAGATCTATTGGAATATCTCGAGAGGTATGTTAAATAGAAATTATCGCTTAGACAGCCACCCCACACAATGGCCAATCACATATAACAACGCAAAACAATAACTTGCTTCAAGATTTTCGAAGCTTAATCCTCTTATCAAGCTAAAAGATTGGTAAAATCGTGAGGGTCCACAAATTTTCTTTTAGCTAGTTACCTTGCGTTGTTATGGCCGCGCGTTGCTTTGAGCTGTACGCGTTAAAATTGTTAAATCTTACTTTAACTTTAATTAATTTTTTAAATCCACCTTGCAAATGATGAGACAGACAGGGAAAGTTGACAATAATAGCAATTACAATTCATCGTCCATTTCCAAAAATTCATCCAGTCCTTGATTTATTCTTTCCAAAATTCCTCAGACCAAAAAACCAAAATTAAAATAGCCTTATATCTAAAAAAATTTATAGCTTGTCTCCATTAAATTTTAATATAAATTCCTTTAGATATCCAAAAGCTTTTAAAACTAGAGATCAGACTGATGTGAGACGAATAATCAGGGTTATCAAGAATACGGTCAGTCCGGTCTCTAATGAAAACCTTTAAAAAATTAAATTAAAAAAAATTTCTTTTAATTTTTACTCTGAAAAAAGCACATAACATTTTTCAAAGACTAGGGGGGATAAATAATAGATGATTATGAAGTTAGAAAAAAATAATGCCAAAAGAGAAAATATAATCGAGAATTAAAACACACACACAAAAACATATGAGATATTAATTTTTTTAATTATATGATTTGTAAACCTAAATATTCTACAAAAAATAAAGCTTTTTTAATGAGAGGTTTTTTAGTATGTCTAATATTTTTTAGAAAATATTCTTTCTAAAAAAGCGCCCAATTTTTTGAGAAAAAAATTTTTTTTAGTTAGAGAAGGCGCTTTTAGAAAGAATAAAAAATATTTTATAATTAATTTTGAATTTATTTTTTTTTCCTAGTAATTGTGCTTTTAAAATTCAACGAGGATCGATTCTATTATTTTTTTATATTTTTTTAAAATTTCTTCTCTCAATTAACCGGTTTGACAAGGATAGCTTCTAACATTTCAGCCTGCTCCTTTT